GAGAGAAGAGAGAAGGAGAGAAGAGAGAAGGAGAGAAGAGAGAAGGAGAGGATTGAGAAGGATATAATCGAGAAAGTCGAACAAGAGAGGCTTGAGCAGGACAGGCTTGAGCAGGAGAGTATCGAGAAAGAGCGAACTGAGAAGGAGATGATGGAGAATGTCGAGCAAGTGAGACTTGAAATGGAAAAGGTCAAGAGAGGAGACCATGGCGGGCCTGGGAAGGCTGAACAGGAAAAACTTGAGAGAAAGAAGCGGACGAAGCTTGAAAAAGTGAGACGAGAAAATGAGCAATGCAACCAAGAAAACATTATGATACAAGAATCAGAAGAGGGTGGATTGGGGATATCTAGTGTCACACAGCACGAGGTAACACCCAAAGAACGTGAGGCGCTACCTGTTTCAGACAGACTCCATGAGCCTGATAGATCAGCTCCTAAAAAGCAGGATCCAACAGGAGTGTCAGCCGGGAAGAGTCCAGTAGACGATAGAGGCATGTCGTCGGGTGGGAAAGATATCATCAGGAATGGAGAATCAAATACGACGACTGGAGGACTCCTACAAAGATTAAGAGCAATCTCTGATTTTACGTCCAAAGCAACCGGAATGATCCATCGAGGTGGTTCATATATTGTAGGCAACCAAAGCAGCTTGGCTGCCATGGAAACGGCCAAGTCAGCAGAAACCGAAAGCCAGTTTTCCAACGTAGTTAGGGACAAAACGGAGATGGGCTCTTCCAGTGGTCGGCCGAGCTCGCTCATCTTGAGCTTGGAAACTGGCCGGCAGTCCAGCAGAAGCGGGTCAACGAGAGAAAGCGAAGTAGTTGGGGCGCTAACCCACATACATCCTATTCCGACAGTTAGCGTAGGACCTGATGCCGTCGATCGGGGAAGGTGGAGTATCCCTGGGGCTTGGGAAGAAGAATCTGAGGATCAACAGATACGAGATATAAGGAGGGCTCGTTCAGATGATGACTTGGCTGGATCTGTTTCACGTCGGACCTTAAGTGCTACAAGACAAGTACGATCATCGTCAATTCAACCACCAAGGGCACGAATATCGCCGCCAGACCATAGATTGAGCTCGTAAGTCTCACTGCTAATATTGAATGGGCGTTACTAATAAATCGTAGTGCCGAAATTAAAGCAGACAGCTGGTTTGCTGAGCTTAAGAGAGATGCTCACACTTTTCTTGACAAGTACAGAGACGATGGGTACGTCAACAAATCATCCCGTGCCGTCAAAATTGCAATCTTGGACACCGGAATTGCGAAGAGAGCCACTAGGGAGATGCCAATCCCTCCCTTGATTAGCCTATGTGGACCTCGGGTGAAATTAGGAAAGGTTGTCGACAAGTCGTTGCCCCCATATGATGACACAGACGGCCACGGAACGCACGCCGCCGGTCTGATCCTGAAAGTGTGTCCATATTCGACCATATGGGTTTATCGCATCGTGCGAGGTCCTAGTGAATCGATTAAGACACAGTACGTTACGGAGGCCCTCGCCGACGCCGTAGATAAGAAGAAAGTGGATATTGTTACGATGTCCTTTGGATGGGAAGAGGACAGTGATGAAGAACTCCGCAAGGTGATCGATCGAGCAAAAAGCCAAAAGGTGCTGTTGTTTGCCGCTAGCTCTAACGAAGGGATTCGTAGAGGCATGGCATATCCGGCCCGAGCGGACGAAGTAATCGCAGTTGATGCTGCGGATGGGTTTGGGTTGCCCTCAAGATTTAACCCGCCCCAAGAAGGGGAAAAGCAACGATTCACAGCGCTGGGTGAAGCTGTGGAGTCTTCGTATCCTACGCAGCTTGCAGAAGAGGGGCAAACTCGAGGATGGAAGAGGATGTCTGGAACTTCATGCGCCACTCCGATCGCAGCAGCTATAGCTGGACTCATCCTAGAATTCTCTCGACAACGACCTCTCTGCTTTGATCCATCTGTTGAAGCCCATCTTAAATCCGTGGCGGGCATGCGGGAAGTTTTTAGCAAATTGTTCTCTCAGAAAACGGCAGAGAGCTCACATTTCAGACACCTGGACCCGAACACTGTATTTTACTGCAATTCCGAGTTCGAGGAAGGTGGTGAATGGTGTCAGAATTCAAGTCCGAGGTTGAACGCTGCGAATAGTATTGTTGAGTGTTTGAGGAAGAGGTTTTCGCGAAAGATAGGGTCTTTGATGAATGAGAAGATTCAAGAAGAATGGAGCAGACGAAGCCAAGTATAATATGCACGGAAACGAAGGATGTGGGCGCGCAACGGAGACGTTCTCCAAAATTCTCTCACAAGTGACACTGGAGGGTTAAGCTTGGATTTAGAGGGGACTTCTGGAGTGTGATTACATAAATCACACTCGCGCGAAACTCGGTGTGACACAAGAGCCACGACATTTGCCTCCGTCAATCGAAACGGGTGCATTCACACACTCTGCCAATCATGTTTCTTTGGACTCTTTAAGATACTTGTATCTGCATTGGCCAACGAGGAGCCGGAGCTCGAGATATCAATAAAGTCCCGGTTTGCTGCAGAACTGAATCGCTCTTCACCCGCATCCAGATACAATGGGAGCATCGAACATCTAGGCTGGAGCTCTTCAATGTCAACAGCATCGTCGCTATCGCCACCGAGACCCCTTACTCCAGCAGGTGATGGCTAAAGCTTCGCAGGTATCGGATTGATGATTACCAAAACTCTGGGAGCCAATGGAGCTCACAGAATATACATTATCAGCCGCTAACCAGAAGTGCTTCAACGTGCAGCCTAAAAGATCAACCCGAGACGGTTACTCCTCTCCCTGGAGACATCGCTTTCCATAACTCCCTCCTTCAAGTTACCGGAGAATTAAGTCGGATATCGGCCACGTTAACTTGGTTGTTGCGAACACCGGGATGATAGGCCCCAAGCCTCTGAAAGCACCCTAAACGCGGGGCTGCCTTTTCTTTCCGGGTATGTAGCCCACACGCTGAAGACTCCGATGGAGGACTTCACCTGGACTATCTAGCCGGGGCATACTACACGACGCCGCCATTCCTCGAGCTGCTTGATGCTGTAAATTCTGCGGGTAATATTGCGGCAAATTGGAGGAGTCAAGTTATTGCTACAAGTAGTATTGGAGGGTTAAGCAGGCTAAAAGGCGTGTCGTTTGCGTACAACAGTAGCAAGGCTGCAATAGCACATGTGATGAAGATGTTAGCTACAAGTCTAAGGCAGTGTCCTCACGTCTGGCATTTTCCTCTCTGGCCTTGCCGGGGGAACAATCAACAATTTGAGGTGGGGTATTCGAACCATCCTTCGTTCCTACTAAAAGAACAGGCAAAGGAGAGGTTACTGCGGGTTCGAGATGCAATTCTCTATTTTGCTTCAAAAGCGGGCGACTATTTCAACAGGAGCGTGTACTGGCTAATGGAGGGCGCCTCGGTACGCTAATTTCAACAGACTGAACTGAGAGAAAGACAAAGTATCATCGCAAACGCAGTCCCAGGTGAATTTCGAATCTTTCGAAGAACCCTCCATAGCCCCACTCAAACAAGACCTGGCTAGGCGTGAACACGAAGTTGAGATGGTTAACTCCTGATTTTTGCGCATTAAATTAGTAGAAGGTGAGAAGACAACATTGCATCCTTCGCATTCTACTAAATCCTTCTGCAATTCTGAACGCCCTCCTCATACGAACTACAGCAAATGCACGAAGATCCAAACATACTACTGAGATACCTTCATATCTTAACATTCGTTAAGACCCTTCTGTGGTATTTCTAGGACTTTCCCCAGGGCATGCCATCGAAGTAGTCTTTGACCTGAGAAGCTTTTGTTCTTTTGTTTCTATTGCCAGCCATCCCTAGACATTTTGTCAAGTTCGTTTTTCTTTCGTCGTTTGACCAGTACTGCCAAGCCGCGCGAGGATGAATTAAGACCAAGCTCTATGGAATGCCGTCTCGTGCCGCCCCTGCGCTTACAGTTTACAGGGGTTACCGCAAAATGGGGGGAAATGCATCCCTAAAGATGCCACAACAATATAAGGACGGCAATGACGTGAACTCGACTCAAAATCTCACTCTGACCCAGGGGCACGACGACTACAACTTACTCCCAGGGCACCTTTCGAGACTGTTCAAATCCCTTACCATAGTGAGTACACTTAAGAATTTACCAATATCTCATGGACTGTGATTGGCTTTTAATTGGCTATCCTCGGGCCCTTTCCACTTGGTCGTGATGGTTGATAAGAAGACAAACGCAATTCAAATTTCGACGAGTAATACAAGTCGGTCCAAAAGCTCCATGATGTCACCCGAGGAGCATGGAGCCTTTGAGAAGGAAGTCACAGCATATTGGGTTTCAAAGTAACTAAACCGGAGGAGCAGGTCTACATCACGTGCTTCGGATATACTTCGGTATTTCAACCCTGTCATCCTGCGGAGAGTTGAAGCCACCTCCGCGACATTACATCTCACACTGAACCACGCCTCTCCAAGCAATGATATTCTCACATTCTCGCGATTGACAATGCCCAGCCATGCCAGCCAGTCGCAAAGACCCAACAGTCTTCTCCAAGCCCCGGGCTTCATCGGCGCTGCAGCCCGGTTCTGGCAGGTAAGTTCTGGAGGTATAGTGTGGTGTGTCTCAAGAAATCTTGAAGCCTGACCATTGAACCCATAGCGCTCGTATGCCTCAGAATATATTGGGCTCGCAATCTTGCTGACTGGGTATATCGTGGTATGTAAACTTGTGCTGACTATACTACGGAGAACACGTTGACATTCCCCCCAAGCTCCAATTCTTCGCCGAACCGTTCCACCGCATGTTCTCCCTCGATAATCTAGCCATACAATACCCACACGCTGCAGTAGAGCGCGTGCCAGTCCGTATGTGGTCCTACTATACCCGACTATTTGAGGGGGAGGCACTGATATTTGAACAGCGTGGCTTTTCATCTATGCAGGAGGTGTGCCTCTATGCATACTCGTAGCATGGGCCCTAATATTCCAGCCCGGAACCCACAAATCGCACGTTACGATCCTCGGCTGGTTTATCAGTCTCATCCTCACCCTCTTCATAACCGATCTCGTCAAGAACGCCGTCGGTCGACCCCGCCCCGATCTCGTCGCCCGCTGCAAACCCGAGAAAGGCACACCAGACCATAAACTCGTCAATTTCGAAGTCTGTACCGAAACAAACCACCACATTCTTCATGATGGCTGGCGCAGCTTTCCCAGCGGGCATAGCAGCTTTGCTTTCAGTGGACTAGGATATCTAGCGCTGTTCCTGGCTGGGCAGTGCCATGTCTTCCGCCCCAGAACGGACCTTGCTCGCGTTCTTCTAGCTCTTGCACCTTTGCTTGGTGCAGCCCTGATTGCCATTTCGAGATGCGAGGACTATCGGCATGACGTTTATGATGTGACGACTGGCTCGTTGCTGGGCATATTGGTGGCATTCTACACGTACCGGAGATATTACCCCCCACTGCGGAGTTCAAAGTGCGCGACTCCGTACCCCAATCCCGCTGATTCCGCTGAAGGAAGGGGGTTTGGCAAGGTCAAAGATGAAGAGGAAAGGATTCGTGGTGCAGGCGAATTCGAACTGGATGATGACGAGGATGCGGAGAGTTATCCTTTGACAAATATGCGCACATGAGGTCCGTACAAAATAAATGGATTCGCCTATATTGGAACAATGATGTAGAATATAGGGATGAACTCTAGGGTATATGGCGTATTCCCGCTAACTGGAAATAGACAAGAAAGAAGCCGGAGACCATACAGAATCGGTAAACCAATGAGCCCAGACTGTAAACCCAGCAATCAGAATGCAGACAAGCAACCTAGACCCGACACCTAACATGAGGACTGTGGATGTGATATCTGAACAGCCATGAACCCCCAGAGACAAAGCCCAAGACCAAACACAAACAATAAACATGCAGCCCTAGAATCCAGGCCCAGGAAGAAAAAGGAGAGACAGGAACCAGACCAGAAATCTAGGACGAAGAATGTGTAGGTGGCCAGTGAGCAAACATCCAATGACTCGCTCCCACTGACTGAAATGGGGTCATGCACCTTCGGGATTCGCCTCGTTGTCATAGCCGGTGGAATATCCGTGAGAAGACATAATGTGGTTGCCAGTGAACGATGAACTAGGGTCTCGAGCGGGAGATTGAGCGGAACCTCCAGCAGAGCCTGGAGCGGGACGAGAACGGGATGGCCTAATATCTTGAGCAAGCTGCATCCATTCCTCAGGGGAAACTTTTGGGAAGAAATCTGTCCAATATTTCTCTGGCCAAATCTCCTCATTTTCATCCTTTACAGTGATACCCACCTTGCTAGATATTCGGTTCTGGTGGGTTGGTCTGGCCCACATTCAATCCTCAAGGCAGTACTGGTGAAGAATCTTTGTCATTTACCTCTCTTGTATTCTTCATCTAGCCATTGTTCTGGATCGATGTCTACGAATTGTTATTACAAATTGCTCCAGGTGAAGTCGGGCATCTTTCCTCTTGATCATGAACTCGACTAGGTAGGGCACGTCTCCATCAGCTACTTTCATCCAACTTGTGAGGTTGTCAATGTTCGGCTAGTCCACAGGGTTGTCCCTGTGCCCCGATATATTCTAGTTTATATACTCTGCCCAGAGGGTGACTAATTCGCCCTTTTAGGCATCCATGACTTCAATGTCGTCTCTGTGCTGTTTTCTAGCTCCCTCGAAACTACTATCTGTGTTAGAGGAGCGTGCTCTCTTGGGTAGAAAGGGTAGGTTCAGTGCGAGGAATTGATGTGGCAGTGGGAGATATAGTTAGGACTGCATAATTGGAATGTCTTTCTTTAGAGTCGAGAACTGTGCGATGTTTGGTCGATGGAGTCATGAACTTGATTCTAAAGTACTTGAGGTGGTGACAAAGACAACGTCACTTACCCGCCGCGAATTCCGAGGGATGGCAATATGACGACCAGCAGAGAGCAAGATGCTGTGGACAAAGATATGTGGTTAGCGCTCAAGAAGCGGCCGTGTTTGAGTATATGGTTAGCTATTTGAAGACATCGGATCATCGTGTCAATACTGATCTTACACAGATTGATAAAGGATTGACCCCTTCTCATTCTACTCTATCCCCTTCGCCCACTGTATTTGATCAAGCATAGCTAGGGTCAGGGTTTTAGAGTACATGGATAAGAGAGATATTTACGTTTTTATAATTTATTTGCAGGTTAATGACGGTGTTATCTTTCGACCTCGCTGAATGGTGTCCCAGGCGCAGCAGAGGAGTGAATGAGATAAGTCACGTGCCTACTGCAATTCTGAAGCTGCAGGTCCCAGATGCAGTTGCACGCGCTTGGCGAACGCAGTCCATGACAAAAGAAAAACCCACAAATTATCCCTGCAAGGAGTGATCGTCTGCCTCACTTTTGTCGGCACGGCGATTTTCAGAATCAAACTTCACCATTCCATATTCGCAATTAGCCCTACCTGAGGCCCGCGCTGTCGTCAAGCCTGCGATCCAAGAACGAAGGCCGTCCCAAGGCCACGGAACAAAGAAAAAGCAACATAAGTGACAAGTCGTGCATTAGCAGATGAACCGCTGGTCTTGGTCCAGTAGCCACCGACGCGTTTCGCTCTTCGCAACTTCCACCATTCTGGTACTCTCACCCTCTCTCCAAAGCCCGGTATACCCTAGAAGTCATCCCTTTCGCCAACCCCTAAAAAGTCAGACCTTCTCCAGCAACCCCTCCGGTCGGACTCGGCCCTCTCATCCTTGGCACCGCCACCCACACCCACCAACATCCACCAAAGCCCATCCGGATCACCCGCCCCAATCCCCCCACTCTAATTCGTAAATTAGTCTTTGCTGTAGTGACACTTGAATCCGATTTCCACGGGGCCCGCTTCCGGCCGCTTACGAGAGGTTGGGCGTGAGGAACAAGCAAGCCACAGCGGCCGTCCCGACAGCCAGGGTGGACGGGAACCTTCAGCTCGTTAAATCCCTGGTCTTATGTGGCGCCGCCCGAATCCGTCTCGTCGGGACACTTTCCGTTTCGGATGCGCGGGTGCAGTGGGGTGCGCATGGAGAGGGCGAGTAGGTTGAGTTTTGATGGCTTTGGGTGTCGTGTTGGACTTGGTGTGGGTAGGGGGGTGAGGGGTGAGGGGCAGGAGTGCTGATGAAGGGTCTAGCTGGCCATCTTTTGGTGAATGGGAAGGTTGAGTATTATTATTTGACAACTATTTTCGTGAAACCCGAAACTCATCCCATCATCAGTTATCATAAAGATACTCCAACGTACCTCTCAGCATGATCCATCATCATCGTGGTCGCCAATTTATCTAAACATTTTCCCCAGCCTGCTGTGACTAGGACACTTGTCGAGCATGTTAATGCTGACTTCAACAGCTTGTAGTCCCTCTCCAGACACGACGTGTCGTTCCCTAAGTCTTGCCCTGAAGGTATAGTTGTAAGATTTATCCGTCATCCCTCATGATCCTTCAAGCATTTTTACTCTTCCTACCCACAACCCACTTGAAATTCGCACACCATCCCTCCTTCCTGGCTTGCGCACCCTCTTTGTCGCCCCACTCCATAACTTCCTTTTTCGCCTGCTCAATAATGTCGTTTACCTCCTCAAGCGTCCAAATCTTCTCCGCATCCCCATATTTAGTCAGGAGTCTCAAGCAATGCGGCTCCAGACTCTCCATGAACACCACAAGAAACATTTTCCCAATTTTCTTCTGCTCCTCATCCTCTGGCCATGTTCCCACAGGAACATTCACATATGTTGTCGTCACATCCTTGAACCCAGCATCTTCTAGATACGTCGGATGCATGTAATATGATCCTAGCGGACGCCCACTTTTGAAACTCGCCTGCATCATAGAAAGATACAGCCTTCTAATACACGGGAGTGCGAATTCATGAGTGAGCGGGCGCTTTCCAGCTTTGCTTGAAGACACCACACCAGGGTCGTCAGGAGAGTTTATCATTTCCGGAAGCACGATTTCGTAGTCACCAACCTCAATCCAGCCGCCTGGAGATAAATTCTTGTAAATCTCGGCATAGACGTCTTCCCAGTATGCGAATGTCCCTTTGAGGTTGCGAAGGTGGATGAGGTCATAAGGCTCGCTGAAGTGCCAGCCCAACTGTGCTTCGGGTTCGAGGATGTAGGGGTTAAAGGAGGGTTCGGATGCCAGTGGGCTTTGAGGCTGGGTTTGCGGCTCTTTTCCTTTTGACTTCGAGGGAGAGTCGATGGGAATTCGTGCAGTTGGGTCTCGGAAGGGGTCGTACCACTCAAGTTTAGAGGTCAGCTCATCCATTTCAGAATCCGTTCCCCAAACGTCCAAGTTATCAATCTCCCACGTCACCCGCCCGGCTCCTGCTTCTCCTTCTGTCGTTTCGATGTCCCATGCAGTCATGTCAATGCCGACAACTTCGGCATGGGGATATTGTTGGGCCATTGCGACAGCCCAGTTTCCAGGACCAGTGCCTAGGTCGAGAATTCTCCTAGTAGCAGGCGTTATTCTTGTAGTTGTGAGCTTCCCCTTTAATGCGTAAACGAAGACTTGGTGTTGGATTGTCAAACGATCTTGCTCTGTCTGGTCACACGGCATAAAGTAGCTGTGATCGCCATAGATGCGGTTGTTTTCGTGAACAAATTCGAGATCTTCTGATTGAAGAGTTCGGGTAGATTGGCTGCCACACACCCTGTCAGTTCCTGTCTTCAAAGGAACGCAAAAAGCAATACTTCTGTTTGCTTGATGTCGACTCGGAATGGAGCCTACTCAGGCGCACAAACGGCGGGAATCTGTCAATGAAAATGGTGTCGGGTGAGGACACTAGAGCGCTTCATAAAAAGATATGTCTTACATGGAGTCCAGAGATGTCGAACTTTCCGAATCAGTCCTTTGACGCTTGTGTGGTGCGGCTGTGTGATCTCTTGCCGGATCGTCGGGTTGTGGCGGCTCCTCCTCCATGGTCTTGGGCCGGCGGATCGGTAAAGAAGCGAACTGGGTATCAACAGTCCCAACGACGTCCCTCGCTGACGGGCCTCGATATGAATAGGTGAGTATTTGAGAAAGTTGGGTCGAACTAGCCACTATACTGGGAATTGCAAGGCGCGTTGTCCGGGAAAGGGGGTGTGGTTATTTGAGCGTTGCAACCCGTACGCGACAGTCTCTTGATTGGTGGCGCGTGTTGGTCAGTCCTGGATCCACGGCGGTGCCGTAGGCTGCTGAGGATGAGGCGTGGGAGAAGGCCCCCAAGAGGAATCGGTGTACCGATGCTTCGGTGTACCAATGATGTGTCTGGCGAACTGTCCGCTAACTGGTCCTTTTACTGCTTTCCTTTTTCGAGTGTTCCTGGGTCCGACTTTCAGTAAAGGTTTGCTAACCTGCAAGGAGGGTATAATATAAAACGCAAGCGGTAGGATTTCCAATAAACTAAGCAAAAAGTCTCGACCTTTGAGAATGATACGACCCGCAGTGGAAAAGACAGATTTTACAATAATGCGACAGCCTGCACTGATTGCAAGGATCGAAGCATATCCCAAGACTCCAAGCACCCATCCAAATTTCACCCGGACACCTGGTCCCAAGCTCCCGCAGTCGCAGTCAGCAATCAATGCCAAATGCAGGATACCACCATGTTTACGGAGTAGGGATATTGGAGAAAGAGCAATTACGAGACGGGGCAACGACAGTGCAGATGGCTCCGACCGCTACTCTGCACAGTAACGTCAAGCGCAATATAATTTCTGCGTGCGTTATCTGAGCTTGAGGGGGCACGGGAAGGAACAATCCCATCCACAAGAGCGAGGATGCGCGTTGACGGGGTGGTAGGGACCGTTCTGCGGAACGGGAATGCACGTATGTCGTCAGAAAGAAGGGGCCGAGGGCTTCCAGAAAACTCTAGCTCGGCCGTACCGTAGGGATGGAATGTGATTGATGTGTGATTGAAACCAAAGACGATGCAGAGAGTATTCGGAGAATAGGAGCGAGCGACGGAAAGCGTCTGGGGATGGGAGGGTCCCCACCAGCATGCTGCTTTCCAACTTACCACGTCCGCCTTGTTGCAACTAAAAGGTGCAGGTGACGCAGCGCAACCAGGCGAGCGCTCGTTGGCTGCTTTCAAATCCCGGACGCTGCAGCAAACAGTCCGCTCGTCGAGAAATGGGTGGTCATGAGCGGCAGGCTAATTCATGCGTAGCCGAAAGACTCAAAGTCTGCCGCTTCCCTGGCGTACAGGAGTGGACGAGTTGTGCGACCCCCCTCGCAACGCCCGCCGGCAGACGCTGGACTGATGGCTATGTGTTCGACGCCCAGTTGCTGACAATTGATGCCACCGTCGACAGCTGTCAAAGGCGACGGACCGTGGTCAAGGCACAAAACAGAGGGGTGCAGATGCAGAGAGCTGGAACAGTCGTGGTGGTGGGCCGGGAGTCATGCCACGTTCAAAACCCCTGTAATACCATCCTCCCCGTAGTGCAGATTAAACCAGGGATGCTCACACATTTGGAGTGCCAACATGAGGCACAACCAAAGGGTTTGAAGGCATTGCTCAACGACCGCCCTGCTGGATTCCACTCGTGGCCCATTTGTCACTCGATTGGGTCTCGCCGCCAGGAACGCTCCCGCTGCCAACTGTCTCCTGAGAACGGGGACGACGCTTCCTCGGGTCTGCGCCCGTCTCCGAGCTGTTCAAGTCTCTCCGGTGTGCAGGATATCGACAGGCATTTCCATCGTGCCGTGAAACTCCTTCTGGAGAAATGACAGGCTAGGTGCAGTTTGTCGGGATTGTCAAGAGACTAACTCGAATACGAACTTGAAAAGCGGCCTCAGAGCGGGTGGGGCTCGTGCAACATGCATCTCTTGAACTTTGTAATCGGCTCGAGCAAGCCGCTGTTGACATGGACATTTGACATGAAGAGTTTGAGCATTGCGATGAACTCAAGAGCGGTTGAATTAAAGTTTTGGATGAGCGTCATTGAGCGTCACGTGTATAAATTCTGTGGCTTTCGACGGGAAGGTGGAAGGCGGAGACCGGAAAGCACGTCAGAAGATCAAAAGTCTCAAACTCTCCATGCCTATCACAGAAATTTTGACCGAGCGAGCAATAATACACTCTCCTGAAAATGAACCTAGGTACTCCATCGAGCCCGTTCACCTGGTCGGTCTATCTATAGCAACGAAACATGTTTGAAACTGATCGAACACATAAGAACGTCGGCTAGTCAACATCCTGACCCTCGAAAGCTGGCAGTCTCGATGCTACATCTGCCCACTCCTCGGTACCGTTCACTAGATTCGAAATAGCCTTGCAGATCTCGTCCAAGGATGCGCGGACTTGTCGTGTCGTGTCTCGATCGCGCAATGTAAAGGTGTTGTCCTTGACAGATTGAAACTTTGTCAAGTCAGCATCATGTGTGTGTGGGGGGAGAAAGTCAAACACTTACATCGATGGTGATACCAAGGGGAGTACCTAGTTCATCGTTACGCTACACCTCACGTCAGTACAAGTTCATTGATGAAACATTGGAAACAGCGTCTTACCGAGTACCGCTTGCCAATTGATGCACCAGAGTCGTCCACTCGGCTGGAAATGCCAATTTCCTGGAGCCTGTTGTTCAAAACACGAACGAATGGTTTAAAGTCGGCGTGCGAACTCAGTGGAACGATGAGGACCTTTGTTGGTGCGACTGTTGGGGGGAAGGACAAAATACCACGAGCCTCGTCTTCGGCACGGGTCCAGTAGTTGTGCTCGCAAAGAGCCTGCACGGCATATATTAGTATATTAGTTGAAGAAAATGGGGCCAGCACCTTACGTAGACTATTCGGCCAATACCGAAAGATGGCTCAATAACGTTGGGGGTATATTCCCTAACATTCTCTATTCGTGTCCGCTTTTCGATAGTGATGAGCTCCTTGGGGACTTCAACCTTTCCGTCGCCAACGCCAGGTACCTCGACTGTGATCTTGCCCTCCTTTTCCAGGTCCAGCGAAAGCTTTTCCCGCATGTCTTGGGTGAGAGCCTCCAGTGCAGCTTCTACCGTCTTGCCATCTTTCTTAAACTTGGGACCAAACTTCTTCTTGTCGATGTCGACCTGGTATTCCTCAATCTTAAGTGGCTCTTTCCGAGGTTCCCTCACCATCAAGGGTGCACCAGTTTTCTTCATGTGAACAGACAAGTCATATGCACTCCTGTCGGCACAGCCGACGCACTCAATCCAACCGTACGAGGTGAAAAGCTCCGCATCCCAACAATCCGTCGCGTAATGCGCCATCTCGTTGGCCATATGTTGTCTGAAACGAATCTTCGCTGGATCGACACCAATTCGGAGGAGGAAGAGCTGAATGCGAGCAAGAAAGTAACCGAGGGTTTCGTTATCAACGAGACCGGTCTCAACCGCCTTGCCAATCTTTGTGGTCTCAACATGAGTTTTGCCAGCTAGCTGGACTTCCCGGTTGAGGAGCTCCAGCTCCACGTCCTTTACCTCGTCGAATAGGGGGTGCTTCTTCCCGCCTTCTGGGTCCACGAAGTGCTCGATTTCTGCCATTAAAAACTCTCGAACTCGCAGCAGGCCGGATCGTGGGGAAATCTCGTTTCGGAAGGATTTGCCAATAGAGGCGGATGCAAAGGGCATCGACTGTTGATTGAAATCCAGCAGCTTGGCGAAGTTTAGAAACTGACCTTGCGCAGTCTCTGGACGTAAGAAACCAGGCAGATTGGAAGAAGGGCCAATGGAGGTCTGGAACATCAGGTTGAAAGAAACCGGTGGCTGGAGCTCATTGCCAGTGGCCGGGTTCTTAATATCGTACTTTTTGATTAGGAGGCCAAGTTCTTCGCCATTATAGTTATCAATTTTAGCCAGAATTTCCTCATACTCCTGCACCAGGGCATCATCCAGCTTCACAGCCGCAATGCTCTTAACCTTCTTTTTTTTCTTCTTCGGGTCGTCCTTTTCTTCTTCGACCTTCTGGCCCCGAGCCTCCCTGTCGCCCTTCAGCCGAGACTCCAACACCTCTTCAACCAAGTGGTCTGCGCGGAAGATTTCACCAGTCTTGGGGTCTTTGCACATCCAGTCTGCGAATTTATCCACGTGACCTGAGGTCTTGAGAACTTCGTACGGGGTAAGCATGGTGCAGTCCACTGATGTGTGTCAGCCCTCATCCTTCTATGTCGCCTCATGCGTTCCACCTTCAAGCATGTTCTCCTTCAGAACGAAGTGTTTCCTCCAAATGTCAACAATGTTGTTTGTTAGGGCACAGCCTGGCGGACCGAAGTCATAGAGACCAGAAACGCCGCCATATATATCAAAAGCGGGTGTATAGAAGAGGCGTCGCTGCAAACCATCAATATAACTCCTCCAAGTAGTAGCAGGAAGCCTTCGAGTTGAAGGGAGAGGGGGGAGGGAGGGGGAGGGGGGGGGCACCTTCATGAGAGACTCGAGTGAAGCGCGGTCAAACGGCTGACCATTCTTCATTGTCATAGCGTGGGCCATGTTGGCTTCCTTCTTCCTCTGCGGAAGCTGGAATCGGCGGGGCGCGGGTGTTGTGGTGAAGCTCCTGGTAGGATAAACAAGGCAAGGTGGGGTACCAAAAAAGGGTTTAGGAAGAGAAGTGAAGCAATTGGAGCGCAACAAGCTCGACAGCGGGCGCATACACTCAGGATCCTCCTATGTGTGAGAGGAGGAAAAGGGAGAGAAGGGAGAGAAGGTCAATATAAAGCTACGTTGTGACTCTTCATGTTCCATCAAATTAATGACTGAGACCCCCGATACAGCCTCGGGAAAACAAATATCCGAGGACTGTGTCCCGCCCAAAGAAAAAAGTTCGTTGCTTCTTCGTCGCAGCTTTACATGACTGCAAAACGACCCGTGCTCTGAATTTTCCGAACCGTGAATTTTCGGAGCTCCAGGTATGCAATCGCAGCGCTTCTTTGATCAAATCTAATTGACGGTATGCGGCAGTCTCGCCCAGCATGGCTGCGTCTAAAGCTTCCGCAATGCCTACGGGCGTCAAACCCAAGAACAAGCTCCGCCGCCAGTCCGCCTATACGGCCCTCAAAAAATCCAAAGAGGCTGAGAAGCGTGACGCGCGATTTCGTCGTAAGCGGGAGGAAGAAAAAGACCCCTCACTCCGCGAGGAGCGGCGAGCTAGAAATGTCCCTGTGACGATCGATGCGAAGAGAACATGGGATGGAGGCGTAGGTGACGAGGAGGATGCGTTGGGGTGGGCTGTCGATGTGGAGCGACTGGCGAAGAAGAGGAAGCTGGGCGAGGAAGAACAGGGGGCGCGTGAAGAGGAGGGCATATTGGCTAAGTTGAAGAAACTAAACGCGGAGGGCGACGGCGACGGCGACAGCGAAGTTGAACAACAAGAGCAGGATGAGGAGGCAGACAGCATGTTAGACTCCGATTCCGATGTAGATGACGATATCTCAGACTCAGACACCGCAACATCAACGCCTAGACGCAGTTCTGATCCCCCAAAACGAGCCTCCAGCCCGGCCACATCCACAGCAACTAACCTCGAGCTCTCCCCTGAGTTCCTCAAACAAAAATTCCCAACCCTCTTCCAACCCCCCGCCGAACCCAAGATCCTCGTCACCACCTCCCTGAACTCCACCCTCCATCACGAAGCCCACATCCTAACCTCTCTCCTCCCCAATAGCACCTACATCCGCCGCAGCGCCCACGCGCATGCGCACAAATACTCCGTCCGAGAAATCGCACAGTTCGCCTCAAATCGGTCCTACACAACTCTTATCATCCTCATGGAAGACCAAAAGCGACCCTCTGGTCTCGATATCGTACACCTTCCATCAGGCCCGCACTTCCACTTCACCATCACCAACTGGGTCGAAGGCAAAAAACTCCCCGGCCACGGTAACCCCACCGGTCACATCCCAGAACTCATCCTCAACAACTTCCGTACTCCGCTCGGCCTCCTAACTGCACACCTCTTCCAATCCCTGTACCCCACCTCTCCTGAAATCGAAGGCCGGACTGTCGTTACTCTTCACAACCAGCGCGACTACATATTCGTGCGTCGGCACCGCTACATATTCCGGGACAAGCGCGAATCCGAGAAAAGTATCGTAGGGACAGACGGCAAGGCGGTGAAGGGGGTTGAAGACATCCGAACAGGGCTACAGGAACTCGGACCCCGGTTTACGTTGAAGTTGCGGCGAGTAGATAGAGGTGTGCAATGGAAGAGTGGGCAAGAATGGGAATGGAAGAGTAAGATGGAGAAGCAGAGGACGAGGTTTAATATGTAAAACTTTGCAGTAGGTGCAAGACTAGGTTTACGATTTCTATGAGATTAGATTAGGGCGAGGAAGACCTAGGTTTCAAGAGAAGGAGGATTGATAATACAACAGACACTGCGTCTATGCCACCGAATCAATCATTGCTGAAGAATAGCAACTATAGATTACATGGAGGACTCTACTATCCACTCTACCTTCTCTATGTGCCTTGTGGTTCGTGCCGTGAGCGCAAAGATTCACACCGATATGTGTGTGAATCAGTAAAATACGCAGCTTAAATCGAAACCCCGCATTTTCATACACTCTAAGTATGAAACCTCTTTCTTCTGGGTCTGACCTTCGTCAAGCTCCCATCAAAGGCAGTCAAAATTCAGCATCGTGTGTATTCGACGGAACCTAAGCACAAATTACACTACTTAACAAAAGTCCCAACTCCACCTATTCACCTATCTACCCATCCCTTACACAGCTTATTAAAAAAAAAAACGCTTGGTCATAACAAACACCACACAGGCCATGAAAATGCACCAGACTCCATTCCCATTTCCGCTCATCAGAACCCTCTAAACCTCTAACCTTTGGCCCAGGACCGATCCCATATCAAACGAACTCCATTTCAGGCCACGGACAAGCCCACGCCATCCCATAAGCATATAATTGCACAGAGTACGTTTCCAGGAGTACAAACGGGAGCTTAAACTCTTTGGAAGGTAAGTTGGGCCCCGCGTGTCAGTTCGAGGAGGCCTTGGAGCGAGCAATCGTATGCAACCTACACTAATTCTCGGATCCCGGATTTATAATAATCCGAACAACGGTGGGGATTCTGTGAACTGCACCGACAAGGCAACAGGCTGATTTGGAGGGCAAACTGTTTCTGTTTAATTGGAAGAGGGATCTGACTATCTTAGGCCTGGTATGGGATGTTCATGGGAGAATTTTGGCGATCCGGAAGATGATTCTGCTTGTTTTGGGGTTGTTTCTGGCCGTTTGAAGGGCCGTTCTACTTCCCTGAATATCTGAACTCGCCAAAAGCGCCTGTCGCTCCGGGAGTCATCATCCCGCTGTGACCTTGTGGTCCAGGGGTGGATGCCAGGCCTGCTGGATGGCTGGTAGGGGTGCTTGGTCCGTTGCCGCCTTGGTGTCCGCCTGCGTTGCCTGGATGAAATATCATCCCGCCGTTCATGCCTGGATAACCGGCGATACTCTGGGCTCCTTGTGCGGCCAGAACAGCGGCTTGGGCTGTTGCGCTGGCCGGCGGGGGTACGCCCGTCAATCCCCACATTTGTCCATTCATTTCGTCAGCAATGTTGTTGTCGAACACCCTTTCCCGAATCTTCCAAAACACACCGCCAGTGAGCCAGGCGTCTGATCCTGCTGTATGCTGATTGCCAATGCGCTGGCATCCCAATTCGTCTGCTAGGTCCTGCAGTCCAGATTTGGTCCCGACATTGTTGATGATGGTGGTTGCGGTGGATCCTATCACGCCACGCCGCATAAGATTTATCGCATGACGCCAGAGGTACTTAACATCGAGGAGCTTCGGAAAGAAGATTTGGACCAATTTGCGGTACTGATCTTCGTCCTCAGGGAGAGGTTTCGCCGTCAACATCTTGATCAGATACGCAACGTCATAGCCCGAATGGAACGATATCCAATTGATGTCATCAGAGAGCGTCATTCCAGATGTGATGAGGAGAGATCCGAATTCCTGAGGATCGATGCCTTGCGTAGCGAGCTTGTCGAAGTCTGCGCCGGATTTCCTGAGCATTTCGATTGACTCTTCATTGTACATGTCGTTCTCGAGCGAGAACTGGAAGTTGAACGTCCAAGTGCAGGGACAGACAACGATATTTTGCGCATATAGCTGCACCGTCTTGGGTTGGTAACTCAGGGAGCTCATATCCAGCTGCGGTGGTGGAACATCACCATTTACTGAGAAAAGAGTGATACCCAGCTGGATGATTTTGAGGAGATCTACATTGCAGCGAACAGTTTGGTAATGATAGGACGCTTTCGATGGGAAGTCTCCAATTGGTCGAGCGACAACACCTGGGAATTCGGTATCCTGGAAATATGTTTAGTGGGTGTATTGAATTTAGAAAACGAATGAAAATTTCAGGGGAGTGACAATAGATACCCAGTCATGGTCAGGAAAGAAGGTCAGTTCATCATGCTTGGGAGCCCCATTACGATACGCCTTACAGACATCAAGGTATTAGAAACAATCCCCCACAGAAAATCCTCTGGTTGGGCACCAAGAGTACAGGAGCATTTTGGTCTGAAAGTTTAAGTGGGAAAGATACTGACCATCGATATGTAGGGATATTTATCGACCAAGGAGCGTAGCAAATCCATTTCCTGGTGGAGGTTCGAACGCCAGACCTCCCGTATCCGTTGTTTCATGCCTTTCATGCCATCTTGACCCCGACCCAGAGCAGCTTCCTGTTGCAATTGAGCACCGTGAGCGAACCGCATTCGTGCCTCGTGGCCATCCAGCCCGGTTCCTCCACCTACGCCGCCGAGCCCTGCCGCACTGCCGAGCCCTGCGCCGCCAACACCCCCGCCGAGCCCTGCATTCGACTGAAAGCTATTCTGGTTGTGCCCAAAGAGGTTGAGGCTGTGGCTCTGGTTGCCTCCGCCGAAGCCTGGGTGTTGGAGATTCTGCTGGTGCTGCTGCTGGAGATGCGGCTGCTGGTGTATCGGGTGGCTTGAGATGTGCTGGAATGGATTTGAAAGATTACCACCCGGGAAGCGGTTGCCGGGGGGAGGCATATTTCCTATCGGCGGGTAGTTTGAAGTCGGGAAGTTGGAGGAGGGCTTCTGTTGAACCAAGTGGAAGGAGGGAGCGTAGAGGAATTTCCTGTTCGTGAATGATTCGACGTGGTCTGTGGGTTTAGAGATAGATGGTTCCAGTGACAGTCAAGTGTTGTGGTGAAAGTCGATGGCAGGAGGTCAAGGACCTGGCTGGGTGTTCGCGTTGGTGGACTTGGAGCGCATCCATGGATTGTAGGCTAAGCTTGGGCCGCCCATTATCTTGGCGCTCACATCTCGATGAAGCTTCAAACTGACGACCGCATCGCCTCCCTCGACTCTGTCTCTCAACACACATCACAATGAGGCCAACACGGTAAGTTCTGCTACTACAATGCATTTAAATGATCATACATTCCCTGGGAGGTCAATTGCTAACGTCCTTCACTCAGCGTTTACATGGCGCCACGCCCCTCCCTCACCGGCTTTGACCCAAAGAAGCTCGCCGCAGCAACTAAAAACATAAAAGGCGACCCGTGGGCACGATAGTATGTTCTTTTGCTCCAGAAGTGGTGCCAATTGCGGTCGGTATACTGAGCTACGTCCAGTGAGGCATGGCGGTACACAGGCATGTTCACCCGGTTCAATCGATTCAGAGGCACATTCCCTGGTCTCGGCATCGCGACTGTAGCATTCGCCGGATATCTGGTATACGAGGAGATGTTTATGAAGGAAGAGCATGAGCATCACTGAACAGTTGAGAGGAAGCCGAGGCGGAATCATGCACGTTTGGGGCGTCCCGGTTGATTCGGACATCGTAGCTCCCATGGCTGTACATATTGAATACCAAATGCAGAACGATGGAGAAAGTCGATTCAAGAATGGCTAGCTCCTGAGAAATGGAGGTGTACCATGAAAATCTCAATAGCTCAGAATTCGTCCCGTTAACCCGTCCGACCCGAGTTTTGCACTGAATTTGGCATGAAAATCGAGTTCAGTCCTCCCACATTCACTATTCAAAGCATCATCCTCATCTATTCAATGTGTAAGGCCACCTAGATGGTCATGGACACAGATACCAAAATGTAATCTCACCGACCGATCTCACTAGCGGTCCGCCCGACTATTTCCGTATGACTGCAGCTCCTCAAGAGTTACACAGCTATACTCTTACACTCTTACAGCATTGCATATAGATTAAAAGTGCTCACAGCCCAACGTGTCTGACCTGAAGCACAGTGTCATCCTTGTGTGCAACTCTGCAGATCCGTTCATGGAAAACCAAAAATACAGAGCAGAGCACCAAGACTAACAATACCTACTCTTACCTGGATTCCCCTCCTAAAAAATGCGCGGAGTTTTCATAGGGCCGGCTGTCGTATTTGGAGAAAGCTGATTCTTAGGTAAGTCGGCGCATCCAGAATCCGGATGGACTCCCGAATGTAAAGCGATGCATTGTCTCAAACGCTCGTCTTCAAAAAGCTGCAGCCTCTTTCACGCGTGGCTTCAATATGGCAGGGCGAACGGATATTGACCTCGAGCAGCTACTCGTAGCTGCGTCGGCATCGCAGAAACTAGTGAGATTGCAAACCCAGATACATGCTCCCCGAAGCGCTAGAGTGGGTACAGATCTTGAGCAGGCCCGATAATAAGACTCTGTGGTTTTCTTAAAAAACATTTAAATTTGGCGCTGCTAGAGGCAAGAAAGTCTCTGTATGTTTGGCGAGGGGAAGGTGTCAGTTCGTCGGTGGATACGGGTCGAATTTCAGTATGTTAACTACTTGCACAATCGTTGACTCTTGTACCCCCCAATCCTAGAGGTAGAAAGGGCAATCTTTAAGCCGGCGAGAGATTGCTAGCTCTAGGATGTCCCTTCGTAGTGATGAGGGGCGATAAATAGGTGCAGGTGAGAGCAGCTGCGGGGTTGTGTGAAAGCCTATTGGGGAGAAGAGCACGATCATTGAACCAGAGGTCCTGCAACGCATGCGAGGTTGAGGAATTGCTATGAAGTAGTGTAATAGTGCCTGGTCGCCGAATCCACTCTCTGAAAATGAATCACTGCGCTATAGTGACAAGGAGGGTTGTAAAGCACAACGTTGACTTCAAGCGGTCGTGATAATCTCCTGATGCGGAAGCCTCAATCCACCCAACCTTCGAAGAAACTCGAACGTGGGAGGGCTTCGCTAACAGGGGAGTCCTATTATTCGGATGCTGAGACCGAGGTCCTCATAACCCGAAAGGTGTCGTTCAAAGCACGTTCTGCACAATGTTTGAAACCACTAGACACCGCACCATGTTTTGTGGTTCAGGCAGTGCGCGTGTCGATGCCAAGCCCACTGTTCACCTCGGTGAACCTTCCTGAGCTCTTCAAGGTTTAGAAATTGTGCAGTTTGGACCCAACAGTGTGAGGCATTCGGTATCAGTGAAGTCCTGCAGGGTTGCCATGTGCAAAAGATTACTTGGACAGGAGAAAAGAGTTCACCGGGACCTAAAAGATACTTTGCGATGTGCTCTTTAATTCACTTTGACTTTTTGAGGAGAACGCAATAATCGTCCTTCCCGCGGGGAACTGCAGAGAATACCATTATTCACTCGTCCAATGGGGGCTCTGGTAGCCTTGGACACTCGCCGCTGTACTATTTGAAATCGGAATCAATTGTCAGTTGATTAAGATCCAAACGGAGAAGTAGTAGTAGTAGTAGAATAGGAACGATTGTCAGCTCCGCTGCAACGTTAAATGGTCGATCTTCCGATGGTAGATCACCTGCCAAGTGTCGTGTGTTTGACTACTGGACGGGGGCAGATACCAAACCCTGTCACTGAGCAATGAACTAGGGCACCAATCAAAACTGAAGAAAAACGAAATCAGCTTTCTCCACTTATACGCATTGTGTCTGTGGAGAGTTAAACACCTTTCTACTGGGGATTCCAGTTGTCAAAGAAAAGAAGGTGCAACTAAAATTGAGAAGAGGAACCACCGAACGAAACGCCACTTCCCTAATAACCACAGAACCCCAAACCCTAGTGTCATGGGTGAATTTATGCAATATGACGAGGCGCATTTGAAGGCGACGGCTAAGAATAGAGATTCGTCCTCTCAAGCCTTCTGTGAATAGTATGTAGCGATACGTCGGGGGGATACACAGCGCGAAAACAGACGAAAAAGTTGAATATTCAATGCTCATCACTCAGCTTACCCTCGTGTCAAAGGTGTGCTCTCTACAAAGACACAGCGAACCGGAATATGCACGGGAAGTCTGCGCCGGACGAGAAAATGCAAGGCCGGTACATCGGCTTTGAATAGATTTTGAGGTGATTCTGCACCCCCAGAGGGTCCCTTAACTCGATGGCAAAAAAATGCGATTTGGAAACACAGATTCTCCGAGAAGGATCCGACAAAAAAAAAACGCCTGGTGTCAAGACATTTGTCAAAGATTTACAGTTGGGCGCTGACGGAGACTTGACGAAGGTCTTACGATCTACCTTCGAAGACTGGTTGCCTAAGAGAATGGCGGAAGGGAATATGCAGGTACGGGGGAGTGGATGCAGGGTTCTCACATTATTAAAAGTTCATATCGTTGGCGGAATTCCAACTCGCACGAAGATGTAGAAGGAACAACGTTCCGTCCTCACAGATTGCACCAGGCTTCCCTTCAAGGCAGTTCTGTGGCTGCTGTATTTGAAACCTTTGGCTGCCTGTAAGCTGAAGCTGCTGGTGCTCATTTTTTATTGGAATCCTGCATGCTCTCATGTAGGTACCGGCACGCCGTGCCGTGCACAGAGGATAAGGGCGCATGGAAGGCCTTGTCCATAGAATGAACGTGGAATGCAGAGATCGTCTCCCAACTTCTGGCTGCGTTGGTTCTCGGGCCTGGGAGGACCCGTGAAAGAGGTCTTGCTGCATGCGCTAGAATAGTGTGGTCGCCCCGAAAAGCATTCGGGCTCGCTCGTTGAGACACCATCATACGATAGGGTGGGCTCTTCGAAAATAGATTGACGGTGGTTGCGCAGCAAACCGCACAGCAGGGGATCCGCCCTGGACACTGGCTCTAGAGATGAAGGACTTTGACAATAATTCAAAGACGCAGTCAGAATGCAGTGGGGAGGCTGATGCAAGAACTAGGGACACCTGCGCGTACCTGCAGGAGCTGAAGTACGGCGAGCGATCACTGGTGCCAGCACCTTGCGGAACACAGAGGATGGGAGTATTGACTTGTACTCTCCGCCAGCACCGGCGCTGTGTGAAATCAGGTTGCTCGTGCCTTGCGCTGTTGCTGGCCCAGAGCTTTTGGTGAGGGGGTCGGCGCCAGGGCGGTGGGACTTGTTGGTCACTCTGCTGTGCATCGCAATCTAGTTCCAAGTTCACGGGAATCTCCTGGTAGAGATCCGGGCAAGCAGTCAAATTCAGGGAGGATGTTCGCTTCGCAGAAACCTTTCGACAGGGCGGCTTCGGGTTACGGAATCGTTGTAAGTGTGGTGTGGGCCGCACAAAAGAAAGCAACGAGTGATATGAGGACGCTGGGGTGAAGCGAGCTGGACTGCACAGTGGTGGGCCGTCTGATGAGACACACACTTGCCGACTTGTTTCTTTCCAATGGTGACCCCCAGATGCGGTCATCGGTTCCTGTGTCACTGCCGAGCATGTCACGGCTAGGTCCACCATTCGACAACTCCACGATTCCGCCATTGCGTATGTGCTCGTCTCCCAGGCCGCGAGCATGACTTCCCCCACTAAGGCGCAACGTCCAACCTGGAAGCGGGAGGCATCGCTGTTCGGAATCTCCCTTTACAATTTTGCACAATGGGTTGCACAACGGCTGAGATGATCAAGGCCCCCTCACTGACCGCGTAACACAATACCACGGCTTCCGCGTGGGCCTTATCAGCTGCAATAGCAATGGGAGAGCAGAAGATAGACAAGAGGTCATGCTGATGATGCCGTAGCCTGTCGTTGAGACTATTGACTTGTGTCCCTTCCAACACGATGTGGGCTGCTAACGGAACCGGCAGTGTTATCCATTGTTTCCCAAAACGGCACACTCTGATAACCCAGCAGACCAGACGGCATGGCAGGCTGGTTGTTGACCACCCCAGGAGCCTGATGCGGTGCCTTGGCGCGTTGAGCTCCCAGAGGCGCGAGGCCGTCACGCGAAGCTGTCATTGTTTTAGAGTCCGAATGTCATGGCCTTGTCAGTCTAAATCAACCTCATTATTGACACAGGTTTCAACAACCGTTCGCATACAAAAGAGTCAGCAGCGCGCTGGCGTGAGAGATGCACGACTAAGACCGGTATAAAAAGATATGCCATCGGGACGCGACGTCGCGGCGGCAAGGCTCGTCGGCTGTTTCAGCTTCAGTGTTTCTCCCGATCAGAAGATGATCTGCCAGAAACGGCGCCCTAGCCTCCTTCGGCCTTCATATCTAGACGCCAAAAACAGCAACATTGTCCATCTTGGGATGCGTCGAAGGTCGCAGGAGAGGTGCTCAGGGGCGAGTGTCGACAGTCTATTGTTTACTGAGGATTCTGCAGCGCTCTATCGGTTGGCCTCAGGCAGCATTGAAGCGATCTGACGCACCCAGGCACCCAGGTCGCGAACTGGGCACCTTTTGTTAACATCCAGGTACAACCCTGTCAGCGCGTGAACCCCTGCGGCGAAGGAACATGCTCCTCGACTGCATACCTCTGGGCGCGGGCTGCCGGTTGCTCGCCGACGGGCAAAATCCTCCGTGCCTCCTCCTCGCCGCCACGCTCCTTGGTTTTGTGCAATGAAGGGCATTATAGCACACCGACTCAGTCCCTCATCATCGTTGAGATTGGAGGCCGGCGCACAGCGAGATCATCGTGCTCCACGGCGTCGCCATCCGCCTCAGGGTCCAGTTTGAGACGCCGATATGTTTCTCCGTCACAACTCGTCGCTCGCGCAACAAATTAAAATTCATCTCTGGCGACAATGGCGGGGCGTGGTCCAGCAGAGGGTCCTCCAGCAGCCAGATTTTAGCCGTTTTTCTCGCCGCTGGCCAGTCAGAGCGCATTTTTTATTCCCCTGCAATGTTATATTGCCCGCGACCACTCCGTCGGGCCGCCTTCTTTAGGGCTTCGATGCTGAATGGCTTCAAGGCTAGGCGTCCCTTGTCCTGCGCCGTCTGTTCCTCGACCTCTAGCCCCGGCTCCCGCTGCTCCCCACCACTTACACCCGTAGAACAGCTATCCACGATAGCACAATTGGTGACTTTCCACTTCCCCCATGCTGTGCTCCCTGTGCTCAAGCCCACCTTGCGTGCAGCATTGCTGGTCCCTGTGCTCGCTAGCTTTGGTGGGCACTGAGCACAATTCTGACTTTCTCCACATGCTCTCCGCTGCTCTGTGTACGGCCACCATGGCCTTGCCATCCCTACTTCTCATGGCGCGCTTCTGCCGGCTGCAAGAGCTTGCACCACAACGCGCTCCAGTGTCGCAGCATGCAGTGCCACGAAAATCACGGTTGAACATATACCTTTTAGTCTCCCTCGAGTCTTCCGCACCACCAACCTCCTGCCAAATTGCGTCTGTTCGTACGCCGCAATACTTAATTCTCGTTTCCGCTTCAGGCATCTCGGAGTGTCATCACCGTTGGCATCTTTACCTGACGCCCGCCGAATGTCTTCCTCAGTCCTCTAACCACACAGCAGTGCATCCCCGTTTTAATGCTGCCAACTAGAGTCGAGGTCATCCTTCCACAGTCAGCATTTGTCCTAGGGCCGCCCACTCCTTTGCGCTCTGTTACCCCATCCTCACGTTACTCATTTCCTCCACTGTGGATAAGCCAATCATTTTAGCAGGTACGCATATATTGCTCACGGCATTATTACATCTCAGCTGCAAGCTCTCTTTGCTGTTACAGTGGTTCTATCCGACCCTGGTCAGGCCCTTTTCGTTCTCTTCCAACACCTCCGTCTGTTTGGGCTTTGCACCAGATATACGGTCTAGTCCACTAACACGCCTAGCAGGATTCAACCTGGACATTCAACTCGATAAACATCCGAACACGCGCACGCGACAGGTTTCCCCGGAATATACAACGTGCGTTAACCTTTGACCCTCCATGGTTGTGGTGTTGAACGAGCTTCGCCAACCATTGTGGGGCTCCGTACACACAACACCAGCGTTCCTAGACCTATATCTGCCAACTACTGAGCCGTCGCCCTGAGAGGTGTTCCTAACTCTCAAGCCATGTTTCTTTTTAATAAGAACAACGCGTTGCCGCGCTCAAGACAGTCATCTATAGACTCCCTGGTCACCGACCCCTCGACCTCGACCTCGGCTTCGACCTCAGATGTTTGGGTGTCTCAATCAGATGTATCTTCTTATGGGGAAATGCCTTCACCAGAGCAAAGAGAACGAACTCACCCTGGAAAGAGAAGCTCTGTATTTAATCTACGATCGAGAAGTAATACAGCTACCTCCACCTCTTCATCGTTTGTGTCTGTACCCTCAGACATGACTGGAACTGATGATCCGTCGCAGCGATCATCGCAAGACCTTCGTAATCTTGCTGGTCACGGTTTCTTGGAGCTCAGTGGGGGAAAGAGGTCACTGTTCGCGCGTGGAAAGAGGACCAAGAGGCAAAGTAGTCAATATTTCCCGGGATATAATGTAAACGAGATTGAGGAGACGGACAGTGGTAATAAGAGGGCTACGGTCTTGCGGAAGGGTAGAAGGAGCAATGTATCTGAGGGCTCTAGTGAGTGCTCCTCTAATCTCTCTATACAGCTCAGAACTAATCTGTACTTGCAGTCCAACACCTAAAACACCGCATATCCAGTCCCTTTGACTTCCAGCATCTCACACATACCGATCGACAGCAATTCGCGGCCCTAGAAAAAACTTCTGAAAATGATCTTGTTGCTGAATTTTGGGCCGTTCGCGCTTCACAGGCTCCTCGCCGCGATCTCACTGGTATAAAGGCTGATGATTTGCTTTTTCAGAATTTCTCTTCCGAAAATCTAGCAAACCCGGGGTCGAGGTCGCAGTCAGCCTTAGGTATCAGATCACCTCCTCTGAGTCCAGAGCGTGCCAAAGAGTGGCAGCAACCTGAGCTGTCTTCACAAGAGTCTGCTGGGAGAGCCATTCGCTTAAGCAGGTCTGTCGAAAGCTTCTCACAACCTGGAGTGAAGCCTCGCCTCCATCGTCACTCCCAGTCTGCAAATCCTCCCCCTCGATCGTCATCATCCCGGCTTCCTCTTGCTCGAATCGACGACTTTCCTGAAGAATCTTCAGACACCCAAAGACATTCCCCTCCCGCTAGGTCACGTTCGAATAGGAGCTCTGGAATGTGGGATAAATTTGTACCTTTGAGTCCTCCAACCATGGGAGAGAAGCTCCCACCTATTACAGATGAGCCAGGCTACTTCGGACACGCTGTTACCACCCCTGATGATTCCGCAATCCATACGATCACACCACCTTTCAGTCCCGACTTAGAAAACGTCCCTGAGGAGCCGGACCGTTTCCACAACCCCCGACCTGCTCCTCATCCACCCATCCGATCCTCCAAGGCTCCCAAATCGCCGTCATTTGATTCATTCTCCTTCCGCACTAACCAACGTTCACCTAGATCACGGTCCAATAGTCGAGTAAGTCCTTTCGCATCCCCGAAGAACACCCAGCGTAGTCCTATGACTCGCCCAATCTCCCAAATGTCGGACACGTTAGGATCGCCAACACTTTCTCGGAGGAATTCTGTCCGGCGAGCTCCTGCCGCGCGGAGGAAATCTAACACCTGGCGCGCCATTGATGAATCATGGGAAGACGATGTCGACTATATCTATGAGAATGCTCTAGAAGCAGATTGCGATTATGACTGGGATCATACATCGAACGACGGAGCTTTCGAGGATAGGGATCGTACTCCTGAGCAGCAAGACCACGAACGCCCTTCAACTGCAATTTCACAGGCCACACAGACAGCTTCGGTGGCATCAGAGGATGAACCTACTATTCAAACCAGGTTCTTCCCGAGCGCATTCCGACCTTCTCTTCTTGTTCCAACGGCAACCAACGTCCCAGACCTCGAGTCCAGGTCCGCCGTTTCTGCTTCCACAGCTGATACCAGTGTGCAAACACCCTCTGATTTTTTCAGTATAATGGGTCATCGACCGTCTCCTTTTACGGAAGCTGAAGGGTTCAGCCTCACTCCATCCCTTCTCATTCCCCAAGAGTATAAAGACGTCTCCCGTGAAGAAATCTATGACGATCTTCTTGCAGAGTATGAAGGGTCTGACAGGCACTTCCCTCTCATTGACGCGAATCAGAGCGTTACAAGCTCGAGCCGCAGTAGTCACGTTCGTTCTAGTAAACGAAGCTCTTATGATAGCAGCCTCATGTCTTCTGGTCAGGGTTCCAGTTCCTGGAGTTCCCCAGTGCGCCGCTCCGCAAGCTCCTCTGGCAGTCTCCCAGAACTAATACACTCTCGACGTGCCCGGAAGAACTTCGACATCATGGTTGATCAGCTCACGGACCAGGTAGCATCTTTTACATCTTTCGGGGAAGACGGCAATGAGAACATGGAAGACGACGATACAACCCCTCCTGGACGTCCTTCGCAGGATCGAACATTCTTTGCCTCTGATGAAGAAGAGCATCAAAGCTATGGCGATCGCCAGGAGTCCATTGAGAGTGAGGTCAGAGCTTCACTAGAATTGGCTCGCCAAGGTTCAACGCGTTCCACCCGTCCTCCTCCTTTGCACTACCACAAATACGCTTCATCAGACGGCGCCACAAAGCTGCTTGGATCTCCTCTTCGAAAAACTCCAGAGTTGCAGCAACCACCTAAGTACCGCAATCGAGCCTCAAGCTCCAGTAACGCTGTTCGAGGAAATAGGCAGACTTATCTCAGCCTCTTTCCAGCACCCCCAAAGCACACACCACTTCCCACACCAACGCTTGGGGCTACATTCAACCCTACATCACCAAAGTTTTAAGGGTTTGCTTTCCAAGCCTTTAAGTTTGCACCACTCTTCTTATTTTTCTCGATACCTTGTACTTCTATGGTGCTCTCACCATCCTGCATTCTTAATGGCGCAAAGCCCGGCAGGCTCTTTTGAATACTCTGGCAGGACCACTCTATTCAATATTGACGATGGTCATGCCTCTTTCATTTCCATTCATTGTAGACACTCATCACGACTAGTGTGTTTACAGGTTTCCAAAAGGACAGTTTTCAATCCCTGGGTTTATGGGCTTCTTTCTGAGGGGTTTAAGGAAGAGAAAATGGGACCTGGCTGGGTTAGTGTATTTGGGTCTTCTTCCTCTCTTTTAGATAGACACCATGTCCGGCAATACTCGGACGTCTTGTCTTCATCTCATTTCATTGTACCAGTCACTTCCTGTTTGTCTACGGAGTGTGGCTCTCTGCTCTGTTCCTCTCCCATACAAACTCTAGCGGCCATATTGCTAGTACAATACTTTCCCTTTGTCATTCTAACATACAGAAGGTCGGGTGAATGGGTTGGCCGGTGATGAGTGATGAAGATGACGAGGCGGATCTAATATCATATTATGTACATTCCATCCCGTCTTTACTGGTGTTTCTGAAGAACAGGTCCGCTGTGGAGGAGTTAGTCACTTTATCTACCTGTCTGGTTGCCGATGCCGAACGACCTGGCATATCTAGGCGAATCGAACAATTTTGTGAGCATTGAAAGTCTAGAAATGCATCACGTGAACTGGAGGAATAAGGCGGCAAGAGATATGGTGGTACACCTTCCAAAATACGACATTACAGAATCACAAAGGCCCACACTTTATTGTATAGGTAGAGAAACATTTCGCGGTTACATTCACTATGTTACGTCCACTGGACCCGCCCTGGAGTTTGTAAAGAGCCATCTCTTTCCTACCATGAACACTTCTTAGGGCAACTCCTACGGCTACTACAAAAGTTACAGCTATAATTTCCAGCCATGACAACTGTTACTCAACCGAAGATTCCCAACAAGGAAAACACTCTCAACATGTGCATAGAGTAGTTTGAACGCTTTGGCTGTGGTTGTAAGGGATGCAACGGTATCGAATTCATTCTTGTCATGTCCAGTGCACAAGCACCAACAAAGCATTTCGTAGAATGAGGAAATGCTTGATCTATCAATAAAGTGGCTTAACACTGGGCATAAGTTTATCCTTCCGTAGAGATCTTGCCGGCGAGGTCTGAAACGTAATTACATCTTCAAGTTGTACCTGTCTCCAATTTCCATTATTCTGCCTACTCGCCCATCCCATCCTAGCCCTACCATGTTAGTCTCTATACGTACAATCCCAGCTTCAATATCATATTATATCACCCTCCCCAGAAAATATCCAAATGCCACGCCCTCGCCTCACATACGAAAAACCCTCAAACGTCGCAACCCCGGATAATCTCGTCTCCATGTACCGGATCTTCTGATGTGAGCACGGGACGTTTGATGTTCATGCAAGTCATGCACGTATTCACCCGGATCTTCCACCCTTGTTTGCCGTTAGTCATCGGCTCACTAGGCGGATGAATCATAATATCCTTAAAATATACTATCACTTAGTGGACTTGCGTACACTCTGATCTCAAGCTTGACTTTTGCCGATTTTCGCAGGCTTCGCTTCGAGATCGATGGGGCTGGGATTCTTGCTCTTCTAGTACCCTTGCTGCAAATCTTTGCTTTTTCCACTCGGAGATGAGAAGAGAAGTTTTCAGAATCAATGCAAATATATGAGAGTTGCTGACCTTGCGTCGAAACAACAAGACGGCATCCTCAGTTTTCATTTCTGATAGATTATTATGGGGAACCGGGATCGGAGTGTGAGGGTTCTTGCTCCCGGTTTTTGTGTGCTACTGCAAGGTAATTGTTTGCGGAATCCCATGCGCCGGTCTTCATCCATCTAATGGCTTCAAGGCTTCTGGCCTTCAGTGCCATGGATCGTATCCTATGGGTTTTTGGAGGCGAGATGGTTATCATTTAGATATCTTCGGTGTTGAGGAATCTGGTGGTAGGATGATGGGATTTGGACTTCGCGGTCTACTTTTCGTTCTTCTATCTGTGTCTGCGATTGATATATATCTATGCGAATGGGAAAGGCGGTAATACAGGAAGCACAAAACGTTTGCACAAACAGCCCAAATCGTTAGAAATCAATGTATTTTATGCTGGAATTTCCGCGGCTGTCGCTAGCTTTTCTGGCACCCTCATTGCTGTAGGTGAATTTCGGAACTGCCTTGATGGAGACACGAGGTGTGAGCAGGGTTCTAGGTCTGTGCTGAAGAGGAAGCGGCCCAGACTATTCTGAACGCGGCAAAGTGGGAAAGGGACCAGTTCATGCGTCCTCTGGTTCTGTCATCGAGACAACCACCGTCGGTCAACTAGACTCCGCCTTCACAACTCATATATTTGTTTCCTTAGGATGACCCGTACCCTAAAGACTCCAGCCGTCTACCCCCGGTATCGCGAAGCTGTCCAATGATGCTCTGACGTGGTTACAGTCCTTCGTCACCTCTCCGGCAGCGGACAACCCAACACGTCCGTGAACACCAAAAATCTTAACTATAAGTTAATACCATTAACTGACTGTACAAATGAATATCGTAGGATCTTCAAGATAAGGGCTGTATGATCGGGTATATATTATACCTTCCCACCCTAGTTGCTAAAGGTTTTCCTCGCTTTGAGCTTCATCAGACGCCAATGCAGTATGTAAATTCAGCTATGACCTGATACACATATTGCCACATGTAGACGGTCTAGAAAATGATAGATGTTGAAGAGATCGTGAGCGGTTTGGGTCCTCCACTAGGAACGTGAGTCGTGGATCTGGGTTCCTGGCTTAGCTCACTCCCTATTTCTTGACGTAAGATCCTACTTACCTGCCCCAGACTACATAATTCTTCCTTCTTTTATACATCCTGCAGACTTTCAGACCCGTCAGAACTAGGCCCGTTACCTCAATGATCGTCCCGATCACACTAAAAGCAATTGCTGTTGAGGTTGGAGAATCCGAGGGCGCGGAGATCGGAACCAAAAGTGGGGTGGACGTTAATGTTTGAATGGGAGAGTATGTAGCTGTCCCCATGAGGCTAAAATTCTCGTGGCATTTAGTGAGGGAGTAGATAGTGGGAAGATCCGCGGAGCCATAGTACATTAAGGCTCGGGCCTGGCATATTCGCGCTCCAAGGTGTTTGAAGCTGTTGTTATGTGATTCCGCTAGAAGTATAGCTACTCTAGCCGAATAACTAGTATAATTAAGAGGCGCTCCGCAAGGTTCTGCTCCTTGTTAATTTCACTTGTTTCTTCGCGCACTTCTATAGCTAGATCTTTCTAGGTGCAGTTATCTGCATTGCTATAGAGTTTATCCTCTATCCAGCTCTAGTTTACTCAGTGTCCCGCAGTTCATACAGCATTACTGATATACTCTTGCGTTATATCGGTTGTCAAGATATCTTCGTATGGTGTTTACTATCTCTGTCAGTGAACACTTACGGCTCCTGAAAACATACCGAAATATCGTCACTAATGAGCTACCAAACACCCCACAAGCACGCAATTATTCGATCCCAACACGCCATCATCCTTACCTCTACGCCCGGAACATTTTCGTATCTTAAGAGGCCCTGTCCGAAATCACTGCAATTATAGACGGCAATCCACCAATATCAAGCCCACCTTCAGCTACACCAATGAAGAGCCAGATATGAGTAACTCCTCTATGTGCGATGCTCAAAGGGCAGGCTTCATCCCAAGAAGTACTGGATGTGGAGGGGAGCGCGGAACACGTGTTAATCTTTACCACTCTAATGAGTCAAGCTCTCTCGGGAGATTATCGAGAGGGGACCACCCACACTTGCCCTATCTGTAAAGGGTCAAAAGCGAAGAAAAGTTTCTTGAAGGCTTGGACACACTACAGGCGGGTTCCTGTCCAGGTTAGAACGCTTAAGCCAGCATTCAGGATACTACACGTACTACGTCAAGCAGGACGACGATCTGGTGGACAACAAATGGTCTCGACTACTTGCATTGGTTGCTAAAGTACGCACACAGGCAGAGTTTGTGCTCGCAGACCTTCATCTTTATGACAATCTACCCTCCATTTCTCGAAATGCCCCCTTCTTTCTAGTTGAACCCGAGCGCAGAGGCTAAAATGAGTTGCGAAAACTAGGAGATCCAGTCGACTGCCTCGGATGAACCTGGCTGCACTGTCTTCTCGATTGGAGTGGTTTCTGCGAGCCGCCTATTTATCACTTTCTTGGAGGATGATGATAAATCAATGGACACTATCAACGCACAAGACATCCTAGGCCGTACACTCTACACATTGCCTGTCAGAAAGTCTATCGGTATTTAACCAACACTCTGCTCGAACTAAGTGCAGATAGTACATCTCAAACGATTTACAGCAGGCAGCCTCTGCACTATGCCGCAACAGAGAGATCACGGGACATGTGCCAGAAACCTCTATCCACAGCCAACACTAATGTCAATGCTGTTGGCTCATGGGGCTACACGGCTCTTTCCTACACTGTGAAAAAAGAAAATTATGATGCAGTCAAGCTCCTTCTAGCCTATATACCGGGGAACGTACTCCACTCGAAGATGTGGTCTATCAAGAGAATCTCGGTATTTCGCAGCTGCTATTAGACACCGGGGCAAACCCTAATGTGCAAGACGAAACAGGCCATTCGCCATCTCACAACACCGTGTCTAGGAAAAAATCGACCAGATGAGGTCCCTTGGTGCACAACAGAGCATCCAGATCAATGCCAGAGAAAGCGGAGGGAGGACGGCCCTTCAAACCGCGGCCATCGGGCGCATTGATGAAGGCATCAAGTACCTCATCGAACGCAAAGATGGTCAAGGTAAATGAGATGTTGACGTGAATTGCCTCGACGACAATGGCATCACACCCCTTATGCTCGTTGCAAATTATGGGCATGCGGCGGTTGTCAAGTTGCTGCTCGAGATACCTCATGTTTCCCTCACAGCGCGGGATAAGGAGAGACAGACTGCGTTGGGGATTGCAAGGGAGTCTGGTCATGCGGAGATATCACAACTCCTGACTTCCGAGAAAGCACGTCGAAAAAAATGAACATTGGGTATCGATGGCGAATTTGTTAGCCCTACCTCATCAGGTGTTTGAATAACCTCCTAGACTAACACTTCCTTCCTTCATCTGAATTGTTACTTGCGGAAACACCTACCATCTCACCCACCTGTAGCATATCTGCGTCTACCACGGGCCCCTGGCCCGAACTTTTTGATTCTCAATCCCCTTACTAGATAATGGACCACGCCAAGCAGGTTCCCAAATCTGTCATAAATCACCCCCTGCCATATTCGGTACATATCCCCACACCCAAAACGCAATAGTTTTCCCGTCCCTGCCTGCCAGCCACAAAAAATAAACCCTCACCGCCCTCCCATTCCTTGAGAACAAGGGAATAGCATTCATTATACCCGGTATCACATCACTACCACCATCTTACCATCGCACCATCATTTCCATCGCGTGAAGCCCGACGCTGAAAACAGCATCCTTACATTGCTAGAAATATTATACGATTTGCACTAAGAGCACCAGTGTGGGGGAAATATTCGTATCGGAGTATCTCCAATAACGTATCATATGCTTCATTCATAGCAACAGGCGGTATGTCCCTTCCCACGACAGGGCCTAAGGCTCTTGATCACTAGAACCTTGAGATCGACTGATCTGTGTCCACGAATCAGGGCCCAATTGCATGAGGAAGGAGATAGCCAGCCAGCAGAAACCCCACCCCACCGTAGCAAACACCAAACATCAGGCAGGAAAATGGACATTAACAAGTGTCAAGCACAAACACGATAGCTTGGGTACCAAACTAGTGAATTTACAGTGTAACGGACCGCAACCCCCAGACCTTGATATCCTAATACACTCTCCTGGAACGGGTTTAGCTGGGGATGACAGACTGATGGACTGACTATACATTACTTCCACGACTGCCCCGCGGGTATAACATAACAACGACTTACACGAGGTTTACACTTCTAGTCCTTCCTCCCCTTGCGGCCGTCGTGCTTTCTATTTACCTATGAATTCAATCTAGCTAAACGCGAAAACAGGTATCCAACTTCAGCTTCAGCATCAAAATTCAACTTCAAAAACCACACCCAGCTAGCAGAGTAATCCAGACTCTTGGTAGCAATCCAAACCCCTTACTACACTCAGAAAGGCGCGTGTGTACTCGAAGCAAAGAACCAATCCAAAATGAGCATTGAAAGACGAAAACAGAAAACTTCAATGTGACGCTGATGCAAATCCAACAAAGGAGAAGTGAAGCGCTGGAGAGGCCAGAAAGAAATGCAAGCTACTATACCAATTTTCGCCTCGCCTCGCCCAAGAAAGTTGAAACCATCCCATTTTCCATCATGAAGATCGTATTCATTTCCAACTTGCGTTACCAACCCACGCTCTTACTCCTACAACTCCCCTTCAACTTCATCATCAATCACCCGTTCCAGATCGCTGCGAGGGAGAGAATTAGCTGGTCATAGGAAGCAGCGAATAGAACACGCCTAGTGATCGCCATTCAGGGCTCCGTTCCCAGGACCGCCACCCATGTAGCGTTCCATGTAGCTGATGTAATCGAACTTAGGTACGTTTCTGTCTTCTTGCATGTCTGGGCCTTTGTGTTCGGGCATTGTGGAAATAAGGTCCTCGATGATTTCATCTGGGACGAGGGAGTGACGGAGGTCGAGCTCGGTGACGTATGGCTGCAAAGCCGTCAGTTTCTCACTTCTATCCTGTATGTTAGAGAGGGGAGCGGAGAGGACTCACCTTGCCATCCGCAACCTCCTTAAATGACTCGAATACTTGCTCAGCCGTATTTTGGTCTTCAGTTTCATCCACCATAAACCTGATGAACTGTTCAAAAGTTACGTAATCTCTTCCCCCGCTTGTTTCTCTGAATTTTGCATGCATTTCATTCTCATCGTATACCAACCCTAGACTTGCCAGCGCCGCTGCAAATTCCAGCTCTTGCAGACTGTTCGATACATCTCGGTCAAAGTGCCTGAACACGGATTCGAATTCTTCAAGCTGAATCGGGGTGAGATTTGTCATATTGCGTGCTACCATCTGGTTTTCCAAGAACGCGAGTTTTTTTGAGACGGAGGACCGGACGAGGCCGAGCTCATACTCAAGCTCGTCGTAAGTGTAAGTTGTGAAGTCGTTTTCCTCAATGTTTGCTTCCACGCATTGGTCGTCTATCGAGGCAATGATGTTGAGGTACTGGTCTAGTGGCTGAAGCGATTTGCTAAGTTGCTTGGTATGTTCTAGCTGGTCCTCAACGTCGCCTTCTAGTCCAGAGATGGATGTTGATAGCGTATTCAGGGCGAGGGCAAAATCATTTGCTTTGTCGGCAAAGGATTTACGGAGGGCATTCTTGATGTCCCGGATTGTTTCGTTGATCGTCTGCGATCGATTTCGTTCTGCCTTCATGAGACCCGCCCACGCCACGTCTAACGCTTCTATGCTAAGCTCCGCCGGTGGTTCGTACGGTCGTAGGCGATATGTGGAAAGCTTTGTTTTGATATTCCCGAGGAGCCCGACCAGATCTGACTTCTCTGCCACCCACGCCCTCTTATTCTTGCGCTTGTATCCCGTGAACTCTGCCGACTGGTTCTTAGCGTCCGCATATGTACCATCGAACTCAGCGTCCTCCCACTTCCGTTGCTGTTCGGCAATCTGGCGGAGCAGCTCCCGCATACGTTTCTCGAAATTGTTCTGCATCTCCCATGCCCCTTGCATATTCTGAACAAACTTCTCCACACGGCGGCCGGCGTTCTCAACTCGCTCCATCTGCGAGAAGGCGTGGAACCAGTAGGCAATGTAGGTCATGAGCGAGCGCTCATCGGGTTTAGCGACATCGCAGACATCTTCTACGTCGAGAAGGTCAGGAATGCCGATTTCTTTGGAGGCAATGTCAAAAGCAAGTTGCATGTTTCCACGGTGGTCGTTCTTGTCTAGGCTATCGTAGTCGATTAGGTCAGGCCGGTGGATATCGAGGAGGGCGCAGCTATTCCTCATGTTAGCATGGTAGCACTGAGTCGGACACCGCACTCACAATGCTAGCCCGTCGTTCCAGCTTGTAGAGAAGTCCCGAACCTCGACCTCGTCGTAACAGGCCGTCTTCCTTTGACACCAGAGCAGCAAGCCCTCCTTAGCACTCAATCCCTCCTCATTGATATCACTGATAGTAAATCGGAGAATGAGCGTCCATATCAGGCCTAGTATAATCTTGCTGTTGCCATCGACTACGTCCTCGGCACCGATGTTGGTCATCTGGATGCCCCTCCGCTTAATAAAGTCCAGCGACTTGTTGACATTCTCGAACTTTTGCACGCGCAGCTTTGGACGGGAGGCATACCGGCCGAGCGACTCATTTCCCAAGATTTCGAGAAGGTGTATAAGCGCAATCTGTGTTCTAACTGTCAGGTCTTTGAAAGAGCGGTATGCAGCAGGGATGTGGGCAATGAGAATGCTGGAAGGACGCGGGGGCACAGCGGTACTTACACCGTCCGAAAGGTCTGAAATAAGGTCATTAATCTCAACTTCTCGGGCTTTGAGCTTGCTGTTCAGCCTGCAGCCGTCTGGTTAGCAGTGTTGTACAGCAAGCACTGGCGGGGGTGGCGGCGCACCATTTAGTAAACGTCTTCTGCTGGACTTTAACCCATTGCTGCTCGAGCGGCGCCATGGCGGACTGTGTGCATCAGGAGTATACTTTGGGCCAAGAAGGTGGAGTATGCATGCGAGTAGGAATAGTCGTGTGTGCCGTTGGTACTTGGAGTGTGGTGAGTTGTTTTCCAGGCCAAAACAATGGGGCCCTGCGCCCGCTCGGCTGGCGTGGCGGGGCCTGTTCGGCGGTTGTCAAGACGTTCTCCGCCCAATGGCCCTGTGACTTCACTTCGACACCAAACCCCCGCCCACCAATATCCTTTTACAAGACTACTGGCCAAATTACTTCGTTTCGCCTAGAGACTTTGCATGCACTGAAATTCGCAATTCTTGGGCCCCGCTCTTCGTCGACAAGAATCTCGTCCTGCGCACGAGCTTGTCGCAGCCTCACTTCACGGCTGTCAATCGCCTGAGTTTCACTTTCCACTTCTACCAACTCCCTTGTTCCTGCCAGCATCATGGCTGATAGCGCTGCGGGGTCACTGCCGTATCACGAGCCTGGTATTGTTGCCATCCTTGTCCAAGCCTCCTTCTTACTTCTCCTTAACATGGTCAATTCTGCTCTTGACCGCATCGTGTACTGCGGTTTACTCGGGCAAGTCCTGTTAGGTATTTGCTGGGGGACTCCCGGTGCGAAATGGCTCTCAGCCAGTGCTGAAGAGGTCGTCGTTCAATTGGGATATCTGGGTTTGATGTTGCTTGTGTTCCAAGGTATCTCACACTGATCACCTACCTCCTTCGCTGACCATCGTTAAGGTGGCCTATCTACTTCCTTTGCATCTCTTAAAGCCAACCTTCTCCTTTCTTCTGGAGTCGCAATCACCGGCATCACTGTTCCCATTGCTCTTTCCTTTTCTCTCCAGTGGCTGGTAGGCGCCACTTCTTTGCAGGCCTTTGCTGCTGGTGCTGCCTTGTGTTCCACCAGTCTTGGAACCACCTTTACAGTGCTGGCGTCTAGCGGGCTCACATCTTCTAGGCTGGGCATTGTTCTAACAACTGCCGCAATGATAGACGACGTTGTTGGGCTAGTCATGGTCCAAGTCATCTCCAATCTTGGAAGTACCATCAGTGCCATCACCATCATTCGTCCTATCCTAGTCTCTCTTGGATTTGCTGTAGTCGCCCCTTTGGCGTGTCAATTTCTGATTCTACCGCTGACGGTGTCTTTGAATCGCTATCGCGAAACCCATTCCTCCGGGAAGATCGACAGGATTGTATGCTTGAGGCACACTGCGTTTGTGATTCATACTTTAGTTCTCATTGCTCTGGCGACTGGTGCTACCTACGCTGGGACTTCGAATTTGTTCGCTGCATATATTGCAGGAGCTGTCATTAGTTGGTGGGATACGGAAGTACCACATCCCAAAAATGCTCAGACAAGGCTGGTTGAGGAAAAGACCCAGCCCGATGCTACCCAAAAAAACAATCTCCTAACCGAAGAATCTACAGATGCTGCTGGAGCTGGGGACAATGGCCCACAGAACAGGGTGGACAATGAGGTGCAATTAACAAACCTAGCAATTTCGAGCGATGTCTGTGTTGATGAGAGTACTACATTTGGCTCGACTATTTACCAGGAGTACTACAAGCAGGCGGTCTCCAAGATTCTGCGGCCCTTCTTTTTCGCATCCATTGGGTTCTCAATTCCGATTTCCCACATGTTCAGAAGCTCCATCATCTGGCGTGGGATTGTCTATACCCTCCTCATGACGCTCGGAAAGCTTGTCTGTGGACTTTGGCTTGTTCGTTTCTCCGTGGTCCCTGTGCAGGGCACACTCCGCGGCCGGATGTTAAACGTTGAGCTACCCGAAGTCCCTCATCTCTGGGGAAAGAGTGCGAAGACCGGGTCGAGCCATGCATTCAAGCGAGACCAGCCTCAGACAGTCTCCACGCATGAAGAGCCTTCAACTCCAAAAATTACACAAACGGTGCCACGAACTCCTTCTACGCCCAAACCGTTCTCTCTCTATCCACCCCTCATCCTTGCCTTGGCGATGGTAGCACGCGGCGAAATTGGGTTTCTGATCTCGGCGATGGCTGAGTCTAACGGCGCGTTCTCGTCTGGACATACAAATTCCAGCTCGGAATCCGACATCTTCCTAGTGGTCACCTGGGCCATCGTCCTTTGCACTATTATCGGACCCCTAGGAGTTGGGCTTTCTGTGAAGAGAGTGAAAAAGCTAGAGGAGAGGAAGAGCAAAGGGCAAGAGGGATCGGGAAGGGATGTCTTGGGTGTTTGGGGTGTTCGGTAGGAATGCGGACCGGGGAGGCAGCTCAACGTTCAGGATACCCGTGCGGCGTTATTGCTCGCTGCTGTACTATGGTTCGAAGGAAGCGAGTGGCTTGAAGCTTACTCGTTAGCTGTCAAAAAGGACGTCTCCCATTCGTAAGCACTCTGCATCTCGACATCACCAGCGCATCGTTTCATGATGGCTTCTAGAAACGCGAGGAGATAGCTCCGGTTCGATCCGGCGATTCCAAACACAATGCATCTTCAATTTCCATTGCACTTCGACATCAGCCCTATTTCAGAGAGGTGTGATGTTTTACATGTTTGTTTCAACACTCGTGATCCATCGTCAGGGTCGTGTTTGTGTTGAAATTGCTCAGATCCGGTAGTTATTGACGAGGGACATCTGTAACTGGTTTGGCATTTTTAGTTAGCCCGAGTTACATCACGGGAACCATAGCAGTGGCATTAACAATTCAAATCTCAATCACTTTCATACACGGTTGGTGATACAAGTCTAGCAAATGAAACACTGACCACGGAAAAGAAAGCCGTTGGGGGATTTCTCACTGCATCTAGTCAAACGGGAGGACACGGAGAAAATATGCTGGTACAGACGCTGCAGGGAAGAGTCCCTCATACAAATTATCGAGCACTGTTCGGCATGTCTGGCCGTGACCGAGCCGCATGTTCGGCTTAGATGCAGGTGGAAGCTCACTCCTGATGTCAAGAGGTTTCGTTTTTGAATACATTTGCGACCTTGCCTCCTAGCCATATTGTTTGGCGGAATTATTTTCGAAAGAGCTAGTGGAGAGGAAAAATTGTGCCTAGTGGCAGGAAAACGAGGAGCAGGTGTGGAGGCTGAGGGGAGGGTTTTGGTGCAGCTTGGGTGTGTTTCAGAGACGGCGACGTGAATCAGTTAAATCGGCATGCTGAAACAATAGCCATTGTCGAGGATGCCGCCAGCCGCCAGAAGTGCTTGCTAAAGCGGCCCATCAGCCATCCAAGCTTTTGCCCCCCATCGCCGAGCCATTGAGGCGCGCCCACGGTCGGCGTCTTGCCGTGGTGTCGCGCCTCCCCGGCCTTGAAACGATTCCTGCGAATTGCTGTATGCGCCCACGGCGCTCCAGCGCGCATAGATATGACGATGAAAACCTCTCAAAGCGCCCACACGCCTATGAATAGTCTGGTGTACGGCGATTGGCTGCTATTAATCTTCTTTGTGGTTTAGGGGGCGTAAGCCGTCACGTGCTGATCTGTGCCGCTGCTTTAACTCGCTGCTCAACAAGGAGAGGCGGGAGCGGACTCGAAGCTAAACCCAGCTCAGCATTTCCACCGACCTTCACCAGACCCCCAACCACTTTCCCCATTGCCCAAACTGCGCTCTTCCACCACCGCTCGCCCGTCTGCCGTGAGCGTCTCCTCCTCTGCCAGAAGACGAATTCACCCACTAGATCTGCGCTCCATGACGGCTGTCCGCTAGAAAGCAAGCCGCTGTTGTCCCTCGCTCGCTTTCACCCTCACCGCAACCCAACCCTCGCACCCCCTCCTGGACAACAACAACCACTCTGGCAGCTCACTACTACCCACCGCATTCGACACTCCGCAGAGATTCACCGTCGCGGCGCGTGCTGCCTTTCTTGTTGCTGGGAGCGCATATCGCGCCGTCGGTTCAAGGAGCCTGCCTTGAACCCCCGCTTTCGCCGCATTCACTGGGGCTTTGGCCTCCACCAAAAACAAATAATTGACAAGACAAACGTGTCTAATATTCTAAACTCTTCCTCCTCATTGTCCGCATGACTGTGAGCCCAAGTAAGTGCTCTGGAACTTTCGACTTCTCAGGCCACCGCAAATTCTCCTGTACAAATCGCCATGTCTTCGGGCCGTCCGCCGCCACAAGGGTACCACTCCAGCCCCCATCCAACTCCCATTGTTACCTTAGGCAATTCGCTGATTGTTTGGTTTCAGCATGTATTCGAGAGACCAGTTCATGAACCCGGGTCCCGCCCCTCGGCCTCCTACCGACCGCCCCCGCCTCAACCTCACCCCAAACACGAGCAGCACCTTGCCGGGGAATATGGCGGGCCTGAGCATGCAGTCTCCTGCTTACAACAACAATCCATATAACAACCAGTACAGCAATAACAACTCTCAGACCTCGCTCCTCTCTCGAACGCAATCTGAAAAAAGTTTGTCATCTTCTTCCGTTGTTAAAGAGGGCAACGTAAAGGTCAAAGACGAGGGTCTCTTCAAGTCATTTGTCTGGCAAGACCGATGGCTCATCCTTAAGGAATTCGAGTTGGCGTTTTACAAAAGCCCCAACTCCTCAAAGGTCGCGACTACGATTCAACTTCGAGATGTGTTGGGCGTTGAGCGGTCGGACACCGCACCCTTGTCGTTTGAGATTACTCGCGCTCTGAACGCCTCCAAAGGCTCATCACCGCCTCGTGACGGCCCTACAAAGATCATTACATGCAAAGTCGACACTGACGATGATGTGTACTCATGGATCGACAGCATATACCAGCGGTGCCCGAGCATGGGTGGGGTCAGCAACCCCACGAATTTCACACACAGAGTTCACGTAGGGTTTGACCCTACAAGCGGAGCTTTTGTAGGCCTCCCAGTAGAATGGGAAAAGCTACTTACGGCATCGGCACTCACGAAAGATGATTATGCGAAGAACCCTAAGGCGGTGTTGGAAGTCTTGGAGTTTTATACGGAGAAGCTTGTGAAGCGTTCAGAGGACCCGCAGAGCTACCCCAGTCTCACTCCTACCCCGCCAGTTAGCTCAGGTATGGAAAAGCAGCTTGGATACTCGGGTGGCGGAAGCTCCATTGCGCCCCCACGACCGGGCCCCCCGGGAGGATTCCAACGCAAAGACAGCTACAATGTGGGCAGGCAAAATACCCCGCCACAGTCAGGATATATGACACCCTCGCAACCCAATTCCTACTCGTCTTCCCAAGACCGGATGGATCAAGAACGCCGAAGGCTGCAAGATGATGAGGCTAGAATCCAGCAGCGTGAGCGGGAACGAGAGCGACAAAGATTGGAGTTTGAGCGAAGAGAACGTGAAGAACTTGCGGCATACAATGCGTCTTTACCGAAGGGTAAGGTTCCAATGGCGCAGCAGGAGATTGGCGGAGGCGGGTTTGATTCTCGTGACTCTAGCCCATCAGGCCAGCAAGCTCGATATAATCCAAACCGGCCCGCTCCTTCTACTCCAGGTGCCCAACGCCAACAACCGCCTGGGTCCCTCCGACAGATGGCTGCTCAGCGACCAGCCCCATCGGCACCAAAGCAGCAGCAACCGCAGCAGCAGAATAACGGGGCTTACAACACTTCACCTCAGTCTAAGCTTCCGACATCCAATGGCCAACGTCCGCCTGTACAACCGAACTCGCAATATCAGAGATCTCAAAATCAGGTACCACAAACTCGCCCTGCTAACGGCCAGCCTCAGCAACAGAAACAGTATCCTGGATCAGCAGCACCACAGCCACTGAATGTGGCTGCTAAGAAACCCACCGGGGCACCTCTGAATGACGCCGTCAAGAAAGCCGAACAAGCGCTCACTAGCAAGAAAGAAGAGCCTGCTCGTAAAGATGTGCGCATGTCGAGCATGTCCGAGAGTGAGGTTATGGCCAAACTTCGCGAAGTGGTCTCTAAGGATAAGCCTTTGGATTCGTATAACAAGCAAAAGAAAATCGGCCAGGGTGCCTCCGGTTCCGTTTACGTTGCTCGCATCCGCGAAGGTGCTACCTCACCAATGGCGCGAAGGATCTTACAGGAAAATGGACCTCGTGCCCAGGTTGCCATTAAACAGATGGATCTCCGCAACCAGCCACGAAAGGAGCTAATTGTTAACGAAATCATCGTAATGAAAGACAGCAAGCATCCAAATATTGTGAACTTCTTAGATGCATTCTTGCAGGAAGAACAATCTGAGCTGTGGGTGGTGATGGAGTTTATGGAAGGTGGGGCATTGACAGATGTAATCGACAACAACCCCTCGATAAGCGAAGATCAGATCGCTACGATCTGTTTGGAGGTGAGACTTGTGCATAGCTTGATAGAATTATGCTGACTTCATACTAGACTTGCAAGGGTCTGGAACATTTGCATAACCAGAACATTATTCACCGAGACATCAAGAGTGACAATGTTCTGCTGGATGGTCGTGGCAACGTTAAGATCAGTATGTAATATCGTTTTGTCCATCGCAACTCTCCAGCGCTAACAACCCACAGCGGATTTTGGTTTCTGTGCCAAGCTCACTGAGCAACGCAGCAAACGTGCTACTATGGTTGGAACACCGTACTGGATGGCACCAGAGGTTGTCAAACAAAAGGAGTATGGCAACAAGGTCGATATCTGGTCCCTAGGCATCATGGCCATTGAGATGATCGAGTCTGAACCACCATACCTTAACGAGGAGCCGCTCAAGGCCCTTTACCTCATTGCCACCAACGGTACTCCTCGCCTGAAGAAGCCGGATAAGCTGTCCAAAGAGCTAAAGGCCTTCCTCTCGGTCTGTCTCTGCGTCGATGTCAAGTCTCGAGCCAGCGCGTCGGAACTGATGAGCCACGATTTCCTGAAGAGCGGATGCAGCTTAGCAAGCTTGGCACAGCTTCTCAACTTCCGGAAGAACGGCAGCCATTAAACCTCTCGCGTAAAATTTTCCTCGAACTTTGTTGGTCTCAATTCGATACCCTTTCCACGCCTTCATGGCTTCTCTATCACCCAGAATCCTCACACCACCCTGCATGTGTTCCATGCTCGTTCTTCCCCAGCCACCTCTTCTCCGCGTTCCTCAGATTATTGTGTGTGTTGGGGCATGCCGTGCTAGTTAAATTTTAAAGATGTTGCATTGTTGTTGGGAATATTTTACCACGGCCTCGGGTTGGATATAAGGGGTTTTTTCTTCTTCTATTCATTCAGTTCAAGACTCTGATTATTTGGATTTTGGACACCAGTATTCTTCGAGTATTCTTCTACAGGCGCCAAAGATTCCCATCTCGTTTACGCGTAGTTTCCAATTCCCGCCCAGCGTAGCTCGCACTCCCTCTCGAATCCGTGTGACACGACTTCTACTCTCGGCGCTTGGACATCGGGATCTTGGAAGATAGTGAGGGAGAGGTGAATAAGAACAAAACCAAAGACGCATGAAAGGACAGCAGTTAGTCTGGGGAGCAAGGTTATGGTCAATCTTCTGAAGACATGGAAAGACGTTCAAGTTTGGGGTATCTTTTGCGTCTAATCATCGTTGGTTTTTGAATGAAATGGATACCTGCCCCCTTGGAGCTCAGGGACTGGGGGTTGATTGGGGATGGATATTTTGTCCTCCTTTTCTTGACACTGAGGGGAAAGGGGGGGCAGGATGGCTTGGACGTGAGTGGAGAGTAGGTTTTGATTGATTAAGCATAGAGATATGATAGATATGTAATGAATTCATGGTGTCTCTACAGGCCTTCATCACTCTTTTTCCCCTTTTACTTTACGTATTTCGATGTGCTCATCTCATACCTATCTGTTCGGTGTCTCCATTCCTCTCGTGGGTGTCTCAAAGACCAAACCGTACGCGGATCCTGGAAAGAAAGGAAGACAATTCCAAATTCCCCCGTGTTCGTTTTCTGGTGGGCCGCGTAATGTTGGGCACGGTTGGGGCTGGGTTTCTTGCATTTGGTGTTGGAGCCGAGTCGGTAGTCACTCCTTCCGTCAGCCACAACCAAGGCGCATGGGCTGTGGAACATGTGAATCGGATTCGGGTTTGCGTGTAGAGCGCTAGAATTTCAGCCAGATCCTTTATTAAAGAGAGAATAACGCGGAACATTCGGGGGGATATCTACTAGCGTCTTGCTTAGATAACCGTCGTGTTTCCTTGGTTTGGTTGTTTACGTATTTGTTTATCGCGGGGGGAGATGTGTTTCATAGGCTGTGACTCCGAGTAGGAGTTGCAAAACGGAAATTTGAGGTTGCTATGGTGTTTTGCTACATGTTGGCATATAAGCTAGACTATAATAATAATAATGTAACTACCTTAGGACAGAAAATGGAATTTTCGTCATGACCTCTGTAACTCTTGGAGTTAGTCTAACAAATTGACGCTACTCTGATTCTGTTCTGTGCTATGTAGTCGTCGACAAGAATGGTTCTCTCTTTTCTTCCAAACCATTCACACCGCTCGAGACTCCTATCTTGGTGTTATTCCGAAGTGCTTTGGGAGGGATAAATACAGTTATTTAGCGCCCGTCCCGCACTATCTCCGTCAAAATAATCTAATTAGATGCCTGGGGCAGCGATGTGATATCGCTAGTATTCCATAAATTTTCGTATGGATAAGGATTGTCATAGAACGAAATTATCTCTTCCATATTGTCCACTGGTGATATGCGGTAATATGCTGTCTGTAAAGGTCGCTCCTATTTTTCTTTTACCAATGCTCAGGCATCTCGAGTACAAAAGTGCTGTCGGGTTCGTGAAAACGGGTGCTGTCTAGCTCGTGTATGCTGGAGTGCGCTTCTACTTCAACGGGATGGAAAGCCATGGAGATATGGCGTTTGCTGGAGATGTTGAAGTCGTTGGGAATGGGTTTACAGTCCGCACCTGGGCCTAAGTCTGTGTTTTGGCGTTGCTGAAGAAAGTGGATGATTTGGTTGTGTCGTCGTTGCCGAAGGAATAGGAGTATAATTAAAGCTATGATGATGATACCTCCCAACCCCCCAGCTATCCCAGCGCCAATTTTGACGGCTGTGGTTGTGGGCTCGGATGAGGGGTCGGTGAGAACGCTGGCAGTGGTAGTAGAGCTAGCTCTGGCTCTTGTAGGTTCGGTTTTGGGCACGCTGGTCATAGATGTAATAACTTGAGTGGTTGTAAAATTCGAACTTGAGGATGAAGTAGCGTTAGATGCAGTAGCCGTAAACGGCCCAATAGTTGCACCTTGGAGACGAAACACCGCACTCGAAGTACTGCAACACCGCTGGCTCTCATGCTCTGACTCGCAACAGTACGCAGCTTCTTTGGCAAAGCCTTGAGATCCGCATTCCCAGACCTGGACGCCGTGGCGACGGAAGTCGTATGCCGATGGGTCATTCGTTGTTAGATTGTCTATCCGTCCTGAGAATTAGACTTTGTATTGTTTGTTCACCCGTATGCGTTTTCGCACTAGGGTCTGGTATGCGTACTATAGTGGCACATGGGAGGACACAGCGGACTTGTCCATGTCTGGTCCGTGCAAGTCCCCCGAGCAAAGCTCACACCAGTGTCCTCAGTCACTTCCCATTTACAGAGGCCATTGGAGAGGCATGCATCGAGGTCTTTGCAACAGGTGCTTACGGGAGCGCTGGAGTTACAGGGAATGTCGGTGCCTTGGTCACCGTTGGGGAGATAGCAGGCTGTGCCTGCAAGAACCGTGGAAGTGACGAAAGGAAGAAACGAGAGAGGAAATTGGAAGGAGTGCATAGCTAGAGTGAAAGAGAGACTTCAAATTTGAAATGATAGTAGAGGAAGATATTGGGTCATATACCTGAGGTGGAATCATGGACTTCGCTCTCTCTTTAATTCGCGGGTGTTTGGTTTCATAGCGGACTTTGGAAAACGAAGTACTACAGTATAGCGGCTGTGATTGGATTCGTGCATCGTGGGGGCATATGTTGGTGCAGAAAAAGGAGTCCGGTACCCGACAATCTATACCCTTTTAAGTTTAGCTCGTCGGATTCTTAACTTCAACGGCGGGGGAACAATTGCTTTGAATTACTTGAAGAAGGCATATGTTCCTATGCTTACCCAAGAGCTTGGATACCTCTTCCTCAGTGTTCGGATTAACTCTAAGGCCCTCCACAACATATTCCACCCTAATAGCTGAGAGTCGCCCGATAATGTTGACGCCACAAGAGCAGTACCTAACATACTACCATGTAGCCTTGCATGGACATGAGGGATGAGAGAAGTGATATGCAATAGACTGAGGGTCCGAGGTGCTGTGAGATATATATAGTAGTGTGAGACGCCAACCCCCGACTTACCGGTTAGGCTCCTAAAGCACAACGGTTTTCATATTCGAACTCTTGCATTGGACCGTCCATCACAGGATTTCCCAAAAGGCAGTCCGTGAAGATGAAGATTCCTCAGCGACTTTTGTCATCTTTGTTGCCGCTCCGCAGATCCTAGGCGCCTGATGCCTTGTCTATGGGGAGATTGCCCCAACCCTCGTGCCAGGAGTTTAAGAAACGATTTCCTCGGGTCTGTGCCAACTTAGGATTATTTCGGCTCCATATAGGACTGCACACTGTGATCTGTATTCTTGTAGGCTGGCTGGATATGTACCTCACAAGTCATTGAGCCGATATTAGAGGATAGGCTTTACATTAGGCTATAATAAGTTCCAGGGACAACGAATAATTTCAGTCGGTTGAAGTATTGAGTTCTATTCGAAGAAACGCCACTATTCTATCTTTCCAACAAAGTCCATATGCTTACAGTCCTGTCAGGTCCAAAACCCGGTTAGTTGTTCGGATTGATGCCCTGCCTGAGCATATCTACGATCCTCAATTACCATGTGGTCTACAGATGGATGTAGATAACAAATTTGCCGACATCGTCCTGTAAGCAATTGGGAGGATAGGCTCGAAAGGTGACAGGCATGTGGGTGTTCGTCGAGGCCACTCAACAACGGGTTTGCCATCGGACAAGTTGTTCTTGGGAAATCCTTACACGGTCGTGATCCCCGTTCGGACTCATGAAGCCCCAATCAGCGTGGCCAACAGTCCGTAGTACGTAACGTAACTACGTGAACGTAGTAATCACGTGAGGAGTACAAAAGTAGTTAAAATGTGAGACGTAACTTTTGTACAGTGAATTGCCAAGTACGTCCCGTAGTACGGGTCAGAGAAGTCATATTTTGGGAGATTTCCCTCCTGTTTTTAGACCCCATTAGCCATCGCGTTGGGAGCTTTGTTTAAGGTCGCGTTTTAGAGTAACAATTATAAAAATAGTTAACTTTTGCCCTAGAAAAGCTCCTTATCTTATACCTGCCTATTTGCCAACCTATTGCCTATCTTATTAATTGTTACAATAAGCTAGATGTCTTAATTCCTCTATCGCAGCAGGCGTACAGCCTCATCCTAATCCTCCTGCTTATCAGAGTCGTCCCAACAAGCTAGAGACAGAGGGCGATAAGGAGGAGGAGGGGACTTCATCTAGGCTAAAAAGCTTCTCCTAGAACAATTTTGACCCGGACTGACAAAACTTCTCGCGAAAAGTACAAAAGTATAAGGATTTTAAGAAGTTACTGTTACGTTACGTACTTGCTAATCAATTCACTGCTTACGTACAAAAGTACTACCAAATTGAGAAGTTACTGGCAGAAAAAAGCTCAAACGTAACGTACTACGTACTGTTGGCCACGCTGGCCCCAATTGAGGCTAGAATTATTATCTCAGACGCACGTATCGTTATCAACATTTAGAGTAAAGGTGGAAGAAGAAGAAGAAGAAGAAGAAGAAGAAGCGAAAGGCCGGACCGTTAGAGTGAAACGTTCGCCCAAAGCGGACGTTCGATGAATCTCAATCCAGCTGTAGAAGACGCTTGCGGGTGGGAGCGTACTACGGATTAGAGGATCCAAAGACTAACCAACCTTCAGGACCGAACCTGTATTCAAACTTTGATCAATCCCTCGGAGAAAAATAGCCCGTTGGGTAATTATCTGGATAGCTGAGGATTCACTGATAGTAAGGAGCGGGAGCTCAAATGGACTGGGGGTTAGGGGAGCGGATCGTCAAATGAGAAGCATGTAGGATTGAGAATCTAAATACTTTCCATTGAAGTGATTGGATTCGGTTCATCAAAAGAACTTGCACTCTTTCAGCTCTAGCAGTGGTCAGGAGTATGGAATACTCTCTTATTTCCCATAAATTATCCAAGTCATCGGCACAGAGCAAGCCCTCATTCATAAACCGCAAGAATGTTAAACACACAATCTCTCTCCTACATCTACCGCATCGGCCTCTGGGACGCCAACCACGGTCTGCGTCTTCCGCAGTCAACACTTGTACCTCAAATATCTGAAGCGTGTTCGCACCTGCCACAAAATGTTAACAGGGATGTTTAATTCCTCAAGGCCCTCGCTGGAGTTAGAGAACTTCCCAAGATGCCAACAGCTGACCCAAATTACCCCTATCATAATCTCTGTTATGTGATAAGATGCTTAGGTGTAATACTTTTCCCACCAATACACTCATCCTTTTTGACTACTAATGCACGAGGACACAGCACCATTACACATCATCACACATTTCACACATTTCACACATTTCACAAAGTCTAATCACACCCACTACTCAAATATACAACCATACTATCCATCAAGTATGTTAACACAAATCTTACCCCACACCCGCACATACTCTTATCGCAGTCACTATCACAAAGTACAGAAACCTTCCCGCCCGTAGCCATCAACGCTAGACTAGACTCCAAACACGGCAATGCCAGAGCGCTGAAGGTGGGGTATCTTAGTATCATATCGTATCATATGTTATCCTTTTCTGGAAAACTCCATGCAATCCATGCTATCATTCATCAACCATGAAATGCATTATCAGACTCCCATCCACCTCAAATGCACAAATTTCCATAAAACGCCGGGATGTGATGTGATGTGGATCTGTGTCGAGGTGCTAATTCTGTACAGCAGTTGCTTTGCTGCATGACCACCCAAAAAAGCTCTGGTTTTCAGACCAGAAAAGTCGACTTTTGGTAGAGGTGGACAGGAAAAAAGACAAGTAGAGAAGTGATTATTGTTGCAAAACTGTGACTGTAGCTGGGAGGTGTCCAGAGAGAAAGTCGGGCCTATGTCCTGTTCTACGCCATGCATGCAATGCCGTACCGTACCAAAAAAGAGACACACACTTCGAGGGAGATTTTGGAGATGGAATACAGGATAGAAGGGTGGTAGTGTAGTGTAGGTGTAATCGAATCGGGTAGTGCATCCGTTCAGTTTGACTGACCCTTCTCTTCTCAAATGCCGTATGCGCCATTGCCATTGACCGAACGCTCTTCATGATTACAGATCCGTTGAATGTAGGAAAAGTGGTACAGCCCTATGAAGTCTTTATCGTACTTCCGCCTCTTAGTTCACCGATCGCCTCGGTCGCTTGTTGTCGCTGTGTACTGCCGCGTCATCGCCGCCTCGTGCTCGTTTCCGTCCATCTCGGCCATCATCCCTGCCGCCTCGCCTGTCGCGATCCTCCCTCCTGTCTCCGCCGGTGCGTACCCGAGGTTCGCCACTCCGAATCTCGCCTCTACCATCGCCTGTCCATTGAGGAGGTCCGGCTAGAGCTGGGTTGGGACCTCGCCTGGAATTCGTGTCTTCACCCCTGCCGGACCCCATCCCCTCCTCTCGCCCACCACGGTCGCGCCTCTCCTTTCCATCGCGCGCTGAACGTTCCCCATCACGTCGCGCGCCGTCCCCACCACGCTTTTCCCTCCCTGACCCACGCTCTCGATCAGTGACCTTCTCAAGCTCATCGTTCCGAGCACTCCGCTCATCTGGCCGACGATCACCTCGATCTGGGGATCTACTCCGGCGCCGTCCAGAACGGTCGCCACGCCTACCGTCTCTGCTACTGCGTGACTCCACTCTACCATCATCGTGGGCATGATTGTCAGGCCGATTCGAGGCATGCTCAGGTCGGTCGGATCTCGAAAGAGGTCCTTCAGGACGAGTAGTGTTGGGAGTGCTAGGATGGGAATGTGAGCCGGCTGGACTAGGCATGTTCAGGGCGTCAATTGGACCACTGGCACGACTACCACGGCCACGAATCGAGGTTCCACGATCGATAGCGTTGCGATCGTTGAGACTCCCAGGAGCGGTTGGGGCTCCCTGATTGAAGGAACTGCTTAGCGCCCGCGTGGAACTCTTATCTTGAGTCCTCCCGTTGCGTTCCGTAGACGCGGGACCTGTGGGCGCAGCACGGGTTGATGGTGAAGCGCTAGGGCCGTGGGGTGTCCTCGCTGCATTACGGGGACCAGATGGAGCCCGAGGCATGTCGGTTTGAAGCGGGGGGCCATGGATCTGGTTTAAACGACTGGGATGAACACCTGAAGTGTCCTGTTGAGCCGGGCCAGTTGGAGGTGGGAGAGGAGGAGGAGGAGTTGATAGAGTTTGTTCATGAGAAGCAGACTCCCTTCGAATTTGATCGCGGCGATCCGTCATTAAGTCTAGATTAGCATAATTAGAGCCTTGAAACCTGGGAGAGGGGAATGAGAAATCCTTACTTCGAGGCCCGGATGGAATTGGGTCGACAGTCGGCTTGAGACGTCCATAATTGGGGTCTTGGGATTGGGATCTTCATCAATGTCAGTAAAGCGAATTGGAAAACATGAGTTCTATGGCTTACACTCTCGAACTGTGGGAAGGCTGGAACATTTCTCGAGTCACTCGAGTAGACATTGGAGATTCTGTGAACTCATTGCGGCCTCCACGTGGCCCAGTGGGAGCATGTCCGGTTGGCTCCTCCCGGTGATCGCGGCCATGCTGGCCACGCTCGTTGTTGCGATCATCACGATTATCTCGACCAACTTCGTTCCGGTTATGGTAGGACGTAGTATTGCGATCGTCTGCTCGGCGTGGGGACTGGGGACGTGAGCCTCGTTCACGGCGGCTATCCCGTTCGGATCTAAATGGATCATTCCGTCCTCGATCCCCTTCAATGAAAGCAGCGCGATCAGGGTTTATAAGTGGCCTATCACCGGCGGATTGTGCTCTATCTGATGCAGGCACTGGGACATTTGTTGTTGATCGGTCAATAGGAGGACGGAGAGGAAGCTGGCCGGCACGATCTCCGCCCTGAGGATTCTTTGGAGTGAAATCTCGCCGATAGGTGTTTGTATCATCTGTGCTTCCAGTGCTAGAATGAACCCGGGTACGACTGTTATCTGGCGGAGGCAGAGGACCGCGAGGATCAACTCGATCGCGTGCATCTCTCGCATCTCTCAGCTCCCTCGGATCCCTCGGATCTCGCAAATCCCTAGAGTTGTCTGGCCAACTCGGGCCCCGACCTAGCGGTGGACCACGACCATCTCGAGGAGGTGGCCGCATAGAGCGATCGTCATGGTATTCTCTGGGGTCTCTACCCCAGCCAGGATCGCGACGATCCATCGAGTTCGGCGCTCTATCTGGAGTTCTGGCACGTGGTGGGAGACGGCGTCCTGGTGGAGAAGGCTCACGTCGGTCTGGAAAAGACTCACGCAAGTTATCTGTAGGCCTGTCGAGCCTGCCAAATTCGGCATTAGCCTTATTGCGAGGATCGTTCCTACTCTGAGTGGGAGGTTCAGGACCAGGCCGATCGATTGGGCGAGCCCTAGGAGGCAGGGCATCCGGTCTACTTGGGAGCGCGTGGGGAACTCTACTCAACGTAACAGATGTGGGCTGATGAGGAATGGTACCTCTGCTGTCTGGGCGGCCTAGCATAGGTGCAAGTGGTGGACCCTGAGAAGTCGATGCTTTGGATGAATGGGTGTCTGGCCGAGCATTCCGGAGTTTGAGCTGCTCTGCCTCTTTTTGGTGTGAGGGGGTTGTAGGCGGTTGTTCAACTGGATTTGGTGTTGACTTGCGGGGCTCGGGACCTTTCAAGCGCGGTTCAGTGTTCGCTGCTGCAGTGGCAGTCTTTGTTTTCTCGTCCTCGACTTCCCCGTCCTCGTGTTCGTTGGAGGGCTTCGCGTCTGAATTTGAGACACCATTTAGAGTTACCTGCTTTGGGGTGAACTTAGGCGCGGTGGTATTGAGAGCTTTCGGAGTGGTCTTCTCGACTGGCTGTGGTGTTGTTGGTTGTTCTGAAGTAACACGACCTCCAGCGTTGGGGGCATTGGGGCCTACCCGAACATGGTGGAATGTCTGCGAAGGAACCCAAAGCTTTTCACCCTTTTTGAAATCGCCCAACAAGGACATTGCCGCGAGCTTGAGATCCTCCCTTGATTCAGTTTGAGACATAATCTGCACCTGCTGGTGGAGGCTTTTGCCCTGGGAATCAATGACCGGGAAGTTGGGAGCAACAGCTTTTAAGACGTTGATGGCATTGCGAATATGCATGTATTCTTCGTTCTTCAAGCAAGACTCAAGTGCCCGAAATAGGTTTGTGTGCCACTTGAACAAGACTCGCCTAAAGTCTTCATAATCTAAGAAGGTAATAGGCGTGCGGTCTGCATTGAACGTTCTGCCGAAGCCAGGGAGGCGCTTCTGTCCTGTTGCAAATTTGGTATAATTGTCTTGGCTAGTGTGCCAGGTTTTGAGTTCTTTGAGGATGTCGTTTAAGAATCGACCTATGTTCTGAGACTCTCGTGAGGTACACATGTAGAAAAGGTTAGACAGGAATCTGAACCTGAAGAGCTGATCAAGTAACTTCATGGTCCGGAAACCCGGCACACCACTGCTATGCATGAACCTTAGCATGGCGGCGGCAAATTGGGCATCGTGCGACGATAACTGAATACGGGGCAGGAAACAGTCTTGAAGTATTGTGTCGTAAAGAACGTCTGTGCGAGCATCTACCATTGGAATACGATCAAACCATTGATGCATTTCCTCTTGTAGCTGCTTTGCAGTACGCTTCACTGCAGTCATTCCATCTGTGGCCTCCCGTAGCAAGTCGGTCATGGCTTGCCTCTCGGAATCGCGTTTTCGTGTGGCTTGAACGCTGACGTCGCGGCGGGTATCGATTGATTTCGCCTTCTCCGCGAAATAGTTCTGTGCCGCATTGTATTCTTTGACGGAATTGACAAGATCGCCCAGTGATAGTTGCCAGAATGTGATATAAAAAGAAAGGCACACATGATTCCCAAATTGCTTTGGCATGGTAGTCTTGAGTTGGTCGGCTAAAGCTTCAATGACAGAATTTGAGCGCCATGGAGTTGGATTGGCTGATAGCATGCTGCTCTCCTTCGGGGTAGATGAATCGTCTACCTTTAGGGAATCTTTCATCTCTACATCCTGGGATTCCAAAACCTCAATCTTAATTGACTCAGCGGCAGCGGCGTCGACTTTAACCGCCGACTCTCCCTCTGTCCCTCCCATAATGACGTCGCCATTAGCTTGGGGGTTCTTGGGCTCAGGTCTCAATTTCATAGGGCTAGATCTTCCCTCTGCTCTGGCAGCATTCACACGCATGGATATGCTCTCGCGACAAATTGCGAAAGCTAAAGGGGGGTCTACGCGGTAGTCTTCCATCAACTCTACCACCCCAGGAATTACTGCGTCGAAGTCATTGACGTGGAGGTTGCTTCGAAGCAAATCCAGGAATTGGGCGAACCCCGAATAAAGATTGTCGAGGGTGATGCCGAGGACCTTCAGGGGCATGTCATCGATCTCATTTCGTGCGAGGTATTTGCGGACTTCTATAGCAAGCGCAATAAGAATATTCTTGCACAGTCCTGAGCTCTTTAAAGATCGCATCAAACGCCTTGCTGAAGGCCTAGATAGATGCTGCTGATCCCCAAGGTAGTGCTCCAAGGTGAAGGCACGCAGACGAGGTCCAGCAGATATTCCGAGGACTTGGGTTTCGGTAAGCGTAACATATGACCCAATGCCGCCCATAGACGTGATGATTTGCTCGAGTACTGCCAGCATGGAGGGATTTGTACGACAGAGCTGATCCAGGAAGTACTGAAGCACCGGTACAGGGTCCATGTTGCTATATCGCCGGCATACCTTGCCAATAAACTCTGCAGCATTCTTGAGCCACGGGCTAGTCAACATACCATCTGCCTGAACAGCCTGTCGACCGCCTTTACTGAGGGAGTTAGTGAGGGACCACGTCAGACAATCATAACCCAGGTAGGTGAGAAAGCGGCAGCACTCGACAAGAACGTCAACAAAATTGCCGTAGTTTTCGAAGCGTTCAGCTGCCTTATCGAAAACTATTCCAGGACAAGCGTGGGCAACTTTGGCCAGCACTTTCCCCATTGTTTTCACATTCTCCTTACTGATGCGGTTCATGAGAATTTTGGTTTCAGCGTCGACCTCGAGGAATTTCACTTGAGTAGACGAACCCTCCTTCCAGACGGAGCGGCTGGTGAACCAGTTTTTGTAAATAATAAACCTCGTCTTTGTGTCGAAGTATTTGAAAAGCTCCCATACCTCATTCACAGCCCCAGGATTTGTTCCAGAGAACGTCAAGGCTGGCCCAAGCAGGGTAGAGCAGAGGAGTGTCCAACGACCCAAATTTTTGGTGGAATTATCTTCCATGAGGCTCTTCTTTCCGATTCGTGCCAATTTGGTCAGAAGCATGGGGTCTTTGCCCATTTCAGGACCAACAAGGCCTAGCAAAGAGTCGCAGAGCTTGAACACGTCGTCAACAGTCTGACAGATGGGTACGTTGTCTAGCCAATCTTCCCAATAAAACCGGTAGTCAATCCCATCGCCAGCGTCTTTCTCCTCCAATTTAGCCCAGCGTAGTGTCCGGCGTGGTGGATAGTCACTTGTACGGGGCGGGCCATGAGGCCCTGCGCCATTGATAGGCGTTTGCTTAGGCGTTGTGACATGCGAAGGGAAAGGCCGCGACCAACTGTAGACTTTGGTCAAAGAATGGTGTAACAGGCGGAAGACGTAATCGTGTAGGTCTGGGTAGACATCGAGCAGCCAAGGGAATTTCCCGAGAATGTAGAGTGCTTCCGGGATTGCTCCAATACAAAGCAAACTTCGTAAGAGTGCAGTCTTCTGATCTACTGGTTCTGGTAAATTTTCTGCAACTTCTTCCTCCGCTCGAGCTGGAGTGGCTCGCTCGGAATCCGGTTTAGACGATGGTTTACTCTCTGATTCTCGTAATCTTGTTACTAGAACCGGCACAGGAAGGGTGTCATCCGACAAGGGAGCGGCCATTGTTAAAGCGTTCCCAGATTGCCCCTTAAGCTTTTTGATTTGCTCCTTCTTCGCCTCTTCTAATTTGTCTTTGAGCGCTGGCATATCTTCATCCAGGGGGTATAGGTGAGGATACAGATCCACAAGAGAGATGAAGCCAATTTTGATCAACAAGGCCGCAAGGTATATGAGGTTGTCAGGAAGGGTGTCGTGGACATCGCGAGCGTCGGAGGCGTAAAATCGGAGCTTGAAGCCGAGAAGCTGTGCAGCAATGCGGTTTCCTGAGGGAGGAAGGGTCTTCGTATTAGCCATCCATTCTTGAGACCACTTTTGGACCTTTTCAAAGTCCGGCATTTCCTTTGGGGCTCCAGTCGAGGTTCCTGTGTCGGCCTTGAATGATGGGCTTCCGATGATCCGACGGGCACCGAGCTCGAAATATGCGTCGAGGCCAGATTTTGTCGACCGGAAGGTCATGTCCGATGTCACGATGCGGCTCCAGAATTTGCGATCGCGGATTTCACGCAGTCGCAGTTGCTCCTCCTTCTCATCCTCGGTGTAGTACCAATTTGCAAAAGTCGGCAGTGCCCACCTTGGCAAGGCAGAGACCCCCGGCTCTTCCCACTCAATACCATGCGGCACCTTCTGATCAGGCCACCAGGAGCTCAGTCGAAGGAGCTTGACGAAGAACCGAGTGTGTTTGACGAGCAGGTTTGCAAAGACGTCAAGAGTCACGTCGAGAACCCGCCCAACGTCGAGGTCAAAGGCTCCGATAAGAGCTTTCACCCTCTGGAAAGTATCTATGACAACCTCGACTTTAGGAGGCTCGTTGTGAACCGTGGTGAAATACTCGGTGATCAACTTGGAGTAGCCTTCAGTCTCCTCTCGAAGAAGATTGTAATTCGACTGTCGATAGAGGGCATGGGTGGCTTTGCGGATGGCTACCCTCGAGAAGGTTGGGCGCACCAGGTTTAAAGCTGTAAGGAGATTTGTGTCGAGCTCTCCGCGCATCCTCATAGGATCGACACCAGAAGCTTCGAGCATGGGCTTGAGCGAAGTGAGGGCAGTGCCGGCCTCCATGAGAGTACTTGCAGTGTCAAGGAAGATCGAGGCAGGATCTAGAGCATCAGAGGCGGGAGATGCAAGGATTTCTCGTACTGTCGACCCAAGGGCATCCGCAGCAAGAGTTTGATCTACACATGCTTGTACAAGCTCTTCAAAGAGAAGCGACAGCGTGAGCATGTCGCCCTGAGCCTGGGCAGCCACACCATCTTCCACGACGGCTTTCCGTCCTGCTCCACTCCATGATGAGACTCGTTCTGGTGTGAGATAAAGGTTGAACTTGGGTGCCGAGGGGGAATCTGGCAGATCTGAGGAGCTGTCGTTCGACGGTAAAGCTTGGGCGGAGGTAGGGTGCGCGGGATGCGACTTCGTAGAAGGGGGAACCATGGCCGGAGGTGACATGGCGGAAGGAGAAGCTTGCGCAACGGTCGGACTATGAGGAGTGCTAGACCCTCCACGGCCAGTTCTGCTGCTGCGCCTGCCGCCTCTGCCATTGCTGTTCTGCTGGTGTGCATGGGCAATCCCAAGGTTTTGGGGTCGATGCGGTGACGGCCGGCTGCCGCTGTCGTTGCTCTCTTGAGAATAAGTACGATCGCCCCTCTTCCGCTTCGCGCCAGGAGCCATGTTGGCGCTCTCCTACACGCGAGAGCCCAAGGCGGCGAGACACTGGATGGATTCCGCGAGGAGCATGCACAGAGATCGCGACACAAGGCTCGGCAGGTTTGACGCAGATTTCGGAAGCGCGCACGGGATGCAGGGTGTGCGGGGCGCGCTGAGGAGGAAATTGCCAGTATGTAATGGCAGTAGAGGGGGGAAGAGTGGATGCAGGGTCGAGTTGACGATGGTCAAAGACGGTGTTGTCGAGAGGAGCCTTGCGTGAAGTGATGATGGATTGGAGCGCGGCGCAGTGCCAAGATATGGGCCCGTGCATCTCCGGGTGACCTAGTGACAGTGAAAGGCGCGGCTCTAAGGAGCCAAATCGCATATGCTGTTTTCACGCAAATATAGAGATTATGGAATAATTTGCTTAAGAACAATCACAAGGGAACACACCCATCGCCTCCTCGTTAAAGTTCTTCGCATGTCGAAAGATCGAGTCTGTTATATTTCAAAACTATCACTCACATTGAGTCTGTGATGGCAAAGGTCTCAAATCATTGAAAAAAGAGTGAACAGACCATTCACCGTATCCAATCCAGCCAAATTGCATTAAGCAGCGGCGCTGATGGCTTGCGCGGTAGCCTGGTGCTCCTTCTCGAGGATCGATTCAAGGACGCCTATGGCATCCTGGCCTGCTTTCATCTCATTGATGATAATGTCGACCTCCAATTGCTTGTCGGTCCAAAGAGGAGGTGCCTCTTCCTTCCCAGCCTCGCCTACTCCGATAAAGCCTCCTTCAGCCGCCCACTCACTAGTACGTTTGATGTCCAACTGCTCCCAGACACTGTCAAAGGCCTCGATCAAGTGATCTCGGTATTCACGGACATGGCCTGGGGTAGGAGTAATGCGAAGGCGTTCTTGGCCGACAGGGACGGTGGGATAGTTGATAGCCTGAACATAGATGCCCCATTGCTCCAGAAGGAGATCACTAGCCTTCTTCGCTACCTCTGCGTTTCCAACTAGTACGGGGACAATATGGCTAGGGTTCGGAATAACGGGGATGTCCCTCGCATTCAGTGCTTCCTTGACGGCACGAGTGTGCAATTGCTGAAGGCGCCTGTCACCTTGATAATTCTTCTGGTACTCAATGGCCGTCTTTGCGCCTGCCATGGTTGCGGGAGGGAGTGAAGTTGTGAAAATAAATCCCGGGGCGAGTGACCTAATTGCATCAACCAGCTTAGCAGAACCAGCGATATAACCACCAACACAGCCATACGCCTTTCCAAGTGTACCCGTGATAATGTCAACACGGTCCATAATGGTTCCTCGGGGCTTGCCAGCTAAATGTGCTTCATAATCGAGGTGTTCGGCAACGCCCGCACCGTGTGGTCCATACATGCCAACGGCATGGACTTCATCGAGAAAGGTGATGGCTCCGTACTTCTCCGCTAGGTCACAGATTTCTGCAATTGGCCCAATGGAGCCACACATACTGTAGACACTCTCGAAAGCAATGATCTTAGGATACTCAGGTGGAATTGAGGCCAACTTCGCTTCCAGGTCCGCCACGTCATTGTGCTTGAACACCATCTTCTTCGCACCCGAATGACGAATGCCTTGGATCATCGAGGCATGGTTCAAGCTGTCGGACAAGATGACGCAGTTGGGAAGCTTGCTACCGAGGGTTGCAAGAGTCGCATCATTAGCCACGTAGCATGAGGAAAACACCAAAGCAGCCTCTTGTGCATGGAGCTTCGCGATAGTGCCCTCGAGTGCCATAGCATGCTGGTTATGACCGGATATGTTTCTAGTACCTCCGGCACCAGCTCCGTAGGTGTCCAGAGTTTCGTGCATTGTCTTCAAAACCTGCGGGTTGCGGCCCATGCCCAGGTAATCATTGGAGCACCAGACAGTCACCTTGTCTTCTTTCGAAGCCATATGAGCGCGAGGGAACTCTTTAGCAAGACGATTGATATTGTTGAAGTAGCGGTACGACTTGTCCTTGTGCTTCTTGTCCAGCTCGTTCTGGTAGAAGCCATCGTAGTCGAATTTAGCGGGCTTCGGCGTCGGCGGGGCCCCGACAGGAGTGTGTTGAGCAGTTGATGGCTGCTTGGTAGGGCGAGGAAAAGGAACTGCTGCGCCGACGAGTTAGCACATTTTACTTTTTGAGTGGCGCACAGGCAATATCACGCAATAGGGTTGGAGCGTCTAACCTTGTTTGGCGCGCAGGTTCTCAATGTCCATAGCCTGCGCTTCCTTTGGCGTAGAAGTATGCAACTTGGCTCGAGAGACACGACTATGGTAAGCACGCGCGCCTCCGAAAGCTCCGGCGAGAGCGCTGTTGCCAGTACGGGCGCTCTGGACAGCGAGCGCCTTTCCCATGATGGGGCAGCGCCTGGCAAGGACCTGTAAATTCGACATGCTGCCGGCCCCGGGGGACACATGATGACCCGCAGCCGTCGTGGAGAGGGAACGGAGCGTGGCGGGGGAAGTCTTCGAGAGGAACGGGCACATGGACCTAGACTGGCGAAGAAGCGCCTCCATCTTGGACCAATGGGTGTTCGGCGGGGGGTACAAATGGTAGGTCTGAGCAGTTCTGTGAGCGTAGGAGTGGCGGGTGCGAGGGAGAGTCTGGGGTTAAGTCAGAGGGACAGAATTCATTCTAATATGCAAATGCGGAGAAGCGAAGCGGCCGGTAATCGGCTTCAAATGTCCATCGTATGATTGGCTACCTCAGTCTCTCCACCAATTCTCCGGCGCCGAGACAATAAGACCATATATTATTGCTGAGGTCAAACTTCGAGAAGCATTACTTTTGACGAGCAAGCGGCAAGCCAATCCGCAAAGTGGCTGGCTAATTCTTCCAGCTTCGGCAGAAGACAAAGCCTCCCGATAACTCCTTTTCACAATATATTAAAAGTCCTGAGAGAAGCGGACAGACTGAAAGCAAAGTGAATGGCACTTTCCGTCTTGTCTTCCCCGGTCACTCTGCCGAAAATCGTCAGCAATTGCGGCTGTTGCCATTTTTCACCAGCGCTTAGTTGAACTTGTGCTCTGGCTGCGGATCAACAGGAAATAATTCGGTCTGACAACCCATCAGATGCATTCTCCTGATACATATGCAGCACCCTGTGCCGAGTGTGGAGAGCATGAATCTCATCACCACAAAGCCGGACGTAGCGGTGTACACGAAAGTAGCCAGGTACTTTGGGCCTTGGTATTTTTTTCGTATTCACAGCGTCCCTAGCCGAACACGAATAGCAAGCAAGGGTGCTTGTACTCCCCAACACCGTAGAGCTTCTGGATTGTAGCTGCATGCTTAGCAGCCTGTTCTTCGGCAAGTCTGAGAGCTATAAAAACTGAGCAGCGAAAGGTAGCATTGTGAAAGTGCATGTACATTGCCTCGTTCTGAAAACTTCGCTGTTTACCCCCGCGTTACTTAAACTCCTAAACACCGAAGTCAAAATCCAATCCTTCGCAGACATACCACAAAATTGACCAGAGTTCAAGTACGACACTTCCATTTTCACCTCATTCACGTAGGGTATTAATAGACTATAAAGCTAAACCAGCAGCTGCCTGCATTTTCCTCGTCTGACTCCGCAGACGGCGCGCTCTCTCCTCACGAATAACATCACTTTCCACTTCTCTCCTTTCCCCCTCTGTTAATTGAGCCTCAAGATCTGGGTCCTGCAGATTCACCCTCTCAATGACACGAATCCAGTTGCGTGTGTCTGGGGATTGTATGAGCTTGTCGAGAACCTCACAGTCTAAACCGAGGTGATGATCTAAGTCCATTTGATCTACTAGCTCAGGCTCCATCAGGTAATCGATACTCTTGAATGCTTGACGGCGTGGACGCTCTTGATCGACCACAGCAAGAGCGAGTTGGCGCTTAAAATGACCATTGTTGATGAGTTTGTCCTCGAATGTGCCTCCAACTGTGAGTCGATACACGAAAACGGGTTTGAGCTGGCCAATTCGGTGGGTACGACCAACCGCTTGTTCTTCATCTTGAGGATTATGCCTGCTGTCCATAATCACAACTCTATTTGCCCCAGTCAAGTTCAAGCCTACGCCGCCGGCTTTGGTAGAGATGAGATATACTTCACAGTCCCCGGAGTTAAATCTATCAACATCGTCGAGCCTTTTAGATGTAGCAGTCGACCCCGTAAGCTTCATAAAAGTCCTACCCTGCATTAGGAACCGGGCCTCCAGAAAATCAAGGACGTCAAGACTCTGACTGAAGATGACAACTCGATCTCTTGCTGATCGTGAATGGTCAAGAATTCGGTCCAAAATTTCAATCTTGGCTGACAACAGAATGACCTCGGTTGATGCTGAATCGAACATCTCTCGCTGCCGTTTAAGCATTTGTTCATCCAGTGAAGCTGCCTTCTCTTTAACATTGCTGTTCTGTTCAAGGTTGCCATTCTGTTCAACACTGCCGTTCTGTTCAACGTCCCAAGGACTGCTCACGTCCCCTTCGTTGAGAGCCTCCATATTCTTCTTCCACTTGTTGGGGCGGTTAAAGAGCCGGTCGCAGAAAATCATAGGATGCGTACAAAGGAGGGACAATACTGGGAGCCACGCCCAAAGAGTGGCATTGCTGATCTTTTTGCCTTCCGTGCCTTTGAGTTGCATCTCTACGAATACCTTGTAAGTCTTCTCTTGAAACTCGGAGAGTGGAAGCGTTATAAGAAACTCTAGTTTCGGCGGCAGGTCTTTTTGTAGCACCCTGAAGTCTCGTCGATGGACTTTCGGTTCAAGCGTTTGTTCTAAAACCCTAAGCCGCTTGAGCGCTCGTCGGTAGTCCCCATCGTAGCTCTCAGCATACAACCCTTGCTCAATTGGGTTTTTATACTGATATCGAAAATCTTGCAGCTTCCCGAGATATCCAGGAGAGGCCCAGTCAATAAGAAAAAAGTACTCCTCCATGTGGTTGGCGAGTGGGGTGCCTGTCAATGCAACTCTCCTTGTAGTCCGCAGCTGGTTCACTGCAGTGGTGATCTTAGCGTCTTCATTCTTTATAAATTGCGCCTCGTCGGCGACGACGATATGGGCACTGTCTTTGAGTTGGCGATGAACATTAGAGCGCGTCAGTTCATCCTCGAGGCCTTCGCCGTTGAAGAGGTTGCGAAAAAGGTGGTATCCAATGACAAGGATACCACCACCATTCGACCATTTATCCACTTCTGCTACACGTCCGTCTGTCAACATGTTAGACGTTATTTTCCTCACGGGGCCGAGCAGACGCTTAGCATAGTCTGGTGTCCACCGCTTCAACTCTTCCACCCAATATGGGACAATCATTGCTGGGGCTAGGATCAACGTTCTCGACTCTCTTAATCGTTTGGGAACTTGAGCTCGGGTGGTGGGAGTAGATGCAGCTAGAGCGATGGAAGTAAGGAGCACAATGGTCTGGAAAGTCTTTCCAAGTCCCTGCCAAGGAGGTACATAGTCAGCACAGTCAAGTTAATTTGTCCCCAGGAAATTCATACCATAGTGTGTGCCAGGACGCAACCACAATCGTCTTCTCCAGCGGACACGAGTTCTCTCCACATAAAACGCACTCCGTCGGTCTGGTGAGACTTGATGCTATGCGCAAATTCTGCACACAGAGAGATAGTTTGTCCATGTGTTCCAGTGCTTATAATATCGTTAGGATTTGATGACACCGTATGAATGTTATCTTGTGGCAATAAATGCTGGCTACTAGCTTGATCCTGTTGCCGTTGGTGTGCAATATTTTGTCTCTTTTTTGCTTCCCTGGCAGATTGAGATGGCTTCTTCTTCCGCTTCTTTGGATTCGGCCGTTCGTCCGCGTCATCGCTTGAGATGGTAATTATCTCAGTGTGCGCTAGCGGAATGGCTCGTGATTGAGCTTGACTCGAGGCGGAATTCGGTGTTTGTTGGAATATGGTCCCCAGAAATTGTTCAGTGAGGTCGAAAAAGCACCCCAAATCAAAGTCTAAACCATCTTTGAGAACTTCTTGGAGTTCTCTCATGTCGTCATCTGCAACATCTTGCTCGGAGTAGTTCCCCCTTAAGTAGAAGGATAGAAATAATTTAGTGAGCTTGATGATCTTAGTAAGATCATCACGCAGAATCCCTTCCATTTTGTTCTCTCCCTCTGCAAACATTGTGACGCACCTCTTAATCTCCCGCATAAGACTGTCTCTGCTAATTTGGGAGATGCGGTTGCGGAGCATGGTGCGACCAGCTTCGCCCATTTCATATAGAAGCTTCAGCAGGGTCCTCTCGTTGGCGTGGTCATCCTCCAGGACTTCGCCCCATGCCCATTGGGCAATCTCCTCAGCGGATGCTAGGGCGGGATTTGAGGTAAGCAAAGTCGTGGCAGGCAAGATATCTGGAGCAAATTTCTGAGATGTTGAGTCAGGCATTGAAAGACAGTTGGATTGTGTGTCAGAGGAATCTCCGAGGTCGATAAAGGTCTCAACAGTGTGAAATGGCATTTGGCCGATTTCTTCGGGGCTATCAACTTCCACTCTATCACCCGCTGTTGAAAGTCTTTTTCTGCCCTCATCTTCGCAAGGTTCTGGTGGTACTGGACTGGAATCATCGCCTACTACGCTGTCTAGCTCTGACGCCGGGCAGAAATTGGGAGCTTGCTTAAGACTTCCATCCTCCTCGTCGCTGACGATAAAGTCGTGCAAATCCATGAAATTCTCTTCAATGTCGGAGTCCTCGTCATCAGTGACCTCTTCACCCTCTTCATCAATGGGCTGAGGTTGTCTTCGAGACGGCTTGGGCGCCCGGGGTATATTTTGTTTGGGCGGGGGAGAGTCACGGAGAAATATTTGGAGATTGAATTTCTCTTTTTCCATCTGATACACTGTATTTTCAAAACTGGAACAAAGCTGTCGAAGTGCATCCTCATCATTCCAACTGAGCATACGCATGTCTCGGCGAACGGTGCGAAGTCTGATTCGGAACTTTTCGATTTCCCGTTTAGTTAATCGAGCATAAAAGCTTCTGTAGCCTGGAGAGCCAGGACGGTTCCAGCGCCCAAATGCTTGTCGCCGTTCCTCAGGGAGCTCTCGAAGCTCCCATTCTTGCTGGTAATAGGCAATGCGCTCATCCATAATTGCATTAACTTGCGCCCTGCTGAGCTGCCCCTCCTCAGCGTGGGTGTCTTCGCTAGCCTCTTCTTCGGAGTCTGCGTCATTGAAATCGTATACATCAAGATCTTCACTCCAAGAGTAGTCCGTTTCAGCTTCGCTGTCCTCGAGGGATTCGTCTTCTTCTCCAGAACGATCGCTTTCTTCGACATCATTGTTAAAGCTATCCTGATCGTCATCCTCATGTTCGCTAGAACTCTTGGCCGCGGGGATGGGCTCGGTGGGGGGCGTAAATGAGGCCAAGTGAAATGGCTCGATCTTTCTACGTTTTCGTCCACTTCCATCCACGACCATAATCTCGTGTGAATTAAAATGGGGCTGAGAATTGTGCTGTTCTCTTATGGGAATGTGGGTTTGAGTGATGCCATCGCCTGTTAAGACAGCTTGTAGTGCATACTTAGGTGAAAGATTCCTCAAGTGCGCAACGACGGCAAGCAGGGCTCGCCTTCGACCAAGTGCGTGAATATTGAGTTCACGCTTGAGGAAATCGTCATCGATGCCTGTTAAAAAAGCCGCGCCAGATATCTCATTGCCCCGAAGTTCGTCTTCGAATACTTTGGGATCAGGACAGTTTGGAGGACCCCAGCCGGCAGCTTCAAAGAGGCGTTGGGAATGGCAGACCTGATTCACAACGTCATCAACAGACCAGAGCCAAGGGTCTGTAGAGGCCATAGCGCCAAGTATGCCAACATTTGAGATCCAAAGCCAGTTTTGGATACGGGTGAGGTGGTACTCGATTAAATAGGCAGCGGTGAAGCTGAAGAAGCGTTGCAGGTTTGAAACTGGGCAGAGCGTAAAGGCCTACAGTATGCCTTTGAGATGGATTGCGTCCTTAGTCCATCCCTATCCATTTGCATGCCTGGAGCTGCAGTTGGAGTTGGTGTCGTGAGAGAAGAGGTCAAACATGTGGGGCGGGCGTAGATGTGGCGAAGCAGAAGGCCCGTGCCCACAGTCGCGGTCACGATTCATGGAGACGCGTGAGCACGTTTCACTGCGGGGTTCGTCAACGTGGAATTGCGTAGGATGGACTTAACATATCTAGATACTCGTTAGAGTTGCCTTTGTAAGAAGGTGATCAAGAGAGTATGGTATCCTGATCTTTATCAGATCTGAACTTGTTAAGAAGCCTGTCGCGCATCTACATTGAAGCTTGAAAATTCGGAGGGCCGAACCTCGGAGAGTGCTTAACAATCATTTCAAGAGTCTGTCTGACTTCATCTCTCTCGAAGCAGACACATCGCCAATCATGGTGCCCCCGTTGTATCCGGACTATCCTCCGGAGCTATCTTCAGCGCAGGAACAGTATCTGCTGTCGAACCTCAAAGACTGGTCTATCGCACATGGTCTAGCAGTCCGGCCAGCCCCATCATTTGTTCCCACATCCCAGGATCCTTCCGGGGCTCTAGCTACTACGGCGCCAGTAACTCTTTTTCCAAGTCTCTTCCCGCGCGCTTGTTTTGAAGAAGCCCTTGCAATCCAAAAGGCTTACAATGAACTCTACTCCGCAATTGCACGGGACGAGGAATGGTTGCAAGCCATAGTAGAAGAGTAGGCGTCTCCAACCATTCATCCCTACTGATTCTTCGGGTCACCTGAAACATACTTGAATGAGCTAACCCTCTTACTTGTTGAGTACTGACGAACACTTTTAGGCTGATCGGCATTGATGATTTTGTGGGCAAGCTCTGGCAGACACACCTTGAGGTGAAAAGAGAAGGATATGTACAGGTGAGTGCATGCGTCAGGTGCTAATGTTAAACTTACAGGTCTAGGACTTGTCCCTTGGCCTATTCCGTTCGGATTATATGGTTCATTCTGAGCCTTCTACTGCGTCTCCTTCCATTGGTCTTAAGCAAGTCGAATTCAATACGATAGCTTCTTCATTCGGAGGGTTATCATCGCAGGTCTCTATTCTGCACAACTATCTCCTCACGATTGATGCCTATCCAGTATCCGCTACTACCATTCTCCGAAAGAGCTCTTTGGCACCAAGTGACTCTAGCTCTTCATTAGCCAAGGGACTGGCTGCTGCACACAGCGCCTATGGGTCACCCCGGACCAGTCACCCCATGTGTGTGCTCTTCATAGTTCAAGATCCGGAGAGAAATGTATTCGATCAACGACATCTAGAATATGCTCTTCTCGCAGAAGGTGGAGTGCGTTCCTTTCGGCTGCCATTTCATCGAACTCTCCTAGACACCAGGCTAGAGGCCGACAGAACCTTAGTGTATGTACCACCAAGCATACCTTCGGCCGCATACGAAGTCACAACTGTCTACTTTCGCGCCGGATATTCGCCCGACGACTACCCACGCACAGAGGATTGGAGAGCCCGGTTCCACCTGGAACGGAGTAGGGCAATTAAATGTCCGAGCATATTGACTCATCTTGCTGGGTGCAAGAAAATCCAACAAGTTCTTGCAACCCCGCACTCACCACATTTGAAGCAATTCTTGCCAGAAGATAACGTAGCTTCTCGCGTCCTCGCGACATTTGCTCCAATATACCCACTGGATGAGAGTCAGGCAGGAATTGAGGCGAGGAAGCTGGCAACAGACCCGGAATCGGCGAGTCGATATGTGTTAAAGCCTCAACGAGAAGGTGGAGGTAATAACATCTACCGGAAGGCTATTCCCTTATTCCTCGAAAGCCTCCCGGAGAAGAGCTGGCCGGCATATATTCTTATGGAAATGATCGAGCCACCGGTATTGAAGAACGCCATCCTCCGCAATGGTGAGGTCCAACGGGGCGGGGTTATTGGAGAGTTGGGAGTGTACGGGGTATGCCTCTGGAGAAATGGCTCTGGAGGAGACGCGGGGGAGGTACTCCAGAATTGGGAGGCTGGGTACCTTCTGCGAACGAAAGGCAACCAAAGCGAGGAAGGCGGCGTGGCAGCCGGGTTCGGCGCAGTCGATAGCTGCTGCTTGGTTGATGCCTGAGGGACAGATCTGCGATGCAGCCAAGGCACAATCCGGGCGTTCACTCCATGCAGGTAGCTGCAGCAGTTGAAAATCAAGAGTATGATAGAGTTGCGTCTACGATGCAAAGAGAGACCTGCACAGTCATCTATTTTCGATGCGATTGACAATGCATAACCAGTGATCCAGCAATCTCTCCGTGCTTTTTGGGTACGCCTTGATACCCCATGATCAATCGGCAACGAAATTTCGAGTTAACGCAGCACAAGCAATTCTGGTTTGTGAAGATATATTAGAAGTTCCACAAGCATGAGCGTCTGCAAAAGAACGTGCGAGACGTTGTAGTACTAAGCTGTGGAGGAGTGCACATCAAGGCTTGGTAGTACATGCCTTCGGCCCCTCAGACATCCCGGCTGCTAGGCCAACACATCGTACTCAAACTTTGATCTACCAAGGCAGGTCGGTGACTATGCACATCTTCAGTGCTTTTGTAGCAACCAGGATTATCCCCCACGAAAGTCATCCGACCGAGGGCGCAGAGGAGGCCAGATTCCGCCATCCGCCATTCACGGATCCGAGGTGTTGGCGAAGCCAGCGCAGTCGATCTGCTTGATCGGCTTGAATGAGGCGCTCGCTTAGCGATCTTCTTCACGCCGGTTGCTGCTATTTTCCGCGGGCTCCACATCCAGGACTAACTTCCACCTGCTGTTGAGAGAAACGAGAGATAATCAATTCTTGTGGCAATATGAGATTCGAATAGATGACATTTGCAGAGACACGAGCAGGGCAACCGCGGATCTGCTGGTTTCGTCGTCACTGTTAATGCAGGGCTCCAAGCTTTTCCCCACGACAGCCGGTTTATGCACGGCTATGCCGGCCCCTGAAAGGGACTGGCGTGATAGAGACGCCACAAGTCGACACTGGCTCCCGCATCGCACCGTTGTTGATTGGCCCCATGTCTAATCTCGCTTCGTGAAAAAAGCGCGTTGTTGGACGCGTCGCTCTTCCGACCTTCATGAACATCCCATCAGGCGCAAGCTTCATGCGTGCAGGCCCCCGAGATCACACCTTTCATATCCAGTCTCTCGAACTATTTCTCAGCAGCCTGTGAGTGTGTCGTCGTGGAGGGAGCTGACGCTTCCCGACTTAGCTGCATCCCCGGAACATGTTTTTGGACAGCTCATCAACCTCTCCCTTCTGTCTCTGCGTTGTAATGCGCCCATTGGCCCTCAGTGTTTCTTTGTTCCCATTGCCTGCTGGCTGAGCTCCCTCGCCGGCTTTCTCGGCTGCCGCTGTCCACAGAATAGAGACAGTTTGAGGTCGTGGGCTGCTGGTGGCTGAGCGCAATTTCCCAGAAGCTTCGAACCAAACTCTTCGCAGGAAGGGGGGAGTTCCGGATGAGCGACTCTGGTTGACGCCTGCCATGCCCCCGGCCTGCCCTACCTCAGCAATCATGCAGTCCAAGCTCCTCAGTTCTTGCTGATTGCAGCACCAATTGACGATCCTGCTTGGGCACTTGTCGATTGCTTTTATCGCTGATTGGCACCCTTGCTCGCTCTCCACATCCATTCTCTGTGGCCCCCTCTTGCGCAGATGCTGCATCTCTCTTGCATCACTACTAGTAATTAGCTGTGCTCTCGTCGCCTCTCTCCTCCCCCCCCCCCCCCCAATTCCTAATCATTAATTGTCTGTCGTTACCATTCCCCTGCTGTTCTTTTGTTTGCGCCTCATCTCCATCGTCATCGTGCCACCTTCATTGCGCCTTCCCTCCTAGATACCGACCCTCTCCTCACTCTTGCAACCGCCCACGTCGAGGTGAACCTTATGGCAGCCGTCCCTCGACGCTGAAAGCCCCGCCCTTTCACAATGCGGTCCCTTCGATATCTCCTCCTCTGTTCTGCCCTCGTCTTCTGTCTCGATGCCGCAGCGATCCAAGATCCTGTGGTTGCGCGACAAAATGGGAGCCCATCTTCCCAGCCGTCTGCGAGTCCTACACCCTCCAAGGCCGAGTCCTCACAAGCGTTATCGGCCGCTACGTCCTCTATAAATTCGTCGGTGAAGGAATCTCAAACCGCTCGCCCATCCGAGCAAGCTTCTCAGGCCTCGAGCAATGCCGCCGCCAGTTCCTCACATTCATTGCCTCCAAGCACTGTCATCCAAGCGCCCGTGATAACCGCTTCCAATGAACCCTCGCCATCCAATGCTGGTGGTAAGTCGCCCGCAAGCCTTACGATGATAACTCACTAAGGCGAGACGCCTACAGCAGCAAAATCAATGAACCCTCTTCCCATTCAGCCAAAGATCACCCCCGCTATGGGAGTAACGGGGGCGATATTATTGATATCTGGACTTGTATATACCGTTATTGGTATCAAGAACAAATGGTATAGTCACCAATCTAAGTTTGTTAATGGTTAGGCTAAGACCACTTAGGCTATACATCTTCTTCTCCTCAGCGTATTTAACCAGTCTCTCTGTCACGGTACGTTTGGCCCTGTTTCAACTTGACGTATGATAGACTGATTGGGCCAGGTACTCATCGTGTATCTTATGAGCCCACCAGTGACAGACGCCGTGCAAGGGGCCTTCTTCGTTGCGGCATTCTTTTCAGGCTTAATCTTTGGTGCCTTGTCACTCGTCTTTTCAGACATTACTGATGGTCTAGGCTGCATGCTAGGTGGATTTTGTCTTAGCATGTGGTTCCTGACCCTCAAGGAAGGCGGTTTGATTGCTTCAACAACCGGCCGTGCTATTTTCATTGGCGCCATGAGTTTCGCCGGCTTTTCCTTGTCTTTCAGTCACTATACACGTACTTACGGCCTGATTTTCTCAATATCATTCTCAGGGGCAACAATCACGGTGCTTGGTATCGACTGCCTTAGCCGCGCAGGTTGGAAAGAGTTTTGGCTCTATCTTTGGGGTACGTCGTGTTGTCTACCTAATTCTGTGGCATGATTCGCTGATCATTGCAGGCTTAAACTCAAATACTTTCCCGCTCAACACCAACACATATCCGATCACCAAAGCTCTAAGAGTAGAAATTGCCTGTGTCATCCTCATATGTGCATTTGGCCTCGTCTCCCAGCTGAGGCTGTGGAAACTCGTGAAGGAACGCCGAGAGAAGAGCGCTGCTGCAAGACTGGAACAAACCCAAAATTTGGAGCGAGAAGAGGAAGAGCTTGGCCGGAAAATTGAAGATGACTTCACCAGAGAAAGGGCTCAATGGGAGGCCACTTACGGGGATAAAAGCCTCCAGCAAGCCTCCCTCGTGGATTCTTCTAACAGTAGCTTTCCAAAGACGTCCACTAGCATTCGAGAGAACCGCCACTCGGGGTCAGACAGCGTGGAGATGGTTGACTTGTCGACACAACCAAGTGGCATCAAAACTAGCGTCTCGAGGCCTTCCAGCAAGCAGGTTGCAGTAGGTTCATCTGTAACCGTCACTGTACTTCAAGACGACGAGATTCAAGAAATCGATGCTGAAGGAAACCCGATCCCACTCAAGAAACGAGATTCGAAGCGGCATTCCGGCATGACTGCCACACCGAACAGCGCTCGCGGTTCCGTAGAGATTAAATCTGCAGGGCTTGGCCTTCCCCGTACCGCCTCAACGAGAAGCTCGCTCCAATCTTCAGTTCCACCACCTCCAGTCGTAGTGCCCCTTCCCTTCACAACACCAAAAGAAGAAGATGATCAGAGCCAAGACAGTGACAATACATCCACCTCTGCTCTTCCAGAGTCAACAACCGAACCCTTACAGAATGTAAGGCTTTCCAAACGATTTTCGACAACTTCGGCCCGAAAGCGGATATCAACCGGCAGATACTCAGATAATTCTGAATCTCGAGAAGCATTGATTATTCCACACATTGAGGATGACCGGGCCTCTTCAGTTGCGGCTACGCTAGATGATGACGATGACGATGTATCTTTATCAGAGTATTCTGGGTCCCAATGGCCATCAGAATCCAAACTTGTCGAACAAACGAGCCATCCCGCTGTTTCCGCACAAGATGAAATTCAATCACCCGTCGAGGTGGAAACGACGGGCAAGCAAAGGGAAGACACAAAGAGTGCATCAGATCAGAAAGCTGAGGCTACTGATGTTAAAGCGAACGGTGCTGACAACACAGGCGTATCGCATTCAAAATCGAACAGTACTGATTCTCGGAAGGAGACTGCGGTATCGTCTGAGGAGCAAGCTGGCCATAGTGCAGAGCAGGTTGAAGCAAGAGATGTAGCCACACCGATAGGGATCGCCAGCCGTCAGTCATTGACTGTCAGTACTGATCCACAGCCTGGTGCAAACCGGGTGAAACGGGAATCTCTGAGTAGCCGTCGCCGACGTTCCGGTACCGTGGCCTCTATTACTAACGAAGATGGGGTACAGAGTGAGGTAACAAAGTCAAAGAAGTCGGGGTCTCCATCTGGAAGCTCTCAAACCGAATCTCATGTCGGCAGCTTGAAGAAAGGAGCTCTGCCCGACAAACTGTCTAAGGTTGCGCTCTCGTATCGAACTAATGAGTGGGCAAAGCACTTGGACGCCGCTGAGAAACCGGACCTGGACGAACTCCCTGAGCCTGAATCACCCGGTGTTGCAATCGAGCATGGCTTTAAAGAAGCCGCCGCCCCAGTCAACGCCGAATTGGTCAAGCCTCAGCCTCAACCACAACCTATCACTTACACGAACTCTAAGAGAGGGTCCACGGGAGGTAATCCATATCGTGATAGCAACCTAATTCGGCCAAGTTCGAATATGTCGCGATATTCACAGATTGAAACACCGCAATCTTTGTCACGTACACCTTCTGCCGTGACACTCACAAGCCCCGCCGTTCCTCCATCTGCCTTCGCTCCTGGAGGCATTCCTCGATCAACTTCCCAACCTAAGCTAAGGACATTGCGGAATACTTCCACACCCCTCCTCTCGCAGACGCTAGTCGAGTCACCCATCGAAGAAATGGCTGGAACGAACCCCAACCCGATAGTGTCATCCATGCCGAGTAATACGCTGATGGGCCAACGTGAATCACTAGTCAAGAACAGGATTACATCTCAGCCACTCGCTCCCTATGCCTCAGCCCCGAATTTGGTCTTGGCAGGACAAGACACATCGTCGATAAATGCCGTCAGGTTAGAGAGTGAGCAGCTATCTTTGGCGGAGCGAATGCGAGCAATGAATCAAGAGAACATGACCCTGGCGCAACGGAAACAGCTTATCCAGAGCCAGAAACCCCCTTCGGCGTCTCAGCCACGGAGACAAAGTGGTTGGGCTGTGGGGGGCCAGAGCCAAGCGTTTGACTCGCATCAGCCGAAACGGGAATCTGGAATAGACCAAGGCCGACGTGAAGCTATGTTAGCAAGCTGGAGAGAGTCGATGCGACAAGACACCGCACCAATCCAGGCTGTGGCCATTAGTGAAGAGGCTCGTCGAGCGGCGATGATTAATGACATCAGACAAAAAGAGATGGAGAAGCAACAGCAGACCGTGGCAGAAACATACCGTGATGCGATGGTCGGCAACATGATGCGTAGTGGAGAGATGATGGACGCCCACAGGGAAGCTATGCGGCGACTGCAAGCAAACGCGAATCGACAGGCGTAACACAGTGACGGGGCCATCTGAACGGTGACTCCTGGTAGGTATCACCGAAACTGTACTTCTAGGATGTAACAAATACGTGGGATTTGCATCGTGGAGGGTGGTATTGATTGATGGAACCACCGACCCGGCGTTATTCTTGCTTTTATACGAAGACAGGGAAGGGGGACGACGAGATATGGAATGCATGTCGGGATAAAGCATTTAGGGGGATCTTCAATGCTCCATGGGTAGGTACGGTCTGGGACAAAAGCATTCCTTATATCGAGATAGAATAGTAGCAGACATGGCGCTGCTATAAGCCGCCTACGCAACATAATTTCTAGTATTGTAATTGAGTCATATCACACAGATCTTTTGGTGCATTGTAGAATTGGTGATTCTTACTTTCTTTCAAGAGTTTGCAAGAGCTTTCCCCAAGTGAAGTAGAACATGTTCCGGCACAGCCGGAGATAGAGAGGCAGCAACACAGGGAGATGCTGTCACGAGGAAGTACTGTATAGGACACACGTGCACGGACGAGAGGGTGGGCCTGCAAATGTCAGGAAGTGGCATGACATTTAGTGAATGCCCGAGGATAGGGTTAATGCCGGCTGCACTAGTCATTGATGATCAGGGAAGTGGAGAATATTGGCACAAGCCAGGGCGCGGCATAAGATTCATAAGATTGAGAGTCCTCAGCAGAGCTTCCAGAAACCATGGACAAATTTTAAATGAGTGCGGAGGGCTTCCGGGTTCGTGGACCTGGGTTCCGGTTACGGTTGAGGCGTTCAAGCTGCGGACTAGCGCCCAAGAACGCGTTGCTGATTTTGTGATTGACCATGACCAACATTACCAACGTCACTTGGCTGCCCGTTGTGCCCTTAGCCTGCCAGATTGCTTTTACATTATCTGCTCACAGGGCGACCAATGCTGCGGAGAGTGGCGACTGACAGAGGGCATACTTGGAACAGAGGGCTGGGATATAAGGGTAGTGATTTTCAGACAGCCCCGAGGCTGGCATTGATGGACCCAAGTTAGGATTTCCGGTGCTCTGCAGCGAGCAGGGGGGGGTGTGAAGAAGGCGTCGAATGGCGTGCACAGCCAAAAGAGCCAGCAATACTGACACGAGCCCGTCGTGAGCTCAAAAAGAAGGCACATCCCGACATTGTGACGGTACCGGCAGGCCTATTCTGGACGAGGCGTTTGCAGACCTGCCGCACAGCTTGAGACACAAAATAGAGCCCCAGCCGGCACAATTGGCAGGCGAAACAAAAGCCATCCCATCCCACGATCCGACTGCTCTTTTCCCGTTCCCGCCGACGCCTCTGTCGCTCTGCGTCTGCGACAAGAAGAAGGGCTCTGTGGTGTGCTGTCTGGCGGTCCTGTCTCTTGCTGCTGCTGGTCACTCATGCAGCCCTCTGTGCCCAGACCATCGTCGGCAAGGGCAACCTCCGCGCTCCCCTTCGAAACCCTATCACCACCCTTACATTCACCTTCACAATCACCTCCGCAATCCTCGCCCCGCCCGCAACAACGGCGTCTCCTGCGGCCTACGACTCGCCCTCGTCGACATCGCGTCCGTCTGCGCCCGCGCCGACACTGACCGCCCGCTGGAGCTTGACAAACCGCATTTTCAACCTCAATTTTCGCTCGCTATACAACGGTCCCCCACGCCAACCTGCATCGCGTCTGTGGAATCCTGTCAACTCGTCCCCACGGACCCTCGCTCTGCCCAACGTCCCTGTGCAACACCCTTCGATCGGCGAGGGCGTGCCCAGATCAACCGACGGCCGTGACGAGTACCCTCTTCTGACCCTGCCTGAGCAGCGTCGCAGCCGTCAGAGCCCTGCGCCGTCCTCTCTTGTCGTTGAACGTTCCACCGGTGGAGACAGTGGTCGCACGAGCATCGGCCTTCCGCGTGATCGCAGGAGCCTGCCAATTGAGTCGCAGCCGCCGACGCCTAAACTGCCAATGCCTATGGAGCAGGTGCCTGCGCCGCCCGCAGGCGGCGGAGACCAAGCGTCCATACCGGCGCCTCGCACCGATGACCTTGAGGCAGGCCTGAAGCCTTCAAAGCAGACAGCCAGTCGTGCCTCGTTGCCGCTATCTCGTCCGGTCTCAATGCACTCGCAACGCCTCGGAACTGCCTCGGCTCACGGCGACAGAGAAGCAGACGCAGACGACACCATATCGGAATATCCATGGGGACCCTCGCATCCTTGCTTCCCGCACCCGAATCCGCATGTTCCACTTGAGTCCCCTCTGTACGACACGACGCGTATCATCCGCATTAAGCGCGACTGGATGCTAAAAGGTGACCTGGCCCCGACTTTCGCCAACCTGTACCCGGAAATCCTGGATCCTCTAGTCTCAGAAGATGCGTTCCGCGACATTATTAAGAGAGTCAATGATGATCTAATCAGGGCGTTCAATCCAATGAGCTTTCGGGCCTGGTTAGATACCGTCATGGGCGTGGCAACCTTCTGGCTGTGGGACGATGCAGGTCTCACAGCGGTGAAACGGCACCTAGCTGATCTAGAGAAGTGGCTGGAAGATTGGAACAAGAAGGTTGGCGAGAATGAAGGTGTTAGGATTATCCCATTGAGGCGCACAGGGTACCTAACAGTAGGTTTATATACTCCACTACCGCCGACCGATGCAGGGCTAACAAATTCTAGCTCGACATCCAGATCCCAGATCCGCACATTGGCGTCGACAATGGAACATTATCCCGTCCTAATACGCAACAGGATGACCTCCAAACCGTTGCACCGCAACAGCACGGCGAATTCGCCCCGTTCCCTGTCACGCCTACCCTCCAGGTCCACGCGGGTTCTCCTACTGCTATTGAAAGTCAATCATAATATCGATATATCTATCTACCTATCTAATACCCAAGTCTCTTTCCTGAACATTTGTTTTCTGGCGAAACGGTGGTCGGTCGGGCATCTGCAGTTTGTTTTTCTTAGCATTAGCGTTGGTTGTTTTGGCGTCGTGTTGGCCATGAATCCCTGAGTAAAGGGATACAAAAAATGCGGATGTTTTGTGGGACGGACATGAGGCGCTGTGTAAAAAAACAACGTCCAGGACCAGCGTCCACTTTGGAGTCTTGGTCAGAAGGTTGTGGCTTCTCTGCTTTTTTTCTCCACGTCCGAAATTAGGCATCACCTGCTGCGAAGCATAATTTTTCCTCTATTTTTTTGTCAACATTTCTGTCTGTCTGTCTGTCTGATACCCCAGAAGTTTTCTATCAGCATCGGGTGAATAAAGTAGCATTTCAAGCAACCACAATACTACAACAACATTACCTATCTCTGCAACCTCCTTTCTGCCATATCTAGCCCAGCACCGTAGCTTACCTAGGAGTCACTCCCCTCAACCCAACTCAGCCCAATTCAGCCCAATCCAGAGCAGGCTAATAACGTCATCTCACCATTCCACATCCCTTGTACCCAGCTTCCCACGTTGAAAACTAAAGCAGTTTCCCCCTGTCTGTGTGGATGAAGATCCTGCATGCACCGGCTATGCATGATGATGATGAGCAAATGCTGGAATACCGTGGGGCCGTTTCATGCATGTGTCTCCTTGTGGAAATCTCTGAAACCAGCGACAACCATGACCGGGACTGGGGGTGTGACATGACCATGACTCGCGGAGATCGGGACTGGACAGGAGGAGTAAGTGCTGGTACTGGCACTGTGACCCCTTTACCATTGCTGTTTGTCTGTCAGCACGTTCCCAGTTACGGGGTGGGGGGTTATCGTATTTTGGAAGCTCCATGGCTGGGTGGGCGAGTGGATTGTTATACAGTGAGGTCAGGGTGATCATCGACAGATAGGTGTGCCCCTGCAGCCGTGTAGTAGGGCTGGGCTAAGTTGACCCTTTTCTTCGAACATGGATATGGATTCTAGATAAATAGGCAAACACGAAGCTCAAAGAGGGGTTCCGAACGGAGGTGCGTGCCCTAAATACATCTATCCATCCTTCCCTCATTCTCCCCTTCACCCCCACCCCCTTCAAGGATGCACACCGATGAATACTGTACAGATATATTGAAGTCCTGAAGTGGAGATTAGAAAGTCATGCGTAGCACGTATCTCTATTTGTGTACGTCACATCACGCGTTTGGGGCCGCGTACTGTATTTGGGTAGGTATTATTGGGTGTGATTGTTGGACGAGGAAGGATGATGGTTGAGGAATTACTCGCTCTGTAGGGTACGGCTGGTCGGTGCCTTCCGAGTACCCTAGGCACCTCGAATATTGATACAGAAGGAGGATTTGGGCGGTTGGGGGTCTTTCTAGAGGAGAATTAGAGAGTGTTTTCTGATTAGAGTACAGGGTGAGGTAATGTGCTGTTTTCAATGAGTTCCTTGTTATGTTCTGTCTTACACCCGTTAACGTCTGTTGTAGTAGTACCGCAAGAGACTCGGACAAAAAGGCGAACCTGAAACCAATGTTTGTTTCGTTCAAATTTCCTCGAGGGTAGAATATATATACATTTGAATGTGGTAATGTTTCCAACGTAGAGTTGTATCATACAAAGGTGTTTTTCATGAGAGAAGACTGTTCTCATCTTATCTGTCAATAAAAACTACCCATTGGCGTCGTTAGTTTCCGCCTGAAGCGTCCACGTAACACCCATTAACGACCCTATCCCGCTCTCATCCTCTTCCTCTCCCTCTCTTTACTTCCAATATGGATCCGCCGTCAAATTAACCCGACTCAAATATCCCTGATCCACAAGACTGAGAATAGTCCCGGGCATAATAAACTGCAGACCCAAACCCTGTTGCCCAAACCACCCCGTAATCGGCCCCGCTTGAACAGTCAGACTTCTCTCCACGAGGTAAACCCTGTAGTTATACGGAAACGCTGCTCCAGGCGCCGCATTCAGATTCGTCGGCGGCAGGGCTCGTTGCGCATACGGCGCGCCACCGGGAGACATGAAGGTGCCGAATTCAGAACCAAAGCGGTCGAGGAAAGTGCCCGTGGTTAAGGTCATATTTGCGATGATTGGCTGACCGGATGTGGATAGTGAGAAGCCGTTGAAGGGCGGGTAGACGAATTGGCCCGTCTTGTTGTCCGTGTAAGTAGCGAGGAAGTTTCCGGGACATAGGCCACCGAAGCGGTGGTAGGTGCTGTCGGCTCCGGCAATGCCCTCGAGAGGAAGGCTGGTGGGGAGGACGACGGGACCGAGTCGGGGATCGCCACAGACATAGAGATTGGGGTCGGAGGAGGAATTGGTTCCTGCACAGAAGGAGGGGCAGTGTGTGGGGTCAAGATCAGGCTGGGGAATGTGTTAGAAGAGGATTTCATCGAGCTAGAAGGGATGTGGTAACTAACATCCCGTTTTTTCAACGGCATCGACTGGCCGAGAAAGGTCCATACCCAGACGGCAAGCAACAATTCTACTCTCATGATGGCAATGTTAAGAGGGATTCCTATGCCGGGGTAGTGAAGGGCAATTGGGTCATGGAGGAAGGGAGGGAGATTTCAGCGGTTATATGGGCAAGGCTTTGTACCACTCTGAATTGAAGAAATGGGCATTACTGGGCAGTGTTGACTTTGTGTAGCATCGCGCCAGCCACAACCGAGTGGTCGGCCCGCAGTCGGAAAGTAGATTTCGACGCTGTGTAACCAGAATGCGTTAGGCCCAATGATGTTTTGGGAAGAGCTGAGATGACACGAGAACGGCGAGGATATTTGCTTGGCATGCAGACACAGCAGCGTCCCAGCCTTGGAACACCGCCGAGTCACGGCGACACCGTCCCCAGAAATTGACGGCAATGGTGAGCAACAACGCTTAACATGCAGGTATGACACCGAGTTTCTCACTCCGTGGGAAGTACAGAGTCCTCTGGCCTTGCTGATCGAGGCGCCCTTCGCCAGGTGTGCTCCGTGCTTCTTTTTGAAGTATTTTAATCCAAGAACCGTCTTCATCACCAAACGATGAAATGCGCAACTTGTTTCAGCCGTCCTTCTAGCGGTGGACCGTGATCGGAGATCATTTCCACCCAGTTCCGCTAGCGGAAGTCTCGTCTGCAGGTGGAGGGAGGGGAAAGCGATCGCAAGTGGGGAGGCATATATCGACGGGCGGAGCTCAGGTAAGGCACCTAATCAACTCTTATAAGATGGTCAGAGTAACAGGTGTTCGCACATGGCTGAAGGGCCCCGGTCCATTTCTGCGGGACCTATTTCTTTAGGAGTAGCATTTGAACCCGCATGTTCATTCATTGTCCTGTGGATCTTCTTGTTCTTGATCGTTGGGATCTCCACTTTTACTCTTCTTTGCATCATCGGCTGGAGCAGCTTCGTCGGCTGGCACTGGAAAAGATAGGTGCTTCCAATCCTCAATCTACAAAGTCGAAATTAGCCTGCGCGACAAGGTGGGGTTGATAAAATGCGCTTGCGAGGTGCCATTCATACTTCTTCGATGATGCTCCGCAACCGATCTCTAATACTCTCGACCGCATAGCTCCCCAATAGCAGTCTCAGTGGTGGATAACTGCAATGTCCCAATTGCCACACTAATTCTGCACTCTTTACAGCGCTAACAGGTTGTCTGTCATTTAGCCATTGAACCATGCGTTTTGCATGTCCTGCAGGGCTCGTTAAAGTCGAATAGGGTGGGCTCGGAGTTGGTTTGACCCAAAAATGGCCATATCGTTTGGGCTTGGGAGGCCCAGTAGCACTTGTGCTTGTGGTAGCTGCGGGTGTTGCGAATGTACCTGTTGGAACAGGGTAGTCCTCCGGTTCATCTAGGCGGACATGTCCGGGCTCAACGAGCGTAGCTTTGATGTTGAAGACGTCGATTTCATATAACATGGATTCTATCAAGCCTTCGACGGCGTATTTCGTCGCGCAATAGGGTCCTAGACCAGGCACGCCGAGGGCGCCTGCTGTAGAGGAGAATATGAGGTAGCGGCCATGGTTTTGGGAACGAAAGTGTGGAAGGGAAAGCTGGATGATGTGGAGGGTGCCGAGGAAATTCGTGCTGAATTGGTTACGAAGGTCATAATCGTCTTGGTCTTCACAAGCACCAATGACACCTAAAAGAAAGTCAGTTGATATCGCCGGCATCGATGCCAATGACCAGGAATACCATAGCCCGTGCAGCTAAAAGGACAGTTAGCTTCGATAGCTAGAGAAAGAAGCGCGGAGGGCGTACTTCGCAATGACATCGACATTGCCCCATCGTTCAATGCTCCTTTGCATGACATCATCTACTGTCTCCCTTACTCTCACGTCGCACAGCAGGCCTAGGTAATTTCGGTCCTGCCATTTCTTCATCTGCTCAACTGTGTTCTCCTGTGTCCACCCCACTGCAGTGCACTGGTCGCCGTGTGACAATACAGCTCGGACAAGAGAGCGCCCCATGTGCCCAGTTGCTCCGAAGACCTTCGAGTGGACTTGTAAGCAACTGAGTCCCCGAATCCTCTACCTAGTTTCACTGAGATGGGGGGAAAGCACTCACAATCCATGAGGCCTGCTTCGGCGGATTGTGCTCAGACGGTGGGTCACAAGTGGCGGGTAGCCTTAGATTTGGGTGATGGGATGCGGCAGTAGGAGATAGGCTCTGGCTTGCCGTGTCGATGTCCATGACTTCCTTGTGATTATGAGTGAGGCCGGAAGGTAAGCTGTCTTTTGAGCATCATCCCGCCCCGATCAGTGTGGGGGCGGGGCAGGCTCCGCCATCAAATTGAGAACTGACAGCCTTGCTAGTCACATGACTTCCGCCCCGCCAAACATCTGTCGATCGCTTGGCAGACTTCAAGTTTCAAGTCTCAATATTCTGCTTCTCAATCCCCAAGTCCACCATAACCATGCGCAACTGAGCATCCAATTGACTCGCCGTTCCATCATGGGGCAGAACAACCCCCCCCTTCAGCCTCCCGCCCACCAAGGCTCCTCGTAAGTCCATTTCCCTCTTTCTATCCCGTCTCCCACCACCCCGCTTACCTCGCAGTCTCTCCTTCACACAGGGCTTCCTCCTTGGCCAAGTCTCCATTGCCCTCTTAATAATCTTCTTCATAAAATTCTTCATATTCGGCGAGCCCCCATCAGCCGATGACCGCGCCCTGCACCTCTCCTCCCTCCGACGCGCCCGCACCCTCGCCCACCAGACCTCTCTCCACCAACGCACCGGGTCAAACTCGACCACCAATCCGCTCCGCCACAAGCACTCGCGGAGTATAATACGGAATCCTGTGAATAGTAGTGGTCCTAGTATCGCTACTATTCTTGCGAAAACGTACTATAATGTGAAGGGCCACCAGCCGGAGAGTTTGGACTGGTTTAATGTGCTGGTTGCCCAGACGATTGCGCAGTTGCGTGCGGATGCAAGACAAGATGATGCTGTTTTGACGTCCCTTACTGAGCTGCTGAATACGGGGAGTAAACCGGATTGGATTGGGGAGATACGGGTTACTGAGATTGCATTGGGAGACGAGTTCCCTATTTTCAGCAACTGCAGAGTCATGCCCGCAGAAGATGGATTTGGGGCTAGTGGAGCAAGTGGAGGCGGACTCGGTGTAGGAGGGGGAAGCGAAGAGGGGAGGCTACAGGCGAGAATGGATGTCGATCTCAGCGATGTGATTACCTTAGGCGTAGAAACGACTTTGGTTCTCAACTACCCGAAACCGTTCGTAGCGGTATTACCCGTTGCACTCGCTGTCAGCGTCGTAAGGTTCTCAGGTACACTCGCTGTATCCTTCATCCCCTCTTCAACGCCTCCTTCAACATCAGCAAACACCCCCAGTCCAACGCCAAACTCAAATCCAAGCTCACAACTCCAACCGCCGAACCACACAACCGCTCCCTCATCGTCACTAAACCCCCGCCGCCACTCCACCTCCTCCGGAACAACCCCCTCCCGCCCCACAACTCTCGCCTTCACCTTCCTAGACGACTACCGTCTCGACCTCTCCGTCCGCTCGCTCGTAGGCTCCCGCTCACGGCTCCAAGACGTGCCTAAAATCGCTCAACTCATCGAATCGCGCGTCCACGCTTGGTTCGACGAGCGCGTCGTAGAACCCCGCTTCCAACAGATCATTCTGCCGAGCCTCTGGCCACGGAAGCACAACACGCGAGGCGGAGAAAACGGTGAAGAAGTACCTGAAGAAGCCATTGTTGACGACGACCACAATCTCATGGACACAGAATCTTCAACAACCCCTGGCCAACGAAGTCGACCGGCTTCTTTCGTCCCTTCTTCACTGGAAGCTCGTATGGAGGCCGAAGGCGCAAAACTCCGTGAAGCTGAGGTCAGGAGCGGGGACCGTGACCGTAGGGGCGATCTTGCGGACGCTGGGATGCGATGGCGTGGTGATCGCGAACAGCGAAATATGCATTCGAGGGAGCAGAGTCGACAGACGAATAGGTTTAGCGGGGAGTGGAGTGGACAGCGAGGAATGCCTGGGGCAATGCCGGGGGGGTGAAGATAAAGCTCGAAGTGCATTTGGAGTGGAGTTGTTTGTATCTGTATTATATTGTACGTTTAAAACTTGTATTAGGTGGGCGTTTGAAAACATTGCTATCAGCATATCTATCAGAGCGAAAGGTAGGCGCATGGCACTAAAGGGACGGGCTTCTCAGTACCACACGCCAGCACTTCTAACAGTGTATAACAAGGGTGCATGTAATTAAGACACAAATCAGTAAATTTATATTGCTCTCTATAACTCTTTCCAACAGGAAACTAAGCAGAGTAGATTCCACCCTGCTTCATGTCCGGTGGTACTAACCAACTATCCAAAAATCTCATGTGGACATATGTCCATCAATCGTTCCCCCACCCTCATCTACGCTCCACATCACAACACATCAGGCTCATCCAAAAGAAATCACACCACGACAAGGAGCGTTACATCGATTCGCAATTCAATCCCGTCTCAGGCGGGTACATCTAAAGTTACCTATCCTACGAGCTGCCAGCCGGTCATGAGCCCCTAAACCCGCTAAACCCCGAACCTCCAGACACCAGACCTTCCGAATCTCGGCTCCCATACCACCAGTCCCATCCCAGTACACCGAAAGGTGCAGAAGGGGGGGAAAGGGTTCTTAATTCTATCATACTGTACAATAACAAGTAGTCAATCCGCTCACGTGCGGCCAGCGACGAAGGATGTAAATGGAGGCAGGTAGATATCCCCGGATGCTCCTAGCAGGCGAAATGGAATGTGTTGGAAGGGAAGAAAAGACTTTCTGACGGGGTAGGCGGCAAGGCAGGTAGGGTAGGCAAGGTAGGGCAGGGCGGGGCAGAAGGTAGGAAACGCCATGAAACTCCTGGTCTGTCTGATTCTGAGAAATCCAACGTGCTTACATTGCTATATGCACGATGGAGTTTATACGACACGATGGAAGGAAAGAGTGGGTGTGAAAACGATGGGTATGAAGGCAACTGGGGTAATGAACTACGCCCGCCGTGGAGGAAGAGGTGTGCAATTAATCGTGGGTGGTGTTAACACTGTCTGCTCACTAGCTGTACAACAGTCCAGTCCAGCTACTGCCAGCCGGATGCCGGTGTCAAGTTTGGCAGCGTCGAAGCTGAGAACGGGGAATGAGAGTCCGGATTCGTGACGGGGAATTGGGGCTTCGGAGCAGCATCTTCCGGCGCGACGTACGGCGGGGTTGGCGCTGAGAAGTGACCTGGCTCGAGTTTTGGCAGCGAAAAGGCGTCGCCTGGCGGAGGAGTTCCTTGCACGACCGGAGTGATAATGAATCGATCTTGCTGTGTTTGAATACCATTTGGAGCAGACGGTGCAGTTGGCTGAAGAGGTGGGGCGGCAGCCTGCGGTGGTACTGCTGGCTCCAGCGTCGCAGTAGGAAGCGGTGGGCCAATTGGACCTGCGCCGACCTGCGCTTTAGGTGCAACCGTAGCTTGGTCATGAACTGCTAGCACAGAGGTCTCGGAAGGATAGAAGGCTCCTTTCGGATACCTAAGGCGGACGACGAGAGACTTGGGCTCAAGTTCGTCCTCGGAAGGCCCGTCGGCGAGGTCGTCTTCATCGTCATCCAAGACCATCTGATCGGCATCATCGTCCTCATCTCCTCCGTCCCACTCTCCACCAGAAGATGATGCATCGTCCTCATCGTCCATCTCGTCAACAGAGTTATATGTCTCGATGTGTTTGCGGCCCTTGGGCCAGCCGTTGGCCGCTGTCGCATTAGCACGGGTAGATCGACCGTGAGTGGGATGTGGCTCCTCGGAAGCATCAGATCGCACGTATTCTCCTGTCGCTGGCGAAGCCCGCTCCGTGGTTTGCCCACTCAGCAATGACTCTCCATAAAGACCTGCTACGCGGGTCCTCACTTGTCGACCACTGGCGGTGACGGTTGGGCCGGCGGCGGTCGCTGGAGTGTCCCTGGCAGAATGTCGCGTAGATCGGCGAACGGACAACCCATCGGAATTATCATCCTCCTCCTCATCCGAGAATGTATACTTCATTCGCTTGCCACGAGTGCGACCTTCGTAGAGGGAGAAGCCTGGCTCGGGACGGGCAAAGGCGGCTTTGCGGTTGTTACGGTATTCGCGGCGCTTGCGTTTCTGAAAAACTGTCAGTACCAAGCCCACAGAGCAGCCAGGATTTAAGTACCTCTTCGGTTGCTTCAAATCGCGGGATAGCATTGAGCATCCTCTCACTCAGTGCCTTGGCCTCCTTGGTGCCGTCATCATTCTCCAGCTTCTGTGCTAACACGCGAAGCTCGTCGATGGAACCAGCCACGGTCCACCATGGGATGTTCTTCAGCGCGGGATTGCCCTCGCGATAGACACGGAATGCAGTATCATCTTGGCCCTCGATCAACCAGTATCGGCGCTTGTCGCCGTCGCGACCCCAGGGTTGCACAGAAAGAGGAATGTTCGTGTCGTTTTTGTCCCTGCTGTTGCGTGCCTTGTACGTCTCTTTGATGAGATTGTTGACTACCTCGGAGTTATGTAGGCTCCAAAGGATGAGGGACTTGAGAAGGGTGAGCTAGAAGACCAAGTAGTTAGCATAAGAAATTGCAGCAGAGTCAACGTCAAGACCACGTACCCGCTCGGGCGCTGACATTGTATTGAACGATCGGCCTCCACTCAGAGGATTGATCCCATTCCATGCGCGTGGCCACTGGTGCTTCTGAGTCTGGATGGCCTCTTCCAAGGCCCGGCCGTAGTGTCCCTTCCTGTGAATTGCAAGCACAGTCAGCAAACGCTCATGAGCTGGTTGGTTCGGCCCATCTACGCGACCCAAATTCACCCAGAAAATCGTAGGAATTCGGGGTGACTAACTCAACAGGCTTCTTGCGATTGAGGACGAGTCCAAGGAGGGCGCAGAGCAGACTCTCGATTTGCGGCGAGGGCAATGGATCCTCGACGCCTCGCTCAATATCCTGCGGTCCAAAATGGGGACACTTGAGCGGGAAGGCCTCCATGAATCGCGATCGAAACATTATAATGAACTAGGCAAGGAAATGTTAGCATGGTGCTGCGGTGGAAGATAGAAGCCGTTGGGAAGAGGATCACGTCGCAAAACGACGCGATTGACGCGACTCCAGCTTACAGGAATGTCAGGATTGTCAGCCGGAATCATCTCGTGCGGCGGTGACGCTGGTCGCTTCTTGCGAGCTGGCGATGGAGGCTCGAAGAAGGACAGGATAGTGCCGTTCTTCTTCTGTTTCTTCTTCTTTTGTGGCGTTGCCTTTGTAGCCTGGACAGGGGCGACAATTTCAGGCATTTCGTCGTCGGTCGAAGGTGGAGATGAGAGAGAGGAGTCTGAGTCGGCCATGTTGGCGGATAATGTGTGCGTGTGGTGGAGTTGGGTCGTGCGGTGAAGCGGGAGGAACGTTGGTGAAATGGCGATGAACGAAGCACGGCTGGGCACGTATGAGGTAATCCTATTTCGCTAGTTTGGAATATCAAATAGACCAGTCCTAGTAAGCCAAAGCTTTCAAGAGCAGTTATGGATTCACGACGCAGATTTGCACAGGATGCCGAAAGCATTAGGCAGGCGGTCACCAGCTCTTCACAGCGACTTTAACTCTCCAAGATTGGGTGAGTAGGGACGTGTAAGGCTTCGCGAGAGAACAGTATGGAACGCGCCACAAGGCGCCAGAGTGTTTGAATGTATATATTTATTCGATGAAGAATAGTCTCCCACTCATCCCATCACATGCCGCCGCATACAATATTCCGCCTCGTTGCTATGCTTATAGAAGATGCCAGTGAGCTTGACAGAGTTATCGATGTTCCTAGAAGCCTCGAATAGTGTCGAGGCTGGAGTGTGCGGAGGAATTCGGCTCCTCCACCTCGCAATTCCCAGCACTTCCAGGGGTCCAACGTGCAGACAAGTACTCTGCTCTAAATTTCTGTATAGATGGCCTGTGCGAAGTTGTGGGTACATTTGCTGAGCTGGAATAGGTAATTTGTAAGTGTTTGGAGGTGGTGTAAGATCGTCCTGCATGCTTGAAGGTTCCGACCGGGACAGTTTTGGTGGCAGGTAGGGCGGGGATTTCGTCATTCTGACCAAACTCGACACAACGTATGGTGCGCAATTGATCTCGACGCGATGTTGGTGGTGATAACAGTGAACAAGGCGATATTTGCCCCAGAAGTCATCTCTTTTCACGTGGAAATTACAGAAAGTTACAGAAGGAACATCATGAAATCAGAGAAGAAATGTGGAATGACCTGAGAGGCAGTCGTGCGAAGAAAGAAGTTGAGGTTGAATAGGTATGAGAAAACAATGGAGGGCATGTGCCAGAGTGTCGCGACCAGGCGCCGAAAGTTCTTAGTGTTTGCGCACCAGCGATCCTAATGCCCACCTCCTAAGACGACCACACGGAACGAAAAAAAAGCTACCGCTGCGTTCCTTGACAGCAAATTTCAGAGAGAATATAGAGAGTTCTCATTGAAGGTGGATATGCAATTGCAAGGAGCCGCTAGGCATTCAACAAGCGAGCGAATATCAACCTAACATCAGCCTACATTGCGATCCTGATCTAAGGAGAGATGGAATGCCATCCGGATAGGTGCATTGATTATTGACGTCGTGAAGGAACCCGAGGGAGGCGACGATGGGGAGCGGCGACAGTTTAAGAGGCCTTGGCACCGCACGAGCCACTCGCCCAAAAAAGGTCTACGCTAGCTTGCAGTGAAGGCTTGGAGAACGGAGAGAACAGGCACCACTGCGATATTGCTCAGATTCCTAGTTGAAAAACAAGTGAAAAAAAGAGACTTCATGCATCCAGCTGAAGCGACAGGGGTAGTGTAAAGTTTGAATGCCCGTCAGCCGAAGATAGAGTTTCTTTTCGTGATGTGAGTGTGTTGATGGGGGAGAGAAACCTCCAGACTCAAATGCGGATGGCGGCAAGAAGAGGCAGGAGATAAAGAGTGAAGGAAAAGTAAATCATTTACTCGTTCCTCGTTGGTGGGTTAGGCGACCTACAAAGGTCGACGGACAAGTGGACAGCCAAATGGACAGCCAAGTGAATAGCCAAGGTGCTTCATAAAGTCTGCACGCGCGCTTGTGCTTGGGGGGGGGGACCTTTGGAGACGTTTCGAGAAGAGTGAAGCATCGGGTGGCTAATCTGGTCGGCTTCGCGTCAGGCTTCAAACACGTGTTTCCGCCACCAAAAGAAGTGCGGCTCAAGACGTGCAGGCTGCAGGCCTGAAACGCTGGTAATCGGGCGCTGCGATTTACGAGAGGCGCCGTGTGGCATTTCGCAGGACTGTCGTGTGCTTGAGCATGGCGGCAGATCCCAAATTAGCAGGGCGAGTAACGTGTGGCCTGTGGGGAAGGTGAAACGGGCGCCGGTGAGTACGAAGTGAAGGCGGAGACACGCCGACGATTGGGATAGAGTTGTCGATGTTGGCGCGCGCGGGATCGGCCGAAACTGATGGGCTTCTGTTGCTTCTGGCGCTCTTGGTCGAGGGCTTCTTTGGGGTTGCTGTGGCGGTTGCCACCCAGACCGCCTGCCGCCAGGGCCCCTGCTTGGCGGGCAGCCGCTAACAACAGTATGAAATGCGCGTCCCTTTCATGAAACTTATCACCCACCACTCCCCGCTCGACTTTCGCACACCTCGTCCGCCCACTCTCTCCTGCCTTTCCCCTCTTTCACTCTCCCTATTGTGCCGTAGTTCTCCCTATTGTGTCTGTTCATTCTCTTGCTGCGTGCGCATGCCGCTGCTAGTGCATGAGCTCCTTCGCCCCGTATCGATAGGAGGATCCGTCCATTCGCCGCGCTCCGTAACTTCCCCCCCTTCTTAACCACACTTCTCGCAATCTGTCCTCTCGGCCCGCAAGACCGCAACCATGCTAGTCAACAAGAAGCTCGATCGATTCAAGCAATGGGCGGGCGAGAAGATGGGCGGAGAAGTCAAGACCGGCCTCTCCGACGAGTTCAAGTCGCTCGAAATGGAGATGAACCTGCGACACGAAGGTATGCAGACACTCTAACATCCCTACGGAAGCTGAGGCTCGTTACAATGCTAACTCTACCCTAGGCATGGAGAAGATGCAGAAGTCGATGACCGTCTACGTCAAGTCCCTCTCCAAGCGCGAAGAGGGTGACAATAGGGAGAAGTCCCTCCCTGGTGGCTACTTGGGTTCTGCTATGGTCACACACAGCGAAGACTTCGAGCCAGACTCAGAATTTGGCAATTGCCTGTCCTGTGAGTCGTGACTTGACCCCGAAACCTGCAACGTCGGAGTAACGCTAATAATGTGCAGCTCTCGGCAGAGCGAATGAGCGATTGGCACGCGTCCAGGAGACGTATGTTTCGAGTGCGACATCCACTTGGTTGGAGGGTTTGGAGCGTTCTCTTGCCCAGATGAAGGAGTACCAGGTGCGTCATTGCTCTCCCCGCATAGCTCCGATAAGCACTAGAAGCTCACATATTTCTAGAATGCCCGCAAGAAGCTTGAACAGCGTCGATTGGCCTACGATACCTCTCTTGTCAAGATGCAAAAGGCGAAGAAAGAAGACTTCCGGGTCGAGGAAGAATTGCGGTCACAGAAGGCCAAATTCGAGGAGTCGAGCGAGGACGTCTTCCGCAGGATGCAGGATATCAAAGAGTCCGAAGTTGATATGATTCAAGACTTGACGCAATTCCTCGAAGCCGAATTGACATACTATGATCGCTGCCGAGAAATTCTTCTGAACGTCAAGCGGGATTGGCCGGCAAGGTGAGGAAGCATGTCAAGGTATTTTGGGTCACCGACTAACCTCTTTCCAGAGATGCTCACCGTCCCGCGCGCTCCCGGTCCAACACTGCAACGCGGGGCTATGCTGAGCGCTTCACTGCCCAAGAAGAGGAGCCGCCCATGCCTGAGCAACCACGCATCACAATCCCTAAATTGTCATCCCGGAACATGTCCCCTGCCCACGACACTCAATCTCCAGGTGGACATTCCTCGCGCCCAGCTTACAGCCGCACCACCACGTTCGATGGACCGTCCCGCTCTCAGCGCGAGATGAGCCCCGCCCCTCGACTTTCCCGTGTTCCCACTGAGCCGACCATGATCATGGCGAATCGCGCTAACCTCCGTCCTGTCCGCCAAACGAACACCTTCGCCGACGATTACGAAGACGAATACCCAGGCACCAATGGCCATCGACGCGACCGGTCGCCACCGAGTCCCGCAACCAGCCAAGGAAGTGCCATGTCACGAGCAGCAAGCTGGACTGCTTCAGAGCTTGCAACCACGGGCAAGAAGGCGCCTCCCCCACCTCCACCATCGAGGGCAAAGAAGCCTCCGCCACCCCCGCCACCAATGAAGAGAAGTGCGCTGAGTGCCTCTGAAACCTCGCATTATTAACCTGGCATCCTTAATTTCCTTTGTCCTTCCCATGCTAACTTTCTATGCTTGTGTTCAGTGTCGAGGAGAGTCAGCACCTACTAAACCTACCTAGCATCGGTCCTCATTCACTCGGCTCTCAAAAGACACACAAAAGGCATTATAATGGTTGCGCTTATTCGGTTTCCCATTCTGCATTCATCGGCCCGGCTCGGTTTTCCCTTCTTGTTTGCAAACTCTGCTCTGTCATTTGTGCATGGCGTTTACTTGGAAATTGAAATGGTGTTTCTGTCTGGGCGATAGGGTCAAGGATTGGGCCGGGTTACGGTTGGCATGGGAAGCCTGGTGGAAACAGGTTCATTCGGGTTTTCAGTGCCGGTCATAAATATGAATGCATCTTTTTCTGTCCTTTACAAATACCGCAATGCGTCTTATCACCTACCGTGGAATAATGGCTAATACTTCTATTATTCTAGCAAGCGGCTTAACGGATCAAATCTTTTCTGCAATGGTCCACGGTGGATGTAAATATGCTAGGTATCTACAATTACACCTCTACAACTTCATACCCGTGCAAGGGACCGCTCGTCCCTTCTCTAGATATTCTCTAACAATAGTTCGTGAGACTGAATGTCCATCAGGATCGAACGAGATAGCCTGTCATTGACACATGGATGGCCTTCTATTCACCCGTGTACAACGAGACCTTGAACGATATTTCGGAAGAGGACGACGTTCTGCAATACATACAACAGATCCTCCTTCGATTATACGATCAGGGGTCGACAGTCTCTCACCAGCTCCAGTAATATACTTAAACCGTTACTAATGCCCTATTCAAGGATGCGAGCCTCGTGAAGAAAACGCTGATCAATGACATTAGAACGTCAGTGATTAAAAATGTGGCCATTCCGAATTTCACTGGGGGAAGGGAACCGCAACGAAAGGACTGCTAATCCCAATAGGTGAAATTTCGATTGGCGAAATAGAAGAAGGAAGTATGGTCGTTGTAATTCGAATCGACTCGCGTTGCGCCAGAATGAGGATAAAAGACTATGTCAAGAGACTAATTGGATCATGATGGAGTGATGAAGAGTTCGCGAGACTAGTAACGTAAACGCGTTTATTAGTAGCTAGTTGAGTAAATTAAGAATCAACTTCAAGGTCGTGGATATCGATCTAATTAGTTTAAAGAGGGCTCTCAGAAGCCCCCAATATAGCAGGAGAGGTGACAGAAGGCGAGCAACTGTGAAATAGATTCAGATATCTTTCTGCGGGTTGAACACATGCCTTCAAGATGCTCAGAAGCCCCCCATATAGCAGGAGAGGTAGCTGAAGTCGAGCAACTGTGAAGTAGATTCAGATATCTTTTCATGGGTTGAACACATGCCTTCAAAATGCCCAGAAGCCAAAAAATGAGGTACTCAGCCAGCTGCCTGAATTGCGTGACTTGTAGTCAGCCCAAGTTCTCTTGCTTCTCCATCGACAATATCTGGGAGCATCTCAAAGAGAGATTTTTGTTTCGGCTTCCAATCGAATAGCTTTCTCGCTCGAATAGCTCTTGCCCTTGAATTCATCCCCCAAAGATAGGCGCCGAAAGGGGTCAACTTATCAGCTTCTTCCGTTGAGATATTGTCAATCTCAGCCGTCTTGATGAGCTTCTTGTCATAAGCAATCTTGGCGATGGCCCTTCCAACGTCTCCCCAGACGAAGTCACCATTCTCTGCAAAGTAGTAGCCTTCAGGTCCCCATGAAGCCCTTTTCCCACCTTGAATGGCATCCTCGACGAGACTTAGGTAGACATTGCTGAGATCCTGAACATGGACCTCGGTCCACAAATTGTTGCCTTCTTCGACCTGGAAACCCTTGCCACGTTCCAGAGTTGCCCTCGCCATCCGATAAACTTGAACGCTCTTTTGGTTGTCCGGGCCGCGGCCTGGTCCCCATATGCAAGGAGGACACACGATCACGGAATGAACTTTGTTAGGATGTTCTGTCCCCGCGGCCAATACTATCTTGTCTACATTGCGATGGGCCGCCATGTCCGGGAGACTAGTAACCTCGGTTACACCATCCCAATCATTGTAAACCTTCTCATTCTTGACCCCATAAGATTTTCGTCCGAAGTCGGCTACAGACAGTATACCTGTTCCCGATGTATGGATCATGTATCCTGCCTTCCCAGACTCTCTTTTACCAAGACCGGCAACTAGGGCCTTTGCTGCTCCTTCATGATCAGCATCGGCACAATGTAAGACAACATTAGCTTTTGAGGCTTCGGTAGTGAGGATGTCGGTACTGTCGAGGTCGCCGTAGACGAGACGAATCTTGGAGTACTGAGACGCGACTTTGGCGCCCTTGTCGCTGTTTCGGACAAGCGCTGTGATCTCGAGTTCAGGGTGAGCGTTAGCTATAGCGTACAGGGCGTCACCACCAATGTAGCCGGTTGCTCCTGTGCTGCGTCCAGAGTCAGAGCATGTTGAAGGACGAGGTACACGTACGAGGGGAACACACATGAATAGCTTTGTCATTTCGAGGGATATCTCGATGTCAGCCACGATATATATATGGAGTCGACGGGAAATTGTCCAAATTTAACGATAAATCTGATCAGATCGTCTCCCTCACCATTGAATGCCCTTTCTGGTTCTGGGTTAGGTGCGGGGATGTTGCATACGTCACACAGATCGGGCGTTTGGGAATTATTCAGCAAACTGTCGCAAATACGAATTGTGAAAAGTGACTGCATAGACATAGTGATCGTTTCGGTCGCAGGGTATTTGACCAAGATTCCGTTGGAGATGCTGGACGATGCTGGACGTTCGAGTTGTCCTCAGTGGATGCAGAGAGCGTTGATACGGAGCCTGGCTACAATTGACGATATAATCTAGCATGCATACTATCACTCTCTGCGCTGTTTGAATCATGAACTTTAGAATCGTTGGATGCATTCATCAATCATAGCCCGATGTGCAATCGGCATCGGAATGTAAGGGCTTCATCGGCTGCTTATGTAATGTCCGATTCACGCTGGTTCGTTCGGAAGGTGTGCGTGGGAGCTTCAGCCACATGTTCGTCCACCAAGCAGCACGACATGGACCCTTCGATAGGTGAAGGCCCCGGTTGATTTAAAGAAGAAGACCTCATCAGAATCCCCGATCGCGTTCATTCTCACTATGGATATCGTACAAGCCGTCTCTGGCTACATCACTAAAATGGTGTCTGCTGGAGACAGCGCTGCAGGCACCTCCTCCGCGAAGATGAAGATTCTCTTGCTGGACAATGAAACTGTAGGTTTGTCTGCTCTATCAAAACAATTACTAGCTGTTGCTTACGTGTATAGGTGTCGGTATTGTCCGCAGCAACAACCCAGTCCGCTCTTCTCAACCATGAAGTCTACCTTACCGAGTACTTACCATCGATCTCTGTGTTCCCTACACAAGCTGACTTCTGCACTTAGCCGACTAGATAACCAAAAGCGAGAGAAAATGCGCCACCTCCGTTGCCTTTGCTTCGTTCGCCCATCCCCCGAATCCATACAGGGTTTGATTGAAGAGCTCAGGGAGCCCAAGTATGGAGAGTACAATATTTGTAAGGCTAGGATGTTGCTTAGATATGGTCCTTCCAACTATTCTGACTGCAAGTAGACTTCAGCAACATCATAAAGAAATCCTCTTTAGAAAGACTAGCTGAGGCGGACGATCATGAGGTTGTACGTGCGGTACAGGAATACTTCGCGGATTTCCTCGTCATCAATCCAGACTTGATGTCCTTAAATCTAGGGTTTCCCAATCACAGGATATGGAGTACAAGCCCAGACTCATGGAACACCGACTCTCTGCAAAGGTCGACTGAAGGTGTAATGGCATTGCTTCTAGCTCTGAAAAAGAAGGTTTTGATTCGATATCAGAAGAATAGTCTTCTTTCCAAGAAGCTCGCGACAGAAGTTCGATACCATATGACGCAGGAAGATCAACTCTTCGACTTCAGAAAGACGGATACACCACCAATTCTGCTTATCGTAGACCGTAGAGACGACCCCGTGACGCCTCTGCTAACCCAGTGGACTTACCAAGCAATGGTTCATGAGTTGCTGGGTATTAATAATGGAAGAGTGGATCTAAGAGATGTGCCAGACATCAGACCGGAGCTGAAGGTAGGCTGTGGCTGAAGTCAGCGACCTGTCCTATTGGTTTGCTAATAAAACCTACAGGAAGTCGTTCTGTCCCAAGAGCAAGATCCTTTCTTCAAAAAGAATATGTACCTCAACTTTGGTGACCTTGGCCAGAACGCAAAGGACTACGTTGAACAATTTGCTTCCAAACAACAGGGGACACAAAAGCTTGAATCGATCACGGATATGAAACGCTTCATAGAAGACTACCCCGAATTCCGCAAACTCTCAGGCAATGTCACGAAGCACGTAACTCTTGTGGGTGAGTTGTCTCGCCGCGTAGGAGAGGACAGTCTGCTGGATGTGAGCGAGCTAGAACAGAGTCTCGCTTGCACAGACAACCATTCCAATGATGTGAAAAGGCTTCAGCAGATTATCCAAAACCCAAAGATACCCGCCGATAATAAGCTCCGCTTGACTGCCATTTACGCGCTTCGATACTCTAAACATGCATCAAATTCGACTCCAATGCTGCTGGATCTTCTGGGTGTCTCCGGAAATGTCTCGCGACATCGCATCAACCTAATTACGAAGCTTCTAACCTATCACAACTCCTTGCAAGTTTCCACTGTTGCCGGGGGTGGAATGCCAGATTTATTCCAGCCTGGATCTTTCTTTGGAGGAGCGAGAGATCGCTTCAAGGGACTAAAAGGCGTAGAGAACGTTTACACCCAACACTCTCCCCGATTAGAAGCTACGCTTCAAGACTTAATCAAAGGCAGACTCAATCAGCAGCTATATCCATTTATTGAAGGTGGCGGCTCAACCAAGGACAAGCCTCAGGATGTAGTCATTTTCATGATCGGCGGAACTACATACGAGGAGGCAAAGATGGTAGCGCAAGTCAACGCTAGCTCGCCCGGCGTTCGCGTGGTCCTCGGAGGCACAGTGGTGCACAATAGCTCTTCGTTTCTAGAGGAGGTTGAGGATGCAGTAGGGTCTTGGCCAGAACCCCCCGCAGCTTCAGCTGCGGGTCGACTGAGAAGGGAGGTGGGCAGGTGACCATTGTGAACATGCATTCAATACGAGCAAATGAGGCATTACTGTGTCCTCAATTGTTATGCACCCTAGAGCTCGCTGTCAAAGCCCAGTTCGGCAAAGGATTTTTGGGGTCTCGGTGTGGAAGCGTTCGCGCTTGATGATGTCTGCGGCGCATCCTAGACTCGGGTCTCAGGTAGATAGCGAATGCAATATTAACGTTCGCATTTGAGAGCGGAAGCCATCAACAGTTCCCTGTGGTCATACGGCCACGAAAATCCCTCCTGCGTCCTCAAAAAGCACATCTGGATGGGGGTTTCTCGCAGTCAGAAACTTCATGTAAATGGTAGCTGTAGATATCTCCGGAGTCATTTGTTGGAGTCGCCTATAAAATATTTTGCGACAGAGATAAGCATGCATGCTGGACGCCAGTTGTCTATTGCGAAGGCCCATGTGTAGTGTCATCGTAGAATGACAAAGGCGGCGAAAATTTGTTCACCGTTCCTTATGCAGCGTTAGCCGGTTCCTTTGAGGCGAATAGGGCTGAAGCGAGCACGTGTGGTGATGACCGATTAAAGGCGGAAGGTCCCAACGGACCGCTTTCCGGACCTGTTGCTCCCTCATCTCTCCACTCACTTGCCCCAAATATTATCTTCAACACCTTCACAATGGCGCAAAAATAAATGTACGATATGCCCGAACAAGTTGTACAGTCAAGAATCGTAAGGAGAAGAAATCCTCGTCCAATTAACAGTTGCGTAGAGTGTCGGACGCGGAAGAGTCGGTGCTCGAAAACGCATCCTTGTCAGAATTGCACAGCGTTTGGGAGGGAATGTGTCTTTATTACGGTACCTGAGAGCGCAGCGCGCAGGAAAAATAGAGAGTCGTCGAAGAGCAATGCGGATTGGACGCAGCCGCTTCCGGTTCGAACCCAAACGACCCAGCCGGAGAATTCTAGTACCAATGCGATTACCACGACTCCCGGAACGCCTCCACGTGATTACGAATGGGAGGCATATCAACAACATGTTGACATAGACGGCGATGCGTGGGAGAAGTTACCGGCCGAACCCGAAGAAACGCATGATGATGTGTACGAAGACGAGAACGAAGATGAAGATCAGATCGCAACGGATCTCACCATCCGGATTGGAAGAATGATCATATGTGAGAACATCACTGGTTTCTTCCGTCCTCAATATGCCGAAGAGGTACAGTCTCTCCTTTCAAAAGATGCGCGAACCTGACATACAAATGTGTCTGTCCTGTAATAACTAACATATATGCAACAGCTTGGAAAGCTCCTTTCAGAGCACCCAGCGTTAACCTCATCCGTTGCAGGGCAAAGAGCACCCCAGTCTTCTGCCCTCCTTTCGGCAGAGAACATGCCGTCTCTGTCACCATCGCTCAACCTGCTCTTGGGAGCTTCGGCACATCTGCCTCAAGGCAGTGACTTAGAATCTCTTCAGCTTCCTACACGACTAGAAGCTGAAGCGCTCTTCCTAAGATATGTAGAGTCTGTCAGCCCGCTAGCGCATGTTCTGCATATCCCATCTTTCAAGCGTGTCTTTGAAAGGTTTTGGATGAATATCGAGATCGGTAATCCTAATCAGAATTCGTGCACAGCTTTGATCTTGTCAATTTGTATGGCGGCAGCTGCAACTCTGTCCCCACTCCAAGCCAAAGCACAATTTAGCATCACCAAAGAGGACCTGTTTCTAAGATTACAGAAGGCAACCGAACGAGCGTTGCTGCGCGCTAATTGGTCGAAAACATCTAATATCCGAACTCTTCAGGCACTCACCATATATCTCGTATGGACTTTCCTCCCCTGAGCCGAAAATTTTCACGATCTTTCGAATGCTAATAATGGCCAGATACCCCTGTGTAGAGCACAGATTTCTCGCGCCACCTCTGTCGTAGTTGGAGCTCTGGTGCGTCTAGCACAGTGCATTGGGATCCATCGGATCAGTCACAATTCCGCAAACAGTCTGACGCCTTTCCAAAGGCATGTCAGATCTTTGCTCTGGTATCAGATCTGTTTCTTGGATTTCAAGACTGCCGAGGCACAAGGCCCGCATCCGTCTATCCGATCCGACGATTTCGACATACCACTTCCGTTGAACGTTGACGACGACGTATTCGAGCTCGGAACAACACAGTGGCAGCCGCACCCCACGCCTATTCAAGGATGGACAGATGTGACGTTGTCCCTGATCCGTTACGAGTGCAACGAACTCCACCGCCTTATCTTCCGCGGTAGGATAGAGATGGATCGCAAAGCCATCACGCTACACGACCTACGCGCCCGAGTTGAAGCGCAAAAACGACAGATTCATGCAAAATATCTCCACTTTCTAGACGCTCATGTTCCCATCCAAAGATACGCTGGCCTCGTTGCAACACTCCTAATGGCGCGTTGTGACTCGATGCTACTTTACCGCCACCTCCCCCAAACATCTATCCAGCCGCGCTCAGAATCTGAAAACCGGCTTCGAGACGTTCTTCTAACCGCTGCTCTCACAACACTAGAAATAGGGGCTACGCTAGACACGCTGCCTTCACTAAGTTCATGGGCCTGGTACTCAACTACCTACCAACAATACCACGCAGTGCTCCTCCTCCTGACTGAGCTTTACCGGACACCGGACTTACCGCGGAAGGACCGAATGGTGACAATCATCGACCACGTCTTCGGGCACTGCTACGGGATCAGCGTGCGGGAACGATGCTCGGATTTACTGTGGACCGTTAAGGAGAATCTTGAGGCTTTTTACATCATGAAGGGTATTCGGAGTTACAAATCCATGGTGACGACGCCGACGCCACCATATTTCCCTAGCTCACAGCCACTTTCGCAATCGCAATCGCAATCGCAATCTCAAGGCCAAACACTCCAATCTCTCACCCAACACCAACCCCAACAATCCCAACAGCCTGGAACAGGAACAACAACAGGCACTTCTGCAACCCCAGATTTCGCATCCATGACACTTCAATCCCAACTAGCGAACCCCATGGACAGCCTTAACGTTGATCTTGACACTCTCCTTAACAACTTAGGATCGGCAGGAAGCTCTGCTCCAGAGGGCTTTGAGGACTTTTTGTCTACTATGCAGACTTCGGATCCTAGCGCTATATTCGTGCCCGTGGATAATGGAGGAAATGGTCCTGGACAAGGAAATGAGTGGATGGTGAATGATGGGTGGGGATTTCAGGGAGGTTCGCAAGGATGAGGATTTAGAAGAGGATTTAGACGGGGATCTAGATAAAGACGGTTATGACTGTACGATATTAGAGTTTCCTTCTGGTCAGAGGTTTATACGGGGGATATGATCTGATCGCTTTTCTTAGTATTGGATTCTGACATTTAGGAAAGATGGCTAGAGATGAAGCTGTATGTGTAGGATGATGCAGCACGAAGCCCTCCCTGTTCCCCTTCCCTGCGGCTTCATGCGGACCGTTCCTTCTCCTTCTTTCTGCTTTGCTATCCGCGCCAAAGACGGCAATGAAGCAAGTTGACAACTTCCCGCCGAACCCACTATCTATGTTCCTTCATTGGCCACAACTCTTTCCATGCTAGGCTGCACCTGCTTTGCCTTTTTGGCATTTTCTACTAGCCAAGGTTCCGAGATTTTTCTGCCTCTGTCGGCCGTGTCTTGCATCAATATCAGGTCCCACTAGGAAGAGAGCTTTAGGAAGGCGTCCTCTCCTTGACCTCCTCAACGAACCTTGGGATCCCTCTGCCATTTCCTTTGCGATTCCATGTTCCCTCAATAGATCGTCCGTTTCTTCCTCTGGGCTCTACGGATCCAAACCCAAACCCTGGATCCACCTGCATCAAGGAAACGCGCTAAGTAGCTTATAAACACCTAATGAATCCGCTTCAGGCAAACAAAGAGAGTGTTTTAAGGCTAACTTTCGCAGGACATATTGCACAAAATGTAATAGTCCAGTCTACGTCTTCTATTTCGTTCTTACTATGAATACTAATTGCTACTCACCATGGATGATATTCCGGGAGAATCTACTTCACAATTATTCGCCAATCTGACACCTTGCCTGCGATGGTAGGCACTTCCGATCACCCTCGAGCGCCAAGATGTGCAACTCAACGGTTAGGTTAACCTAATGGGGGCTAGCGCCCTTCTGGCCTTTCAGCGCCTCATCCGTCACACCACCTCGACGAGCATGACCAAACAACGTCTGCGTATGACTACCTCTCTAATAATTATCTGCTGAGCGTTTGGCGTGGGAACAGCTTATCAGCACATTATTCCACCACGTTGTCCGAAATCAAGCGGTAAGTATAATATCTTGCTCGGCAACTGATCTCCCATACGGTGATCGTACCTGGATATTGTAGGGATGACATAACGTGAACGGCCAGCTGCGGTATCGTGTCTCCTGATATTGGCAGACCCCCTCCTTTCATAATGTAGGTCGTACTGTTCCATCTTCTCACAGTACAATCGCTTCCTTTAGTCCGTCAACACTTCCACTTCTCTGATCTATCAACACTGAATCACAACACAAACTTCTTCCCTTCAGTGATCATATGGAGAAAGCTACTATACTCGAATATACATTTAACGAGAAAGTCATCAACGACGCGGAGGGCGTCTTCCCTATTATCCTCCCTCCAGATGCTGAGATAGGATCCGGACCTGGCTCGTCAAGATCCGTTCATCTGGGACCATCGGGCGGTTTCCAAGCAGACATCAGCAAAGTTCCTTGCGGAGATGTCAGCAAATTCCACGTCAACATCATCTTCAACTTGAACGATGAATTCGACGGCCGTCAAGTCCTCGCAGAGTGTGAGAAAATCCCCTTCACGCTGGAACTGATCGGAGGCGGAGGCTCTGTGAGGCTGGTCGGGTCTGTCTGCAGTGTTACTGTAGACTGGAGATCTACTGAATCCTGGCACTCGAATATTCGATCCGGAATTTGGCACTCCGCTGACTTGATCTACGATGGAGAAACGCTGACACTATTCCTGGACCGTCGCATTGTCGCTTACCACAGCTTCGGTGCAGCGGGCCAACTCTCCATTGAGCCTGCCGCACGCAGCCTCCTCATCGGTGGCCAGGATGGCACTGCCTTTGATGGGAAGATCGCCAGCTTTAAACTCTCTCGCGAAATCCCATACGACCTACAATGTCTCGCTAACCACCTCCGAACAACCCCGGAATGGCACATCACCACCAAGCTCGAGATGTTTCGGAATATCTTCGACCTTGGCCTTCCGACCGCACCAGTCACCAAATTGACTTATTTGAACTCCTGGTGGCAAACTTATACTCATGGAGCGGTGATGTACCATAGTGGCACTGCTTTCGAGATGCACGGCGAAGTTTTAGCCTGCTATAACAAGCTTCCCAAATCCACAAAGCAGTCGCTGGGCTATTTGATCAGCGACGAACAGCCCACAAACACACCTCCAGGTAGGAAATCTGTCTTCCAAGGCGGCGCAATCTACTTCTCCCTCGGAACCGGTGCGCATGCAGTCGTAGGGGAACTTTACCATGCCTTTGAAGCCACCGGCGAAACGCAAATCTGGGGCTTCCCCATTGACGCAGCGTTACCCGCGAATGGAGGGCTTCTCCAGCAATTCCAGAAAGCAACTTGGTATTTCCAACACGGTGCAAAGCATGCTCATGAAGTCCACGGGGAGATCTTGCAATCTTTCGTTCGCAGCGGTGGTCTTGGCCGATGGGGCTACCCAGTCTCAAATGAAATGGTTGTGCATACGAATAGTGTTCGTCGCGATGTGCGTCGCTCAGAATTCGAGCATGGCAGTTTGTACTGGAGCGCTGCGACAGGGGCTCATGCCATCCAAGGCCATATCCGGAAGAAGTGGATGGAGTTGGGTGGTGCGGAGATGTGTTTTGTGCAAGAGCTGGGATTGCCGAAGACGGAGGAAATGGAGGTCCCAAATACAGATGGAGCGGTAATGCAGGGGTTTGAGCAGGGGGTTATTATGTGTCATGGTGCGGAAGCAGTGATCGTAGTGTACCCTTTTAAGATCTTTTTGAAGAGCCTAAAGACGGCGGCATCGGAGCGCGGAGGTAATGATGTTTATTTCACGGCGATGGTGAATAATGGTGAAGAGACGGTTTTTTGTCGCCGGTACCCAGAGGATAACTCATTCCCGAGGGCGGAAGAGGTCGAAGTTGGAGTCGAGTTGCCGGTCTTGATCAAGCCTGAGCCCGAAATACCTGTCGTGCTGACGGTAGATGTCTGGGACCATGGGGATGTAGGCGAACATGTGCATCTTGGAAAGTGGGTGCAGAAGCTGGATGCTAGTAATGCATGGGGAATAGCGAGGAATGGAAGACTTGAGGGCAGAGTGGACAAGGTGAGCAAAATCGTAGCAGAGATCAGACCGACGGTGGAGTATTTGTATCATTAATGGTGGCCCACGAAAAGGCGTTAGTTCTATCGGTGTCTCCCCTTTTCATTCTCTTTTCGAGGTTCTCTATGGAGTTTGATGGTCTGGATGGAAACACTAGCTTCTTTTGATCCACGAATCTCAGTCACAAATATCTCAATTCTGCAAAGGTGGCTTCCTTTATGACTTTTCTACGAATACGCTCTCCTTGACTACTCTCCTCTTTCTGGTTCACTTCTTGCAGTCCAAACCATTCTGAAAATTTCCTCACAACTTTCCCCCAAACCTCCCCAACCCCACCCCCATCTCCTCAACCCCTATCTCACTCGTACAAAGAATAAACGTATCCCTTAGAGCTGGTACTCTAAACTTCTTGTTTACATCCTGGTAATCCGTACTCGCTAACATATCCGCGAAATGCCAAATACTTGGATAATGCGCCAACGTGACTTCGTCCCACAACTCCTCCCTCCCAACTCCTCCCCCCCATCCTCCTCCTTGCATCTTTTTCTTTCCATTCACTTCGACAACACTGCCAACTATCTTAGCATTCCCGCCTCGCTTGGAGCCAATGGATTCGGCAAACGCTTTTCCATATTGGAGATATGAGTCTTTCATTCCGGGGTTGAAGGAGAGGAGATTTAACATAGAGACTGGGCCACGGCCTTCGATGCCGCCTTCGGAGGAGAAACGCTGGATCCAAGATTGCAAGTCTTGCGATAATTCTAGGGCTTGTGCGGAGTCTGCTGTAGGGGTATTTTCTAACGCGCTGGAGAGCTTGGGTGCGGATGCCGGGTCAGCGTGCAGCAGTTTTTTATTCTTGCCAGCAAAGTCTTGGAGCAAACGTGAAGGAATCCCTGCGGTAACGCTCCAGTGATGTTGGACTAGTTTTTGGAGGGATGATGGGAGAGGGTTGGTGCTTGGGATGATGAGGAGGATGTCCCAGTGTATGTTTTGGGCGAGGAGGATGTCTGTGGAGAGTTTTGAAGGGAGTATTATCCAGCGGATTACTCGTGAGATTACGAGTGGTGAGATGTTTGATGATTGAAGGGCGGATAGAAAGGTGGGGATCGGGTTGGGGGTAGTAGAGTGTAGGGAGAGGAGGTGGAGAGTACAGAGGGGCATTTTCAAGCTGAATTGAAATAAAAACTTAAAATTGGAGTGATTGCTAGCCAGTTATAGAGCAGGTCGAGTGGAGTTTATTAATATGGTGGAGGTGGGAATGATGTAAGCCTGTTTGGGGGAAGAAGCCGAGGTCTGTGGTTGAATCGCTCTGATTGGAGGGAATTAACTGGCCAGATTAGGAATTTGAGAGAACATCGTGAATATGGACGATTACGATGAATTCGATTCGGAAGGCTGTTATGGCAGCCTAGCTTCATCTGCATTGCAGTGTTAATGAAGGATAGTCGGATATTCGACACCATTCTTGAAAGTTCACTAAAAGCCTTGCGGCGAAGTAAGTAATATGAAGACCCATTAAAAACGTAAGTGCTGAAAGAACGGGGAATCACCTCGTTTCGTTCCTTCCGGCGGGAATGCATCTCAAAGGAAGTGAAGGCAGTCGCGACCCAGAAAAGTTCGCAAATGTATCAAAATGTGCTTTGCCCTCTTGTCGAAGCTGAAGCAAGTAGTACTACGAAGGTAGACGAAGCGAAGCAAGACTTGAACGAAGCTTTATTTATGGGAAAGTGGGTAGATTCGCCAAAGATCTACTCCAGAAGCTCATAATTGTGCACTTCTAGTCCCTACGACGCTCTTCCAGATTATCAGACGAAATGCCAAAAGTCAAATAACAAGACCCAGTCCAAGGGTATAAAGCACCGCACCAAAACCCGACTCTTAATGTTGCACATCTGGGAAGTTATAAGATCAAAAATAAAGCTCCTAGGTAGCATACCAGGTCTTCCAATCCCAATCTCTTAGGCTGATAATGGGAAGCACCAACACGGGAGTATTCCGTCATATAGATTCAAGCCAATTGGAGCACTAACGGTGTCTTGCGCCCAAGACCTTCGCCTGGGTGAAGGTGGAGGGAATTTGTAGTATCGTTGCGGGTCCAAAAGTTGCCTGTCCTTCCGTCGTTGATCGGTAGGACCCAATTGTTCTTTTCTTTGCTCAAGCGCCAGGAATAGTGAAGCTACGAAGGTACAAGTTAGCAATTATCAGCTCAGGACAGGAAGAGTGATTACATGGAAAGATTTCATGAGGTGGGAAGTCTCACTTCATTGAAATGCGTCACCTTTTTCTTCCATAGGTCCTCGTCATCACCTTTTATTTTCAAAAGCACTGGAACCAAGTTTTCTACCATATTGCCAGGTGTTAGTTCTTCGTACATCTTCCGCCGATGAAGCAGACACATGTTACCATGGCCAGCTCTCATACACCGGGAGCACGCAGGCAACGTCCTCGAGCATGGAAGTTGTGCGATAGCGCATTGGAGGCACGACGTTATCCACACAAGCCGAGGCTGCGTAGGATCGATGTGATAAGAGGTGGTGTCTGCCGTGTAATCATTGTGAGTGTTGAGGCAGGAATCTGTAGGTGGGTCATATGAACTCCGACTACATTCATCTCCCTCGTTCACCAAAGCCTTTGGCGCGATGAGTTTCTTAAACTGCCCACTACACGGGAAGTTCAATTTGTAATCCACAATGCTGGTGACAGAAGACATGGAGCACTCGTCATCATCCTGTAGAGGTCGCGAACCGGAGCTATTGAGGGCTTCTGGCCTGTCAAAAATGCTGGTGCCGGAGAAATTGGTGTCTGTCGGTGAGGGTCGGCTATCTTCGTCGGAAGTTTGTTCGCTTCGCTCAGGTGTCCGAGGTTGCCTGAGGAAACAACTGCTTTCTTGGTCTGAGCGAGAGTCTCGAGATTGATCTTGAAGGGCTTTTCGACCAAGAAAGGCTTCCGACCTGAGATCCTTAAGCCAATCGAGGACTAGGTCAGGAGTACGGAGCCATGGTCGCTCGCTGTTTCCGGCCTCAATTTGGCTATCTTCCTCTAATCGTTTTCCTTCCATTACCCTGGCGTTCGCAAGCTTGGAGTGGGGTGATGGTGTGGTTGAGGAGAATACGTGGTGACGCAAGAGTGAAGGACCAAACGACACGAAATTGGCTATCGACAAAAGGTCGGAACGTTCCACGGTCTTCGGAATTAATGCGCAGAGCCTGTTAAGTGGTGTTGTGTTTGTAGTTAAGCGTCGGTGAACAAAACCGAGGCCAGAGCGCAACGTAGTCGACTTTGTTGCAATGGAATTAAGAGGCATGACATTAAATAAATACTTGGAATGAAAATAGGATATTAATGATTACCTTAAAGGCACTTACGAGATCTTTATATTAGACTATCACTGCGCTTGTTAAACCGTTCCGAGGTATAAAAATCACGGATACAAGCCTCGCCTGCATTAGGAAGGAGCACCACGAATACGCGAACAAATACCTATCTACTGCTGGACGACTGTATGTATCCAAGCCCTGCTCCCATCATCCAAAGGGGCTGTTGAGGATATCGCAGCCATCAAACTTATCTACCCGATCTCACAAAATGGCCCTACAACACGAAGCCACCAAGAGCCACACTCTTCCAGCTTCGGACTGGGTGTGCGTCTTCAAGCTCCACGCACCACCAAAGCACCTCTTTCGTCTTTTCGATCTGCCCACTTTCTTCGTATGCTCTTGCTAATGCGTACCATGCCTCCGAGTAGTCCCACCCTACGCCGAGCTTGGTTAGGGTTGAGAGGAGCCCAAACGCGCGATCACGTGCTGCTAACCGGTTTAGTTCTGGCGGGGAGATCTGATTCTCCGCTGATGGAGTGTGCGATGTGAGGTGTTGCGTCTTTGAGGAGGATGAATTATGAGAAGACGATGGTACAGAGGGTGAGAAACCCGGTGCGGCGTCTGGTACTTCGCTTGGTTCTAGCGGAATGATTTTACAGTAAATGTCAAGCAGGATATTAGAAAGGCCGACGATTGCTTCTGGGTGATCCGGGAAATGCAATACAGCCCGCTCGAAGTCTGAGCGTGCTTCATGCTTCATCGATTGAGCTACGAGGAGCTCCGCTCGCTATTGACAGTGAGCAGGAAACAACGAAAGGGGGAAGAATTGGTACTTACAGCAGCGAAGGCATCGGCCCAAAGCTCTTCTATACTCTTACCGCCTCCCCAGCCTCTGTCTGCAAAAGATTTGCTAGTCGAGGAGTCTTGTGCTACCTCCGCCTCAAATGTCTCTGCGAGCTTCAACGCTTCATCAACAGCACCTTTAGCGTCTTCATACATTTCAGCTCGCGTGTATAAGCCTGATATAAAAGTCCAGATACCTGCTAGCAATGACACTCTGTGGCGGCGTTCTTGGATCTTTGAAAAGCGAGGATCCGACGGAATATAACTAGAGCCGGGAAGTGGTGTAGATAGCCGGACATCCTGCTTAGGTGGTTGATGTGAATGTCCGGGCAGAGGTGGTTGTGATGAGGGGGGCATGTTGTGTGGAACGGAGCGCAAGGGCCGGTCGTGGCTTTCGATTGATCTTCTCAGCGAATTTGACATCGAGGGACGGCGAGGCGGCTTTTCGCGAACAGAACTGTTTCGAGCAGACGTCCCGTTCGGGAGCCCATCCGGAAGGTCGGGCACATCAGGTGTTTGCGTAGCATCCATTTCCGATCTTCTGCGTAGACTGTTTGCACTTCGTTTCTGAAGTTTACTTGGGCTGCGTGTTGGTCCCTGCCTTTCTTCATCATGCTTATGCTGGAAGATGTGGTGATGGTGGCTATGTCCGTTCGGACGATCGACCCCATCCTCATCAGTCACTTGAATTGCAGGGGCAGCTGTTGCTTGGGTTGCCACAGTCGAAGGTCTTGAACTGGTTGTGACTGAAGAATTGCGGGCGATTGTGTCCTTGGGCGTGGCTTTTGCAGAGCTTCTAGAGCGGAATATGCTTCCTCTAATGGTGCCAACGGCACTTTTCGGTGGCGGCATCGCGGTAGATGGTGGTGGTAGTTTAGCTTGCTCTGCATTTGGATCCCCAAACAACCGGGCATAAAGAGCAAGAAGCTCGTCACAGCCGTCTACAGCAGCGCTGGACCCTTCTACGACTTCTACAAGTGCCAACTGTGTCATTTTGACTTGGAGTATGCCGGTCTTCTCAAAGCATTCCATTTGGTCGACTAACCCCAACGGCTTTTGTGCAACTGTCTTGCCATTGAGCTCGTTCAAGTGTTCACTGCGGTAGGCTTGGTTTTCATCCTCTGACCCGAAAAGTATCAAGGGATCACCAAATTGTTCAAAGGCTGCTTCGCAAGACCGTTCCGCATTCGAGTACTCGGACCTCGCGGTTAAGAGAAGTGCAAGCAGGTGCCACAAAGGTATTAGTTTTCGCTCACGTCCGTATTCGGTGGTCAGTCCGCGGGACATAACACCATCTACGCTTATTGATGATTTGTGCTTTGTTGCTGGAGAAAGGGCACGCTTGACAATCTTGATTGCTCCTGGAATATCTCTCATCTCGGCTAGGACTAGGCCGAGTGCATAGAGTGCCTCGATATTGTTCGGGTCCTCACACTTCGGATCAAGAGACCTGCGGAGGTACTGAACAGCTTTAGTCTGAATGCCTGTACGTGCATCGGCGACATAGGTGAAGCGTGCCCAATGAGCCTGGCAGACGCCAATTGCACAATAGGCAATACCAAGTGCTCTTGGTGCAACTGCTGCTTCTGCGGACTGTGCTGACCCCGTTTCGGAGGTCGTGGATTTGATATGGTACGTTTGTTCCAACCACTTTTCGATGTGATTGCCAATATCGAGAGCTTTTTCGGCCTCTTTCCGAGAACCAAAGCGACAAAGAACTCTAATGGCCTCCGCAGAGGTGCGAAGAACTGTGCTGTCGTCATCGATTCCTACGTCCTCTTCCCCAGTCTTCTCTGCGCGATCTTTCCCACGGGTGATAATTTCCACATATGAGTCGTAGGCTTTAAACGCCAACTCAAATTCCGCGAGCGATGCATGAACCGTGAAAAGATGTCGGAGGATTTGCGTGGAATGGAAAGTCTTTGTTGCAGCCCGATAGAGAATCTAAGGTCGAGAAGTTAGATGTGGCAAGCTATATTAATGGTACGTGAATCTGCATGAGAACCAACTTACGTCGAGCACGCCCCTGCCAACAGCTTCCTTTCCACCTTCGCCTAGATCTTCGTCACGCCATGTTGGGCCGCAAAGCACCCGCCAATTGTCCATGACAGCGTCTGTCCAAGCCTCGATCTCATTGTTGCTCTCGCTCGCCTTCGGGAAATGAGTTTCCTTTAGTAATAAGCTTTCATAGACGGTCTCGACTCGTTTGAGCTCTGCACGCTGTTGTAACCTTAAGCTTGGACACTTCCGGAGTGGGGATTTCTCCGAAGCACTCAAACTTTGATTCTCCAAGGCTGTAGACTCTGGATTGTATGGTAGACTGTGGCGGAGAATCGCAGAGAGAGTATCATAGTAAGCTTTCCAAGCAAGGCGTCGATACTTTGCCGCGTTTGGCCCATCAGCTCCAGTAGTTTTCGCTGTGCTTTCCCAATATTTTGCCCAGAACCGATACACCTGCAGGGCCTCTGCTGGATCCACATACTCTCCCGTTTCGGCGGATTGATCTGAGAGCTGGCATAAGCGCACCAGAGATCGTTCGGTCCAAGCTTTGAACTGAGGCGACTCGGTCCCAAGTGAATTGAGGGAGGAGAGCCACTCTATAATCGAGCGGTAGGTACCAACAGCGTCTTCGACAGATGCGATTCGTTCCTGGGAAGATCCTGGATGTAGTTAGCAGACTGATTGGCAGTGGCCAGAATGCGAGAGATTTGCCATACCCTTGAGAAAGACACCCTTAACGATGCAAGCTCGTGACCATGGGCTCAGCATACTGTCCTTGCCCGACATCTTCACCGCGACCACGGCAAAATCTTTCGGTAGTCTTGCGACGGCCAGTCCAGGCTCCTCTAGGACATAGTGTAACCACCCAAGGCATACCGTCGCCTGGAACGCATCTTCAACATAGTCTCCTTCTTCGTCAATAGCAGTAAGCAAAGACGGTATAATCTTGGAGAGGCCGGTGGAAGCGGTGGAAGCGGATGTCGAGGGCCGCTGGGTGCTATAAGTTGCTATCTGCACTTCGGACCGCGCCGTAAGTGTAAGACCTGGATCGACAGTCAGTGGAAGGAATCACGCAAAAAGCGGGGACGCTCACATCGACGGTGTGGCGCATGCTTTTCAATTTTCCTACAAAGCTCTGGGACATCTTTCCAGCGGCCAGTGCATCGAGCCTCATCCAATTGGGATATATAGCGCAAGGCCTTTTCGTTCTCAGGAGGACCCTGCGGAGGTGTAAGCTGGCCGCGAAATGACGTTTGGGTCTAACGCGGTGAAAAGTGCACGGGGAATACGTACGCCCATTGTGCTAGAGATAGGCCTACCGCAATAGACAGTGGGGCAGAATTCTTGAAATCATATTCGGAGAGGCAAATAGAGGGTGAATGATGCTCACAGCCGCCATTCGCAGCGTGTGACGAAGTGCATGCAGCCACCAAAAGCTGGCTTGGGACATACATCCCTGCTGCCTTGGCGCGGCACGGCTCAACGTTTTCCCATTGTCGTTAACTTTTTTGACGCCAAGACGTCCACTGCTCCTCACCCTTTACGTCGTCGGAAGATCGAATCTTTTAATATAGTCCGGAAGAGGGCACTCTGCTCATAATGGCTCCTAATTCGTCAGATCTAGCGGCCTTGCGTGCTATTACTTTCCGTCTTTCTTCAACTCCAACCCTACAACTGCCTCAACATGTTCCTGCGATTGCCACCTCTTTGGCTAGTTGCAGGTCATTACTAGCAACAAGCCAGTCTTCAGGATCCAAATCTGCCCCCGAAACATCCGTAGCAGTTCACAAATACAGAACTTTGGTATCAACCCTTCTCCAGGACCGTTCGATCCAAGGAAGATGGGCCGCCGTCGTGCTCGTTAAAGCCACTGTTGAGCTTGGTGGATGGGAAACCCTCCAAAGGAGCCTGCCATGGGTTCGTGGGCTTTTGGGTATTCTGACCAAACCGGACCCTCCATCCTCAAAGAAATTGTGTATTATCGCCCTAACGCGGATCTTCGTTCTTACGCGGGAGTATCCAACGCTGGCTCGAGAAATCACAACACCTTCTCTCCCAACATTCATTCAGACTTGTTTGCAGATGGCGTCTTCAAAAGCTTCGACTAGCCTTCTACAGGTGATACTGGAAAGCTTCAATCAGCTGCTCCCTCGCCATCCTACTATATTCCGTTCCTATCTCAAACAACTAAAGCATCTTCTTAGTCAGATCATTGCGCCAACCCCGTCGAACAAATTCGGACGAGAGGAACTTGGGGGACTGCAAGCACTATTGTCATTTGAAGTTTCTGAGAGCTCGCGGCGACTATTTGCCCAACTCCCCGGTTCTGCGCCGAAAGGTGCCTCTAGCGAAGAATGGGAGGCCACACTAGCAAACTCTATAACCAAAGCCCACCGAACAGCCGACAAAGTATTTCGGGCCGTGGTCGAAGATTGGCAACCTCCCTCTGGAACCTTTGCAAGTGTAAACGATCACACCATGGAAGACGAGGTTCAGGACCGAGAACTATCCGACCCCTCTCTTCCACCGTGGTCTGGAATCTATGCCGGAGGCGAAAGGATGATCGGGCTTCTGCGCCTAGTCAAAGAATTCCTAGCAACACCCACTCCAAACTCCGTCACTCTTCGCGCCGCGCTTGTTTTGGACCTGCTTACAAGGATCTTTTCACTCACAGTTCCCTGCTCAGGAGTTTCCAAGGACACTCAATCTGGCCCAAGATTCAATAACCAAGTCACCCAAGCCGAGCGCGAAAATCTTTGGGCTATCTTGCCGCAGATCCATGTTGCCGCAATGGAGGTCTTGCTTGCCTTAGCAAACCGGGTAGAAGAAATTGTATCCAGCTTGGACAGTGTTATTGTAGACCAGTTGACATGGGTGTTTGTCGCGGAAAAGCAGAATCTACAAATTCGGACCGCCTCTTATTCAGTCGTGGCGCAAATTCTTAGACGATCAGGAAAGGCTCTCCCCAAATCCACGGTTGACCAGCTCGCAAATCTCATACGTACTTGTTGCGATGACCTTCTCCTTCAAACTCAAACCGATACGGTGGCAACGCCATCGCCAGCTCAGAATAGAGCAAACGGAAGTAACCAATCACAGTCATCAACGAATGCTGATGCGTTTCTGAACACTTCTTCCAATCCAAAGGAACCAAATGCAATCTTTGGAGGGCTGGAAGAGGCTGCACATAGTCTCCTACCAATGCTTTTTACCAATTTACCTGCACAGCACCTTTCAGACTCTCTGAGAGCCCGAATGGATCGCACTGCTATCCTGGCTCAGCACAAGGACGCTATGATTGCAAGTGTGCTGAATCCTCCACCAAGCAAAAAAATTGGGAAACCAGCAGTGAGTATACTACCCCTCATGGCAAGATCTTTTGCCGGTGAGAGGGATGTGGAAGGGCTGTTGCGACCAAGAATGCCAGTCATTCCCACATGTGCCAAGGAGTCAGAGGTTGATGACGAGGATGTTGACGGAGAGGGGATAGAGGGTGCTGAAGAAGAAGAGGAACGATTTGTCGGTGAAGAACTTGACACAATATTGGAAACGGCGGCGCAATCTGAAGAGGCAAGTGCAGATCAAGCCATAGCCAATGCTCACAGCAGGGACTGGCCACCGAGCCCTGCGGCTTCCAGATTTATATCGGTAGAGGCAGACGGCGGCCAGGAGACTTCTATTATACCTATTCAAGGCTCTAATGACAATAAGAAAAGGGCGCAGGCTGAAGATGATCATGAGTCGCCAGTAAAGCGGATGAAAGTAGATGGCGATGAAGAGTTTGTTCTCACTACTCACCTGGCGATAACACCCACCGCCACAATGCCCACAGACACCGAGGAGTCTTACCGGAAAGCAACTGTGCCAGACATTGTCCCAGGTGCTCCTCCTCCAGCAGCACTTCCACAGCCCCCAGCCACAGTCGTGGAGGACGACGATGACAACGATGATTTTGGAGAATTAGTTCTTGGGCAAGACACCGATGAAGAATCAGAACAACAGTAAATAACGCGGGCACAAGAGCTATCTAAAAGAGCTATGCAATTCTACAATTTAGAAGTGGTCAACTTGTGATACCCCGCGCCTCTTGACCACGCTCTCAGGAGAGGAAGTGAAAGCGTGTCGTACTAGGAGTGAAAGCACGGAGATCGCCCCTCGTTATCACCGCCAACAAATGACTTCGCCCTGCGGCTAAAATGTCTCTCTCCCACCAATTATCCACTTCATATCTTTGCATTCCTAAGATCATGTCTTCGGAGTTCAACCTCCAGATTCCAAAGTCTCGACACGTGAAGGCCGCACTCGTCTCTCCTGGTCGTGTCCGCGATGCGGTCAAGGTTATCGAGGCGAAAACTGATACCCAATCCGTCGCTACCCCAGAGTCTTAAAGAAATACTTCCTACTGCACACACATGCAGAATCGGCATAGTTGCTGAGATTACTGGAAGCGTGTCCACTGCTGTCAAACGCAAGCACTCTACTGCTCTAGACAACAAGAACTCTAGTGCTAGAGTTAACCACACTTCAGCGGGGCTCCACCTACCAAGACAGCGAAGAACACATATTCTCTTTCGACGAAAGCTTCGAAGCTACCAGCCCAAAAGCAGCCAATGTCGACATCATAGCCATGGCCAGAGAAACCCTTGCCCTACGGCACTAATACGCGCCGGCCAGTACCACACCAAACCTCCACGCTGAATCGTCCTACGACGACACCTCCGCAAGTTCCACGACATCTAGACCGAATGGTTAAGCTACCCACGTCAATCTAAACTAGCGCCGCCATCTCAAACCCGACATCTAATGCCCACCAACGATACGATAGACTGCTTCAAGCCTCTAGAATCTCTCAACTCCTTTCTAAACTAAAATACGGCCGATCAGGCCCGCACCTACGATTCTCTAGTCTGCCTCGCCATAATTCTAAAGCGTAGAAAAACATACCCCCAAATAACCTTCTTCCCCAACCTCCCCAGCCCCAGCCTCATAACCTTTCCTTAAATCCCACAGTATCCCCCATCCCAACACAGACAACCCCAAATCCAGCGCCTATATCGAGATAATGTATCTCCCCTACTTCTACGCCGGCAGGCTAGACACAAATGGCCTCTGCATCCACGTGGAGTACATACTTTGAGGAGGGCGATTTCTGGCTGGCCACAGCCCGACGACTGCTGTTCACACCGGGTACGGAGGGTTTGAGCTGGTTTGGGCGGTGGGTGAAGGAGGATAGGAAGAGTGTTAGGAGGTGGTAAGAGGAGACGAGGAAGGGATTGGGAGGGAGCAGTACTGGTGGTTTGCGGTAGAGATGTGGGGAGAGAAACTGAGGTTGATGATGGGTGGAGGAACCCGAACAAAAGGGAAGGAGGATAATGAGATGTAGCTGAAATTAAGGGTTTACTACTCTTGATTCTTAGTACTGTACATATGGATCTCTGACCCGCAAATAAACAATAATTTCCCAACTCTCTAGTACAACGCTGTGAAATAAAATGTACCTAACAGTTCCCTCTCGACATCTCTTCTTCCTATTATCCCCTCTCACTAACATACATGCACGCATCTTCCAGTAACACACAACATACATCCAGTTCTAAGACTACAATTCCCATCACTCCATCTCCATCTCCTTCTCGAAAAAAAATCATACTAGACAGTCAGAACAAGCAAGAAATCTGTATGCTGGCTCGAGAGTGCTAAAAGCGAAGAGAATCTTGCTTTTAATTATCTTCTAGCACGGACATGCATTATTTGCGCTGGTAACAGGGTGCTAGGGCGGAACTTTTGATGCTCTATTCTATTAGCCTACCTAGTGCAACTGTGCTAGAAAGTTGGAATGCTACTCTTCCCTCTTAACTTCCGTGCGGAATTTTTCGTATACGGCTTTTTTCTTTCTATCTCATTCTACTCTTGAATTCTCCTCTCGTTTCTTATATACCTGTCTCCTTACCTCTTTAACACACTGGATTATCGCAATGCACTGAACAGAATCACGTCACGTCCAGAGAATAGACTGATATACAAGAGAAGTTTGCTGGAATTCCCTCCTTAGGGATTCCAACCTGTTCACATGCCCAATCTCACGAGTCCAAGGGCAACATTCCGTGAAGACAACAGCACAGTAAGATTTTGCTATCGCAAGACACTCCACCGATATCCAGGCACCACGTACTGGAAGAATAGCTCTTTGAAAAGGTGGACATGAGAAGCTCAAACAAACCTGCAGACAGACATACAGACAGAACTAAAGACCAACATCTAATAAACCAACACAAAGACCAAACCCAAGCTCAAGCCCAAGCCCAAGCCGAAAGCCGAAGCAATTCCTGCCATCATACCCAACCGAGCCACCAAATGGCGTTCTAGACCAGAAACCCTACCAAGCCAGCCCCAATATGCCAAGACTGAGAAGATATAAAGAAGCTGGTGGAAAGTCGAGTCGATCTCCGGTGTCTAAGAAGGCTACGCAGACAGACAGACAGACGCAAAACGCCGGGCACACTCAGTGCGAAATCCGCGCAAATGTACAAGATTAAAGAGGTATAAACCGACAAACAAACAGTCGTCTTTTTCCATGAGTTTCATAACTTCAGAGACGTCGTGACGCATAATAATAAGGATTATCGAGTGATACAATGAGGCGGGCTGAGACAAGCCACATTGATATCGAAATCGGGAGGATGTGGAGACGGATGATGGAGTAGTAACGCAAGTGAACCAGTGGGAGACACACTAGCTAACACTAGCAGGCAGCTGCGTGAGATGTGATCGGAGCGATTGGTGCATGTTTGAAGCAAACTTGGCGTCGATTCCGTCGTCGAGAAGAGCAATACCGCTGTCGTCGTGGTTTTGCTCTTGTTGAGAAGTGTTGAGATCGAGATCAAGACTGAAACTCACTTGATCGTACTGTTGAGTATATCGTCGATTGTTGGAGACTGTTCATCTTGTGTCAGTCAACTACCTGGGCTTTTAGACGCAGCAAAGAGGGGCAAATACTTACTCTCCATATTAGCGGTGTTGGTGTCTTGCATATGAACATTGGTGTTGGACAGAAAGCTCTGGTTTGGACCAAAGTCCGCGTCCATACTGCTGTAGCGACTATCGTTGTTGCTGGCGCTTCCGCCGTTGACGATTCCGGCATTCATCGACTCCCCCATGAGTCCAGGCGAGTATGACAGGGCGTTCCAATTCGGAGGGCTGTGATCCAGGAATCCACCAAGCGATGCCAACCACTGACCCATCTCATCGATGAATACCTTTGTCAGCCACCACCCTTGGAAGCTGAGACCATTCTCGACGGTAATTTCTCGAAGCGCCGCTGATCCTAGGGCGTTGACGCAATAAAGTAGGGTTCGGGCGGGGACATGAGGAAATCTTGATGGCAACTTCGTCAGGAAGGCTGCAATCCGGTCAATCACGGTCTCGTTCGTGAGGTCGTTGCCGTCCGTAGATGTTTCCTGGTAAAAACTTCCATCCGGTAAGAACACGTCGGTCCGAAGGGGAAGAAGCATAGCGCGGATTTCCGTTGAGAGAATGTTATAAACCTCCTCGTGCCCGCAAGAGTGCGGCAATTCGTTCTCGATGACCCGCTTCAAGTTCACGTAAGACTTCCAGTCTGCCCACATCTGGTCTCGGTTGTGATCGCCCATTAGCATCACTGCTGCCGCATGTGCTGTCGAGTTGACCCGTAGCATTTGTCGAAGAAGATGGGCGAACAACGTCGCCGGCTCAAGCCGGGCCTCGAGAACGTGGAGGGGGAGAGCGTGGAAAACCTTGCTAATGTGTGGATGCAGAAGCTTCGAGACGTTGTCCAGGAATTTCAACACGGGGGGAGGGGCAACTTGCAAGGTCAGTTGGGAGACGTTGCGGATCATTTTCTGGTACATCATCCAATCGCATTCTCGTACCCAGGGGGCAATCTCGGGCTGTGCAAACAGCTTCTGTACAGGAACAGTAAGTGTACCATGGAAAGATGTGAAGAGCCGGAAAAACTGCTTCTCTTTGCAGTAGCGGACCGAGTCAACAAGGGAGGTACAGTGGCTGCGGTATAAATTGACCAGTGCGCCAACAGAGTCGGGATCCGTCCGAGGTGGTAGATACGGGGTGATGTCTGGGAGTGCAATCTCTACGCTGTCCTCGGCAGACATTTGCTCTAGGGTCGGGAACTTGAGTTCGTATTCATACGTTAAAGACGTTGACCGGTTGGTATTCGACTGAACTTGTGTTGAATAGATATTTGTGAAAAGGCGTCCTCTCGACGGTGCCTGTGAGCCGAAGCTGTTCTGGGCTTCGAAAGTCTGCTCTTGAGAGGGAAAAGCAGCTGTTTCTGCAGGGAGGCGCGGTATTGAGCTAAGTGGGTCAGCGACGATGTAGATGATGGGGGTCTGGGAGAAGGCATACTTGAAGTCGAGCTTCGCGCCTACGGAAGCTTGCCGCCTCAAGGTGGGCTGTCCAGAGTGCCCGCTTCCTGTACGCTGAACGTCGTCGTCTTCGGTGTCATTGATAAGGGCAAGATCGACATAATGGTACTTTGATTCTCCCCGAACGCCCAGCCGCCTTGTCTGGATGCCGGGAAAGATGACCCTCACCAGCTTTCCAAACGACGCTGGGTTCAGCGGAATGACGCGCTCGGTGGCACATCGTTCTGCGTATTTTGAATAGACTCGATTGCGAGGCACGGATGTTTTGGCCGTCTTGCAAACGGATTTCAGCCTGCGATATGTTAGCAGAAGAAACAACGCGCGTCGACCTGGAATTGACGCACCAGAGCATGGCGAAGAGCTGCTTCGACTTCTCTGCTTTGGAAGTCCGGTCTGTGGCAATGACCTCGGCCGCAACGTCCTTCAGCCCTCGTCCTTCATTCCGCACAAGCATCTCTCGCAGCTCCTTGTCATTGGTCGCACTCCCGGAGGCAGAGCCCTTCTTTTTCTTCTCTTCGACCTCTACGGGGCCCGAGACGAGTTGCTGAGGCTGTCCCATAGCTGCTTGGAACGTGTGTGCTGCCTGGTTTGGGTCGAAGGGCTGTGACTGCAGAGCGTTAAGCTGGACTTGGTTCGAGGCCTGGTCGGCTGAATATGCGACTAATTGGTGCACGGGATCGAGGGGGTTGCTCTCTTGCTGGCTTGCATGATGTGCGGCTTGCAACAAGGCGGGCTCAAGGGGTGGATAGCTCGCGCTGTATTGTTGCTGTGGGTAATTATGTTGATGGTGGTGGTGGTGGTGGTGATGCTGATACTGGGGCTGGATGTCGTGCGTCGCATCATGTTGCTCGAAGGAGTGCACGCTCGTTGTCGATGCGCGGGACAATGGCCTGTTGCTCTTGGTTGAGATCGAGGTGTTGGACCGCGAACGGCGGATGGAGTTGGCCATTGTGCGTCGGCCTGGAGTTTTGCGAGGGTTGCGATCAGCCTGTGTTTACCACCCAAACAATGCAAGCGGGGCAACAGCGAGTGTCGGAGGGGGAGGGAAGGGAAGCGCAGTGAGGGGAGGGGAAGGAGTGCCGGGCGGCACGGGGTGAAGAGCTGGTGCGCAGTGGTTCTTTCTATCGCAATGGCACTGCAGGGCGGGCCGAGTCCTGGGCGGTCTTGTTATGAGCTTGTTTGTTTGGACGCGGGAGCAGCTGCGAGAGGGGGAAAATATGTGGGCGGAGGAACTCTGGCATGAATAAGTCGATACGGGTAGGATAAAAGATAGCCCAAAAGGCGTGGTGGGGGAGGACACTCTGTGTGGGCCGGATTCCCTTTGTTGTGTGCGAAGAGGCTGGTGTTTACGCTGAGTTACGGAAGCAACCAGCCCTGGATCGCTGGCTGACAGCCGCGTCGGGGCCACTCACCCGCCGAAATCCTCGATCACGTGCCCGTTCCCATCCCTCAATGCAAATCATGCCTGATAAATTGTTTCACCCCACAATGCACGAACTTCCGCGCTGCTGCTGCTCCCAGACATCACATGGCGAACATGGGTGTCCCTCAATACGCGCATTTGTTAGACATGGCCCATCACCTGCGCCCAGCGGCTTGTGAAAGGGACTGACGTATTTAGCGATGACGCTGCCTGCAGCACCCGCCCCATCCCACAATCGTCCTGCTTTCATCCCCTACAAACTCTTAACACTCTGCTCGCACAACACTCAAAAACTTCTCTCACTCCCCCCCCAAATTCCTCTACAACACCCCCATTACCAGCAGTGCTCCAACCCCGACCACCATCCACCATGTCTATGCAAGATCGCGCCCAGCACCACATGTCCCAGCTCGACAAAGAGGTAATTGCTTGCTTCTGCCTTTTCTCTCTTTGCGCGCCCCACCCACGCCCTACACTCCCCGCGCCCTCCTTCAGAGCTATCGCGGCCTCTGTCCTTGGATGACCAATGTGCTAACGAGGCTCCTTTTTTTTAGCTGTCCAAATACCCCGCCCTCAACAACTTTGAGAAGCAAACATCCGTCCCCAAGGTCTACATCGTCCTCGGACTCGGCGCCCTTTACTTCTTCCTAATCTTCTTCAACATCGCCGGTGGCTTCCTGGTCAACATTGCCGGCTTCATCGTCCCCGGCTACTACTCGTTGGCCGCCCTGTTCAGTGCGAGCAAGGTCGATGACACTCAGGTGCGTATCTCGGGCTTCTGCGCCAGCCGTCGCAGAATACGTTTCACAAAACATGCTAATTTCATTCCAGTGGTTGACGGTAAGCCCCACGGCATCTCCGCCCCCCCCCTTCCAACACATTTTCCCACACACCCGCATTTTTTGCGGTCCTTCTTAGGCCCCACTAACTTCATATTATGCAGTACTGGGTAGTTTTTGCCTTCTTGACGTAAGCGGTACCTCAACCATGAGTGTCGTGACTTTACTAACACCATCAGCGTCTTCGAGAGCGCCGTCAACGCCGTCTACTGGTTTCGTAAGCTACTTCCTCTTGCTCGAATGTCCAGGAAAGCTCATCAGTGGCAGCATTCTACTACACCTTCAAGTTCGTCCTCGTCCTCTGGATGGCTCTTCCCCAGACCGCGTACGTGCATACTTCCGCGAAGCTTTGCTGTTAGCACAACTCATGATCGTGCAGGGGCGCCCAAATCATTTTCCGATCCTTCATTCAGCCAGTCTTCTCCCGCTACTTCTCCGAGACTAGCTCGACCGCCGCTAACCTCCGTGCCCAAGCCGACCAGGCTGGCAAGTCCATGTAAAGTGGCGCAATGGCACTGATGATTCTGACAGCCGCAAGTACCCGCCAAGACGAAGCTCCCTTCCCTGGTGGAAGCAATTCCTCAGGAGGATGACGCTAAGACTGCGGCTGTCAATGCTTGGTTACGATCTTTCGATGGTTCACGGCTTTCAGATCCTGTCCGTGATAAGGGCAATGGCAACAGCGAGCTCACTCTGCAAATTTCCATCTCCTGGCGATAGGTTCGGATTGTGTAACACTTGATATTCCTCTGGTATGGAGTTTCTATAGATCGCGCGGAGGTAATTGGTTGGATGTCCCATTAAATCCATGCCTTCAAGTCTTGTAATTCGCACTCTCCGGTCTATATCATTACAAGATATCTCCCCCTAATTTTGTTTGCCCTTTCAGGCACGGTGAAGTGGGTTTTTGATAATTGGAGGTCGTGCCGTGGAAAGGTCCCAATAATAGGGACCACGATGGGAAGTTCCCCAAAGACGATGTTGAAGGGAAATGTAGCTTCGATATAAGGCAAGGTTTGGGCTACGACTAACGGTACCAAGGGACTATACTGAAGTAAGCTCCCATTATTAATTGTTGAACAGCTTCTCTTCAAAAAGGTGACTTGCCGGGTTCCCATTGCCCATATATTAAAGTTCAAACGCACTCTCAACATCATAATAACGTCTCAACCTCCTCCTGTTCCTTTGCCTCACTTCAAACTCTTCACAAACTCATCCGAAACAAGACCTTCGCATATCACAAAGTCCGATAAGTTGGCCCTTAAGCTCAGTCCTACAACGGAGGCCAATATGGCAGCCAATCAGTCCTTCCTCTCTAAACAACCCACTCCCCTTCCATTCAGGCTTCTGGATCTACTAGCCAAGGCTAAAGCTCTAGTCTACGAGACTCTACCCAGCGAATCCACAAGCGACTCCTCCCCCAGCCTGCACACCTTCTGGGTCGACCACGAGCATGACTTGACGTCCACTAGTTGGGGCATGCAAGCTGAACTCAAGTGGCCTTTTGGAAGAAAGCCATAAAGACGCTTCCCATGCTCTTGGTCAAGTGGACTGAAGGTTCGGCCAGGACAACCTCTCTCAAGGTCTACGACATCTACGCTTTCCAGAGAAGCTTGCCTGTGGTTTTGACAGGAATCACATGGAGAAGCACGACACAACGGCCGCAGCTATTTATGATACCAATACTCCAGGCATGAATGCTGCGGTCCGATGGCTAGCTCGGAAATTGAAACTCGAGTTCTGCGGGGGAAAAAATTGGCAAAAAAAAATTTTTTTTTTTTTTTTTTTGTGGACGCCTGCAGGTGCTGTTCACGAAAACGAAAATTACCCTCCAAACAACCAAGAAAATCGAAGTCAAATTCGAGCTCGGCGATTTGCTGCAGGACTTCGAAGAATAGGACGAGGAAGACGAGGAATACTGGCCAAAAGACTTTATAAAGCAGCTATACCGCCACATGCACAAAAAAGTCCACGGTCCAAGCAGTATACACGAGTCTTTGCTTTCCATCCTTGGCACTGATGCCAGTCCGAGGCACGGGTCACGATAGTCACGATGACGGACTAGCAGGAGAAAGATGCGGAGGAGTATCTGGGGAGGTTCCTGAAGGTAGACAGGCGCGAGCACAGGACGAGACTTAGGCTGGAGAGGGAGGGATGAGGGGATGGGCGCGGAGAAGAAGATTGGTTATGGGAAGGAAAGTGTATCTCGCCCTAGTCGTTATTATTCTGGGAGCTTGATACCGCATCGCTACGTTTCATTTTCTCGTAGGGAATCCTTTCCTTAATGCTATACGTCGAAGTCTGATTGCCTCGTGCAGAAAAGATATTTGATTTATTTGGCGATTTTGCTATTCACATACTCTCCTATCCTAGATGTTACTAGTGGGATGGTCTCAGCCAACTACTCAACTTGATTACATTTTGCGAAATGTTTCAGAGGATGTGTATATGTTCTTGCGGAGAATTAATGCTTAAATGGTTTGATGAAAACCTTCCTGATAGCCCTCTTGAATATAACTTTGAGAAACAGCCACCCGAAACTTTAATCCAAGAAAAGGTGTGCTGATGACTCCTATACAATCAGACTGGTGAATTCTTACTACTACGTGATACTCAATTTCGCTGTCCACCCCCACAAGCATCAAACTAAGAATGCTGCTAGACCTGATTCAGGCCTAGTAGGGTGCGAATATTGATTACTAAGCGGCCTGCTCCCAACTTCGTAATTGGGACCAGGGATCCGCTAGGCTTGTGCAAATTGTGTGGCTCCACCCACAATTAAAGAGACGATAGGTTCTTGTTAAGAAGAGGGAATACACAATAGGGCAGTCTTTGCTGTTCATTATGCCATCTCAACGCGATTATGTCAAGGCCACTCTGCTCGAATTTCTCTGGAGAATCGCGCTAGGGATGCAAATATGTTCTGGAGACTAATCCTGAGGGACGGATATCGTTTGAGACGGCAAAGAATGTAAGGTTGATTTGGGGTTTTAGGAAAGTATTTTGTACAAAAGGAATTGGAGGAATTCGTGGAGAAGGGTAGCGTTCCTTCCTTTTCCTCCTCCAATCTGATTAAATAAGGTGACAAAATGGCCGATTACCAGGACGCATGAGTTCACATTCCAGGTTCAGCCTTTGGGTATCAATATAGGCCGGCGGGGGGCACATCATACCCTTACTAGCGATGATGTTAAGAATACTTCAAGGCAACTTCCTTCATGAGATCCCTACTTCCAGTCTCGTGGATCTAGGTCAAGAGGTACTCACAAGTCGCTCATGTTACCGACTGTTTGAGCTCGATCTTTGCAACCAAGCCGGGCGGAAGCCGGTGTATGCAGAAGCTCACACTGAGACATGCTTTCAAACTGATATTGTTACGTATTTGAGAAGGCGTTGCTGAATTCACTTGCTGAGGGTGTTGATATTGGATCCCTTCTTTTCGCTAATCCGCAAAATCGAGTGTACTTGCAATTATTCAATTCCTTCCATACGCTGACGAACTTGCAGGGCGATGCTATCTAAGAGAGACACTAATCGCGTTTATGCGACTCTGCCAGAAATATCAGACCCATTTCATCATGATGAAGTGTACGATCTTTCCGTCAACACTAGTGAACCTAGTGCATTCCTTTTAATCCGCTTTATCCATCGACCCTACCGGCGTCATTGACCCGAATTTGCTTCACGAAGCGTATTCAATGAGCAAATATTTCAGCGCGGCTGGGGTGTGACTTGGAGCACCGATAACCAAAAACAAGGTCCTGCAAAACCCATATCAAACTGTCGTTCATTTTCTTAGTCCATCAGGCGTGTCCATCGCAATCGATAGAGTAATGCTAGAAAGTCGCGAGCAGAGCCGAACATTCATATTTCTATCCCGCTAACGTATTGCAGAAGCGTACAAACTCGTCATATAGTGCCTTCGCGAGATGGGTATGAAGTAATTCACCAGAGGGAATGCTGGCTTCTTTGTAGATGGATTTCTCGCCATACCTTCCTCCGGAGAGCGAAGGGGTGGACCAACAAGAGAGGTAGTTTGCACTGGCGCAGAAGTTTGTTGATTCTGGGGTTTTCCTGTATCCTGGGGAAGAGCATTCCCTTGAACTAAGGTGGTTTCGTATGATATTTATTCAGGAGAGGGAGATTGTAGAGGAGGTGTTGAAAAGGTTTGTGTGGTCTAGTTGATGTATCGGGCTAACATCTTGAAGGATCGAGTATGTGATACAGAACGTTTAGTGACAGTATGGGGCTCTCTACGTTTCTAGTCGAGATCAGAGATGAACGCATTTTGGAAAGGTAACGAACCTATGGTTAAATAGGCTGAAAGAAGCCGATGATGGTCACCACGACGTGGGCTGTCACAACTCTTTCACTCCTTAGTGACGTCACTCCAAACACTGTACGAAGAATCTGTTTTCTGGAAACACGAAGGTGTGAAAATAGCCAAGATCTATGTCTATTCTCCCTAAGTTTCCTCTCCTTCTCTTTGCCTTCTTGACTCCTCTGAATGGATACTTCTGATCTAACAAGTCTGTCGCCCAACTCGCCTGAAAAACACGTGGAGTAGCCTTATCACGGCCTCGGGACTTCCCACGACCACATCTCTTTCCCGATTAAACGCAAGACTGTAGCCCCACTCCACCCGTCACTTCTATACATGGTCAAACAGCATGGTGAGGCTTCTGGAATGGCTTACTTGCAGCCTGGCAAAAAACAGATCTCTGTCACAAACCCCATTAATAGGCGAAGAACCCGATGCTCAACAAAGCGAGGCAAAGGAGCACACAGCGGCGAGTAAAAGTGAACGAACATCAGTCGGAACCCACAATTCCATCGCATCACCATCACCAAGCATTAAGTTCCTCCGGAGAAACCAATCGTTCTACGTCCAGCGCACCAACGTACTTCGTTCGCCTCCACCCCAAAAGCTCCGTCTCTCTTGCTCCCTCCCTGCAATGATCACAGATGAGGACTACGCTCGACTCTCCTCCCACTCGTCCTCCCTCCGCTCCCGCCCCGCTTCCTTCGAACCATCGTTCCCCTTCCTTCGACTCTCCAAATCCCTCCGCCGCAAAATCTACGAATATCTCGAAGTCAAAACTAAATATGTAGTCGCGATGCGTGAACACTTCGGCCCTCGCGCCAGCCATCCCAATGCCATCGTCATGCTGCGCTACATCTCGCGAACCATCCTACTTACCTGCCGCACCATCAACCGCGAAGCCGAGCCGATTCTCCAAATCGAAACTATGAAATTGGGACCACCGAGAATCATCGCGCATCTGAATGCCCTAAATGAAGCGAACTTCCTCCTTGGGCTGATTAAGGAAAACGTGAATAAGTACGTTTGGCAACCCCTCCGTCTCCGCGCCGCCGATAGAGAAGGGGAATACTTGACCCCCGAGTCGTTCAACCGCCTCATCTTCACTAGATTAGCATGCTTGTACCAGCAGAGCCGACGCGAAGTCTGGATAGGGCTGTGGGTTGGTCCACTTAGCGATTGGAAGCAGTTCCTAACTGATTTGCCGTTTGTGGTTCCGCCGCTTGTGAGGCATTGGCCGCCGAACGATGGGTCGAGAGTTGTTGTAAGTGTGTTTTTTGAGGGGAATAGGGAAGTTGAAGGGAGTGGGGATGAGAAGATGAGGATTAGTGAGTATCCGCAGATTAATGTGTTTGTGGATGCGGGGTTGAGGTTGGAGTCAGATCTGCAGCCGGAGGATCAGGAGGAGTTGTTTGGGGTTACGGGGTTTGGTGGGTTGTTTTTAGAGGGAAGGGGAATGGATGTGTGAGGGGATAGGGGGAAAGGGTCGGAGCGACGATGCGTTATAATGTCCATGGCTGGATAGTGCTGCATTGCCTCAGCGAGGTATGGGACTGGAGTTTGTGGTTGGGATTTTGACGTTAGTGGGCGGTGGCCTTTTTGGATTTTTTGTTGGGGCATGTGTGAAGGATGATACCCAACGCTACGATTCACGGTATTAGAACAGGTTTCTGGATAATGAATTCTTTTTAGAGTGTATCTCGAATGAAGTGTAATGTCCTCCTTTCCTGCCCATGCGGCGTACAACTGCCCTCAAGACTCCCGAACTCACCAACTCGAAGGCAGTTCTAGTTACATAAGGGATGAGCAAATATATCGTAAACCCACAGCTAGAATCCAGGATGAGGTGAAAAGCCTCACCAATAGTGTCATACATTATGCATTATGTAATGCTTGGCAAGGAGAACCACGGCTTGATCACTACCTAGTGCCGTGTCCTACTGCAGATGCGAAATACCAGTATTTTCTTGACTTCTGCCTTGTATATAGTATGGCTCCGCCATTAGGTCTTTCCTGTCCTGCTCTTTTGTACATGCTCTTTTGTACATACTCAGCAGTCAATATGACTGGGTCTCAGTCCAACCCCGAAACAACAATTACCCCCTCTTTGCTAGGACTCCCACCAGAGATGAGGGTCATGATATACAAAGAACTACTTCAAATCGGTCAAACACATACCACGTTCGAAGTACCTGTTCCGTGGATTGAATCAAAAGAAGCAGATCCAGCTCGGCCGAAGGAAAAAGAATCGATCCTAGCTCTAGCTCAACATAGCGAGGAAAACGAAGCAACCCCAGCTCCGCTCTCCAGAATAACGCTCCTAGCAAAATCGATCCCATGCTCTATCGTAGCTACTTGTAAACAAATCCACTCTGAAGCCCAACCCATACTCCAGCGAAGTCAAACCGACATCCTCAACCAACAGCCCAGGCTCATCCTGGATCTAGAAACCCTTGGAAGGTTCTGTGCGCCCTTATCTTCACCGAGCGACGAAATCCTCCGGGCTCTGCTTGGGTGGTCGCCAAATGGCGAAGTATTCCGGGACCTGGTTGGTTGGTTTACAGAGGTGAACAAAAACCCAAGCTATGGTCTAGGGTTCAGCGACTATCTGGAGAACAATGGTTTCGCTTCTCGCGAGCCCATATCAGCCTGGCCGCCGAGAATACGCCTAGGAATCTCGCGGTTCACTGAGCAGGCGAAAAAAGCGCTCATCCACCAATGGAATCAAGTTCAACAATTTCCTGTAATAACGCCAAGCCCCCGAACTGGCCTCGAAATCGGGATAGTGTTCCCCGAAGATTGGGAGAGCCTAGACAAGTTCAGAAACGCTGTAATCACCTTTGTTTGGGACGTCTACCTTCGGTTTGGGAGGGATGGACTGCCGTTACGGCTACGGCTTGTGGTACCCTCGCTGCCAGTTCCTGAGGGAGGTGGGTCCAAGAAAGAATGGTGCAGTGCACTTCTCATGGGGGTTATTCTGGGCGAAGCTGCGTTTGGGAGTCGAGAAGATCGCGTGAGGTTGGGGCCTATGAGGGTCGGGAATCCTGTAGGGAAGAGGGAGTGGTATAGAGAGTGGCAAGAGGGAAAGTTGTTGGGGAAAGCGCCCTAGGTTGAAACTAGGCAATGTATTCGCGTTATTTGAGCATTTTGAGCTCATGTGGACGAAACGAGGTTAATGTATCTTGGTAGTGTGAAGATAGCTTCGGCCGTATAAGATAGAAGGAGAAGAGTTGGAATACCCTTGCTAGAAGTTGGAGCAAGGCAATTGGTTTCTCTGAGGATGCCTTCCCTTGTACCTCCGTACCTCCGTACCCCGGTTCATTCGCACCTCATCTAAATATTAGTACAGTTCCATTAACGCCAGTGACGAATATTTACCAGATAGATGGAACTCACTAGACTCAAGTGGCCTGGGTGTAGCGTCGCGAGTATATGAGAGGAGAGTAAGATGCGAAAGACCCCTGCTTGGATTTGAAAGGATGCAGAGGGCTTCTCTCTGCATGTTGCCTTGCCCAGTAAGTTCGAAATGCTACACAGCTGGAACCTTATCCCACTTCTTCTAAGGGCTACCGGGAATTCCTCAAGAGTTGTTCGGCGTCGGTGTAAATTTTGATGGCTGGATAAATTTTTACGGACTTTAAAACGGAAATTAAAGCAGAATTTGCGGTCTAAATCAATATTTCATGCTAAACAGAGTGGAACGGTAGAGCGTCAGAGAGCGGTCGAGCTGAGTTTCTACCTCTACCAGATTTTTCATCGTATAATTGTCTGGAGACGGGTTGGTGCATTGTATATAGCGTTCCATGCTTCGACGTGCCGAGTCGCATCGATTGGCGAATTCTTGAACAAGCTCATTCGAGGGTAGCTCGCTTTGTGGCGTGCTTCGCATGATTTGTACGAGGAGCTTTGCTGAGGTGCGTGCCTCTTCCATCCGCTTTTCCAGCTCATCCGGAGGTGGCAAGCCATGCTGTGAGGCTTTTTCTTCACTTTGAGTGCGTTCCGGGCCGCGATAGGCATGGTCATCCGAGATCCAAGACGGAAGTGTTGGCGAGGGTGTAGAATTCGCCAAGCGTCGACTATTCCGAGGACCAAAGGGAGATTCGTCCGTTCTATGGGATGACGGTTCGGCTGGGAGGGTATCTTGCGTTCTGTTTGGTATGCCGAACGCCTTCACTATTGGAGAAGTTGGCAATCGGTCCTGGGGTTTAGGCGAACTTAACATTTCAAAGGTAACTCCAGGGGGACGATAGAGCGAAGACCTAGGGAGTATTTCATTGTTGGTAGAGTTCGGGGGCTCATGCGTCATTATCTGCGGGAGATTGGTGTTAAATACAGAAAGAATCTCTGGGCCGGGAGTTATTTGGCTGCTAGTAGAGTTTGGGATGCCATTAGGGCTACCTGGGAGGCTTGGTTCACTTGCAGACTCGTGATATTCCACACAAGTGGAACAAGCAAACGGGAAAGATGAGTGACAAGTGTCTTCGTCGATTAGCTCCCATAACTGATAGACAGTTGGCCTTTCTCTTTCGTCCTCTCTCAAGCATTTGTCAACCCAATCGAATGGGGCTTTGTCAACCTTCCGTCTTGTTCGATTTCGCATTGATGTAGTCCATTCTTTGATCCCATCCAAATTTTTACAATACGCTGCAGCGCTGAATTCATTCCGCTCTTTTAGATATTCGCGAAGCTCTTCAATAGACCCTCCACTCAATCTCGTGGCCATCTCTAAGTAGACAGCTCCTAAAGAAAATACGTCGCTGGAGGTTCGACGATCCTGCCAGTCTGCTACTTCTGGTGCACAGAATTGAAAGGTGAACATCGCAGGCCGCCCGCCTGTCGTACTTCGGTTGGTTTGTGAATAATCCAAGGCAAGACCAAAATCCGTATACATAACTCTCGAACCTTTGATGAGGATATTCTTCGGTTTTATATCCTTGTGTCTTATCTTTGCCTCATGGATGGCAATTAATCCAGATGCGAGACAGCCGAAAAATGTACGGATGAGCGAGGATCTATCCTGGTCCAATTCAACTTCTAGAAAAGCTTCTAAATCGCAATCACCGATCGTATCCATAATGATACCAACGAATCTGGGTTCGCTAAAGCTTCCAATTACTTTAACGACATGATAGTGATCCACTTTCTTCGAAGCTGACAGCTCTTGGACAAAGCTAGCCAGCGAGACTTGGTCATTCTTGAAAGTTTTCCTTCTCCCCAAGAGCTTCATGGCATAGAATCTCTGGCCGAGTTTACTGTAGACTTTTTCCACGCTGCCAAAATTGCCCTTGCCGAGGACTCCTACGGTGCGGAATTGAGATTCATCCCTGCTGGTGATATGCAGGTGGGTCCCGCCGGTCCCATTTTCTAGGCTGAGGAGGTCTGTCAAGACAAAAGCTTGAGCTTCTAGGAATCTAGCGCGCTCGGCTGGTTGGAGCTCACTTGGCAGGTTGTGGCTGCTGTATGGAATGGAAATATCAGTGGCCCCATTCGAAATGAAGATATCGAGGTATTCCAAGGCCTGAGCAATTCTCAAACAGGCATAAGTGCGGACCACCTTTGCCCATGATGACTTGCCGCTCAGCTCCAATGCGACGGATATTCGATCGAAGTCCTTATCTGTGAAAGGGTTCCTCCGTTTCGATGCTCCATCATCAGAAACAGGAAAGAGTTCTGCAAGGTCGTCTTCATGTTGCCAGCTACCACCCATTATGACCAGTGTTGACACTATCACACAATCCAATGTGATGTCCACAGATATAACAGGGGACGAGCAGCCGAAGGTAACGACAGGAGCGAATGGAAAAGAGCAACGGTAAGAGTTAAGAAATAACTCTCCCGGAAGAGGATTGAACGGGGATGGAGGGGAGCCTGAGGTGTGTCAGCAGCTATCTGCCTGTTGGTTGAGTTGAGGCTAAGTGGGGCCAAAGGTCGGGTACAAAGCCTATCCCGGACAAAGCGTGTGAGTTGCTGGAGCGACCTCGGAACTTTCCTAAGGTCGCATTATCCTTCCCATTCTAGTCTTGTACGGTACTACATAGCATATATTCGAGCTCCCATGAGGTGAATTCTGTGGGTTCGGCCGGGAAGAGCGGCACCAGGTCCAGAATACTGTCTTTCAAGGCTCAATGACTAAATGAAGTCGCTAATCCGAGCAGAATAGCGCGCTGAAGGCCATGAAACAGAGATCCATTCCACCATTCTCGATACCTTGCGGTCTTTGAAGTCGCTACTTCCTTCGTAAGATACTCGCAAGTTCTAATCTCGTAGACTAGCTTCCTCTTTCCTTCTAACTTACCTTTCCATGCCCGACTTGGAGCTAGAAAAGCCTTCAAAGCATCCGCTACTCTTCGCCCACTCTTCTTCTAATTCTGCGCTCCGGCCAATATCCATCTGGTCGCTGCCAAAACCCATTCGCTATCGTCATCCGCTACACCATGCATACAATCATAAACTTTGTCAGCCGCTCGTTCTTCAGATCCCTCACCCTTTTACTCCTCCTCTATATTTCGTTTACACTTGGGCAATACTTCGTCCAAAAGCAAATAGATGGATGTCAATATTCATCTCTCACCTGGAACACCTATCTCTACTTTTCCGACCCGTTGACTCCTAAGGTTCACTACTCTATCCGAACTCAATTCATCGACTACTACCCACGAGAACTGACTAAAGCACTATCGGCTGCCGGCTTCAATCTCATCCGGGCACCGCCTGAATCCGATCCCCAAGCGATATGCCAATGGCATGATGGCGGTAAAGTGAAGAAAGGAGGATGGACTCGCGGATACATCACTTTCAAAGGGGCAGGTGACCGCCACGCCATCGACAAAACCTTGACGCGAATCGCGGATATTCTGAGGACGCACAGGCCTTCTCGAGATCTAGTTGAGGTCGGGTTTCTCATCGCCTCCCCTTTCATCGCCATCATCTTGGCACTCATCTTGCAATGGTACTGCGTTCACAAATGTCGGAATTCTGGGGAAAGTGATACGACTTCCGTGGATGTCGAGTTGACTTCAATGAAATCTCACAGTGTACCGGATCTGCCTGTTACAGCGAATCCTTTCCGCGTCAAACCGAATCACCTTCGGCTTGATGAGATCAAGGCGAGAGACAAGGCACCGCCATCCTACTCAGGTGGTGAAGACCTCGTTTCCGTTCACTCAACACAGTCTATCGATTTTGATTTGGCGTCTATGAAGACAGGAGAGAACTATTCAATCTCCATCGCGTCGTCTTCGAAATCGTTCTAGCTTCCCTGCCTGACGGAAGCTCGATCTGAAGGGGAAGTGAAGGGTATCCAAACTATCGCCAAGGAAAGAGCCACGCTAGAGGCACAGCTGCAGCTCCTAAAGATTAGCGTTCTGCATTCTTTACTTCAACGCTTGGTTTGATGCTATTGGATTTGGGTGGAGTTATCATGGAGTCTTCGAGCGTAGCCTTAACCTCTGACTCTCTTTGGCTTTTGTCTTGTTTAGTGTCTTCAATTCCATTCTGTTCCTTCTCTAACGCTAAATTAGCAGGTTTGGCTTGCACTTCCCCCTGCTCTGCGTCTCGGCGTGCATGTTTCTGATTTGTTGAGCTTGCCCTCCATGGTACAGATCATTGACATATAGGAACGCTAACACCCGGCCATCCCACCAAGCTCAAAAACGACTTTTTAAAAATTCTCTCTTGTTCTTCAATAAGATCCTTCTACCTTCTCTGCCCATCACTCAAAGCTCTCTCTCAGTTTGTCGAGCGCAGCACTCCATCATGAAACCACTTCTCTGCACTCTGGCCATTACTGCCACCACCACAGCTCGAGGGCTAACCAACCTCGAAAGTCCTACTGGGGATGTCGTGGTTCATGCTACGAATCCTCCAACAACGACAGTTGATGTCAACGTCGGTAGGCATCGCCGTATACACAGTCATCCAAACGAATACCACGGCGAGCTCATCATGCCTGCCTCACCTCAAGCATATGCAGCACCCACGCTTAACTTGGAGGAAATAAATACAGAGCTGATTCCAAGCATCAACTCCCAGCAAAGAGAATCACAGCGACGTCATTTATCGCATACACACGACAGCTCCGAGCCAACCCACAAGATCCCAGCGCATACGTCATGGAGCAATCTCCACAAGCTTCCCGCGCAAATAGAAGACCCTGGCTATGCAGGGCTGGTGCGTACCAAAGCTCAAGGTCAAGCCCAGCGCTGTACTGCTACTGCTACTGCCACTCCCGCTATCGAATCACGAGCCCGGGACTTCAACGTCAAACGCTGGATCACATCTACATTCCTTTCCACTGCCGCTTCCGCTAACGAGCGCAGCTCATACACCAAATATACCCCGAAATGCACCACTGGAACCAGAGGCAGCTGCATCTACTTCACACTCGCATACACCAACTCCACATATTTCACTACCTCACCCCCTAACAACGGCAACAACAACGGCATCTCCCACATTCCAATTTTCTACATTGACACCCCCTGGATCCTAACCTACGCCCAAAAGCTCTCATCCGCCCTATTCAACAACGCCACAACCTCATCCACCTGTCCTAAAGGGAATTGTAAATCCTGCCCAATCCCCATCCCAGGATCTCCGGATATCCATCTCCTCCGTCTAAACTCCACCGCCCAACAAGTCCTTGAAACCACAACAGTCCCGGTGACCTATAATACATTACTAGTTGTCTCTAAAACCGCAGTGCAACGCGGAAGGCTTGCTGTCCTGTCTCCAGCGCCTAACCAAGGCTTCTCGCTTGACTCGGAAAAGTCCTTGCTCTACCTCCCCGTGCTCACATTCATCGAAGATAAATTGACATCAGTGTACCCTACGTTGGAAATCGGACTGATATTGGGATTCCTATTACCGATTCCTGCGGCAATTGCGGGGTTCTTTGGGGCTGCGGTGTTGGTGTGTTTGGGTGCGGGGGTGCGTGGGGTGATTAATAGGGTGGTGAGATTGTGTGGAGTGGGAAAGGGAGGTAGGGAGCAGAGGGGGACGGAGGCAGGAGAGGTTGAGATGCAGATGGGGGACGTAGGAAGGGCGCAGGGGCAGGGGGAAGAGGAGAGTGAGCAGCCGCCTAAGTATGATGTGTTTCGTGAGCGAGTGTGAGAGCTTGGGTGCAGCTTGGATTGGCGAGGTGTCGGCTGGAGATGGAAGTTTGGGAGGTTTGGGTGAGTAGAAGAATAGTCTTCATTTCGCCGTGGAGGGCGCTATGGGAATGTGGATCTCGTCTATGGCGTTCATCTGGAGTGCGTTAAGGTGGTAGTTAGCCTGCTTGAAATAATCTGTAATAATATTTTTGTTTAACGTCTGATGTCGAACATATATCTAAACGACACTCATCGATTGAGGCGGCCTAGATAGATCGCTAGGTCGCTAGACTGCAACCTCTCTGGCCCTACCAATCAAGAATTCGACCACAACACCTGAAATTCTTAAGCTTAAGGAATAACGCATAACGCAATATACAAATTCTATCTACTAAGTAGACCTATTCTATAGATAGCTATGTGCTGCTTGTACTGCAAGCTGGCTTGCTTTGTATTATCTGACCTAGTCTGGCATCGTGTCGAGCTCCTCACTGTTTCGGATATCTTGCAATGCAATACTTGTATATATATATATATATATATATAGAGAGAGAGAGAGAGACCTGCGCCCCACAAGGGGTGGGTCTGGTGGCTGAGTCGAGGTGCTAATACCCGCACGCAGTCCAGAGATGGTTTAGCACAGCAAAGGTTCAGGCTGCCGATGCCTGCTGAAGACGACGGCGTGCTACGCAGCCTACAATTATCCTCTCGTGTGCAAATCAGCAGGACTAACCCCAAGACAATCCTGGCACATTGGTGATTGGTGGTCAGTGATATAGGTTGTAGAGGTCATGCAGGGTGGTCACTGAAGAGCATAATAGTGACAATGTTTCATTGAATTATGAAGAAGTGTCCACTAAGGACGTGGTATCATCCGGTTCCATTCCGTGAGTCATATTTAGTCGAGCCGCGCCCGGCATACCAGGCAACAGTCTCGTTCCACCCGACAACGCCAGAAATGCAACATTGCCGCGAACGCCAAACCGGCTTACCTAGTACTTCCGCCATGGGTATGAGCAGATGTTTGAGTACATGCATGAAAGTGTGGAGCGAAAAGGAAAGAAAGGAAATATGCCGTTGATTAACGTCGCTTTTGAACTCTCGTACGCGATTCGGAGAATGGTTTCAAGGCACCCTTGCCCCTCGTCTGCGGAAACGTGATTTGGTTTCTTGGTTTGCGGCGGCGGTTGATTTTCGATCGATGGATCTTCTTCTTGGAAGATGATTTAGAAGCAGGAGTGGCGCTGTCAACGTCCATCTCTAATGTATGACAGTTAGCCTATTTTCTGAACTTCCTTTCCACCAAAGTATTTTTCGTCAAGAGCGAGGGTGTCGAAGGCCAGCTGTAACTGCCCCTTTCTGTCGAATCCAACCACATCAGAACAGAGTCCGAGGTACAGGTAGAGCTGGTCGGATTCGTGTTGGCATTCTTCCATGGTCCTCAGATATGGGACGTGGCCGAAGTGGTCTCGGTGCGCTTCATTTTCGAAGCTAATAGTTTGCGGAATCGGAGTAGAGAGAGTATACCAACCTTTCGGGTATTCTGCGTTGTCGGTAGGCTCTTCGGCGTCGGGGGGAGCTTCGCAGATGTAAGAAAGGCTGCCTGAAGTGGAGGACTGTTCATTGGTGGACGCAATACCTTGGGCCGAACCAATGTCCATTTTCGCGACGTTCTTGCGCGGCTCCGGCCTCGGCTGGTTAACGGCCTCAAGGAGTTTTGCGTGGAGACGCTCAGTGCGAGCAGTCTCAACGGGCTGGAAGACGCGGGAGCGAAGCTTGGAGCGGTTCGCCTTTTTGACGCTGGAGCGGAGACCTTTCGCCATTGTGGCGGCGGGGGTAATGCGAGGGAGTGTAGCGCGCGCGGGGAGTACGAGGGGCGCAAGTGGCAGAGGTCGCGGTGAGAGTTGTGGGCGGAATGTGCAGAGTGTGAGTGAGGAAAAAAGTGAAGAGTGAAGAGGGACGGCGTGGAATTTTACGTGGGCGGGCGAAGGCGGTCAGGCAGAACTGTGGAGCGTCTGTGCCGGGTCTTGTGCCGGGTCTGTGCTAGTCTCTGCTCCTGCCCAGTGCCCCCATTAACTTAGCGGGAGTGATGACTTTGCGCCTGGCCAAGGCTGCTTTCGGTGTCGTCGATGCGAGAGAGCCGCCTGCGGGACCTCCTCAACCGCTGCTCGATCCTCTCAATCGGGGCGACGGCCGGCCGTGTAATCGTCGCAGAACTGCTTGCTTTGCGTGATCCCTCCCGAGGACGCTGGCACTCCTCCTGCCCCCGCTGCGTCGTCGACGAGAACTGGAAGTTGCTACCGACACCCCAAAACGTCGACTTCACATCTTTTCTCCGGCCCTGCTACTGCTCCTTCACTTCTCCCCAGGCTGCCCTCCTAGTCTCGCTCACTCCCCATGTCTCGCCCTGGACCTCTTCCCTGACAGCCTCTCCCCACTCTGCGATCCACTGCCCGCTCGAGTCCAGCTGCGAGTGCGGTCCGTTCAACTCCAGACATGGCCTCAAATGGGACAACCATCGAACAGCTGGCAGCAACCCTGTCCGCTCGATCAAAGACTCTTATTAACAATGATCTGAAGAGAATCTGCAAAGAGGAAGGTCAGAACGTGGGAGGGAATAAATCCCAACTGCAAGGCCGCGTCCTTAACAGTACGTTCCCCCTCGGCCGGTGCCCTCGTGTCGCCCGTCCAAGGTTGTCTTCTGCCTCTTCTTACTAATCTGTCTCTTCGTCTGTAGTGATCCATAACGCAGCCCTCGGCGGTGACTTCGACACACTTCAGAGGCTTCGTTATCGATTGCACAACCACGGCGAGGCTCCACCTCCGACGTACAACGCCCCGGCCGCTCCTCCTGCGCAAGCCTCACCCGCTCCCCCCAACAGGTACCCCAGCATGGCCACCGGACAGAACGGCTATGCTAGTCGCCAGTCCTATCCTCCCTATCGTCCCCCACCTGCCCGTAAGTCGCCCTCTATCCAAGTCGCTTTTTTATTTTTGCTTAGTTTAGGTAGTGCCACCCACATCCTCATTCAAGGAATCCCCATTCTATGAAATTCGGGAATTACTTTTAGGAGGCATGTCTCTAGAAGGTGAGCGCCGTTCTTGCTTAGTCCTAGTACCGGCTCACCGTTTTCAGTCTCGCCAAACCATCGCCTCACTCTTAATAAAACCCTTATCCTGTCCACCGAACAATGCAACCGCTTGAAATCTGATCCCACGCTACGAGTACTACTCTTCGCTGCAGTCGATCAACCGCTTGGTCCATATCAGCGTGTCGACGTCGCCTTCCCTTCCCAGGTCGAAGTGAAGATCAATGGCGACGAGATCAAAGCCAACTACAAAGGTTTGAAGGGCAAGCCCGGTTCCACGCGTCCAGCCGACATCACAGACTACGTTCGCAAGGTGGCTCATTACCGGAACAGTCTGCTGGTGACCTATGCGCTGACGCAGAAGGTCAGTCATAAAGAGGTTTTCGATATCTAGTTCCCCGCCGTGCTATTACGCTAACCTCCTCATAGAAATATAACATCTACTTATACATGGTAAAGAAGCACACCGTAGAGGACCTGGCCCAGCGCATCACTCTGCGAAACGTCATCACCAAGCAGACCGTCATCAATGAGAGTAAGTTGTGATACTACGAAATTCGCCTCTGAGGCTCACGCTAGTACAGTGCTGAAGAAGGCAAATGACGCCGACATTGTGGTTAGCTCTACCAACATGTCTCTTAAGGATCCTATCTCAACTCTTAGGATTACCATCCCTTGCAGGTCAAATTTGTGCAACCACAACCAGTGCTTTGATGCAGCATCATTCTTGCAATTACAGGAGCAAGCTCCAACATGGCAGTGTCCTGTATGCAACAAGACTGTATCATTTGAAGGTCTTGCGGTGGATCAGTAAGTGATAGAATACGGATCTCGGGAGAAGCACCTGACATCAAGCAGATATGTCCAAGAGATCCTCGATTCTGTGCCGAAGGGCACGGACCAAGTGACAATCGAGCCGAATGGCGATTGGTCGAATGGAAACAAGACAGAACCCCAACCTTATCGAAATGGCTCTACGGCAGCGCATGAGGATAACAGTGACGATGAGCTGGTAGAGATACCTGACTATCGCGTGTCCGCGATAAAGAGCGAAGCTATCTATACTCCCTTGTCGATGGCTCAGACAACACCACTCTCCTCTCGGGAAGCCTCCACCGCGCCCAGGACCGGCCAGAAACGGACATCTGAGGTGATAGATCTGACGTTGAGCGACGATGATGAGCCTTCGAGGCCGGCTAAGAAGGTAGCGTACCACACTCCCAGCAGCCTCCCAGACCCATCACGTCGCTATCAGATGCCCTCGTTCGGAGTTTCGTCTGCCCCTATACGTCCCCAAGCCCCATCTTTAAATCACAATAACATGCCTTCGAGTTTGAGATTGGATCTCTCAGCCCCATCCCCAACCCTTCCGCCCTATGGAGCCTATCGTCCACCTCTACCGCGCTCAGCCTATCCTGACCAGGGATTGGGAACATACCCCAACTACGGCAATTCCCCTTGACATTCACAGAACCATTGATATTTCGTGTATAACTATTGACTCTGCTAATGCCATTGTGGATTCGCAGACTAGAAGATCCAGCGGCTATCGCGGCTGACGCATCTCCTTCCTGGTATGACATTACCGGCAAGGTGATGCGGAAGTCGCTTCGATGGAACTTCTTCTACTTTCCGCTTTGTCCATTCACTTGATCACGGGAAAAGACTTAGCACAAGGCGTTGGTATTGGTGGCATGACCGGGCGGAATTACAATGGGATCTGATCGATCAGCAGATCAGCAGACGCATTCTGCTCTGCACGATGCAATTTTCATACTCATGTGTCTTCTGCGCATTTAGCTCTCAGCTTTTAGTTTTTCCTTATCTTTCACGGGTTCCTTAGGCGGGCATGGTGGTTGGTCATCAGGGATAAACTCACGGTGATATGGAGCAAGAGAGGCGTATGCACTGAATGATTGAATGGAATGGGATATCCTGGGATTTCGTGGGTGGCATAGGCATTTTGGCAGGTTGCAAGATTCTCTCTATGTCTTAACTTTGAAATTTTCGGTAGGATAAGGTGGAGGAGTGGGAACCAATAGGTGAAAGGAAGGTATGGAGATAGGAAGGGAAGCGAGGATCGCGAATGGCTACGTTTTTAGAGCGGCAGATGTCCGTGAAAGTGGTTAATTAATGAAAGTGCTTCATGATACCCAGTTTTCAGATTCTACGCTTGGTGTGTGCGTGGCATAGTACTGCTGAGTGCACGCCTACTAGCAATTGTGAGTTTGAGGACAAAACAATCATTCAATTGAACAAATTCAAATCCAAGTCCCGGATTCTATTCATGCTGCGCGTGGAATCCCACAATTATGTTGGTTTTTGCTTGGGAAATAAGACAGGAAAAGGCGGAGATTCAGTAACATTAATCCACTGATGTCTTCAAGAACACAAACAAAACAACACTAACAAACCACCCACACCCCACCCGTATATAACCAGGAAGATAAAACGCTAAACGCTATTTACATGACAGAAGAGATTTTAGATAACAACACTCACCCATGCGCAAAAGTTCAAGCAACAAACAAACTGCCTAGGGTCAAATCCTAACCACCGCTCACTCCCTCTCCCTCATCTCCCTCTTCACTTCCCCCAGCACCTCCCTCACCCGCTGTACCACATCCCCTGCCCCATCCAACCTCTCCCTCAACCTCACCGCAAACTCCGGAAACCTGCTCGCTTCGCTCTCAGTCTCCTCAGCTGAACTCGATACCACGAGCCCCAAATCGCGAACAAATGCATCAACTTCCTTCTGCACGCCAACCAACATCTTGTCGAAGGCAGAATGTAGGAATTGCCGGTGATGCCGCTCAATCATTGTGGAGAGTTTGGGGAAGATGCGGGCGGAGGCTATGTGTGTTGTTATTGCATGTTTCCGATTTTGGTCGGCTTCGGCTCCAGGGGCGGAGGAGAGGGCGGGAGTCGCAGGTTCGGCGTTACAAGCGTGATAAGCCGGCAGCATAAGCGTGTTTATATACGACGTCGCATGCCCGTATAATGTATCCGACTCTACAGCTGCCGTACCCTCAAGAATCTCATCAAAGCCTGTTTCCACAACCTGCGTCATCGCACCACACCGCGCGCTGATATTATCCACTAGATTCCCTAGGGCTTGCGGCGCATCCGGGATATGAGGGTGAAGTGTAGCGGTCATATTGGTGAAGACGGCGGCGATAGAGTCGATGAGTTCTTTGCGGCTGTCGGATACGCTTTCTTGGAAGAAGCCCCAGTTACTTTGGAGGGTGAGACGCATGGGGTATGTGAGTTCTTCGTTCCAGTTTCGGGAGCCTGTGGATACCGCGGTGCGGGTGCCGTGGTGGCGGCAGAATGATGCGTAGGTATTGGCGTCCCACTAGGTTAGGTATGGTGTTAGTGGGTGGTTAAGATTTGGGGGAGGAAGGACGGCTGGCTTACTTTGGACCATTCTTTGCTGGCGTCTAGGGCAGCGTTTCGCCATTCCGAACGATGTTCGCGGATGGGAAGTACGATTGAGGAGGCAAATTCGTGGTTTAAGTTCGTCTTCGTGATTTGGATCTGCGCTGAGGGCAGAACAAGATTCTTTGAACAGTTAGCAAGATTTTAAATCGACCGTGGGGATGCCATGCTTCATACCTTAATTGCAGCCTCCTCCAATTCATTCATAAGATGTCGAATGCCCTCCGCTTTCTCCTTGCTAATCTCATCTGTCCCACCCACTGCCCACTGTCTCAGCGAACCCAAGAAAGCCGGGACATCATGTTCGATAAAAGCGACGGCGGCGGTAAACTGAGCCTCTGCGGGGATGGAATGGCAATACTTTCTCAAATTAACAATACCACTCAATTCAAGCCGAGACTCTGCTCGACTCTGTTCATCATATCGATGTTCCCAGTACTCATGATTGCTGACACAGAAGACTTTGAGATCTCCCATTTGTACGTCCGCAGCATACTTGTCGATGAGCTGAGTTGCGACTTGGCGGTTTCGACGCTCGATGAGGAATTTCTTGAGGCCGAACTCCATATCTTGTAGTATGTCTCTACTTCGCACCTCTTCCTCAAGAGCACCGGGTAAGCCATGTCGCCTCTGCGCCTCGCATCGCTTTGCTTGTTTTTGGAGAGCGTCAATTTGTTGTCGCCATGTCCTGACTTGTAGCGACACATCTGATTCATTTCTTTCCACAGTTCGCGGGTTGATGTCCTCTGACTTTGTGCAGATGATGCGAAGAGGCCGGTGACGGCTATTGCGCTTAATAATATCTTGCACGCCAGCATCTGAGAGAGCGTTTTCCATGGTGGTGACGGCGAAGACTTCGTGGCACCTTCGGAGATATCGCTCAGTCGCTCGTGCACGGGCGAGATTGAGATTTCGTAGAGCAGGGCAATCGACTAGGACAAGACCAGAGCGAAGAATTGCTGCGCGAAGGTAGACTCGTACAACTTGAACATACGGCCAAAGCGCACACACGTTATCGCCAACAGGGTCGGCCGTGAAGGCTTCCAGCTTATCAGTGCATTCGTCGATAGTGAAGCCAGTAGAGGACCAGGTAGGACAATCAGGGCCTCCAGGTCGGCGAGCCAGGGAATCACTAGCCCATTTTTCGAGAATGTTAAGAAGCGGTATATCCGCTTCTGTTGGGTATTCCAGTAATAGCTCTTTGGTGAAGATTGGTTGGTCTCTAAACATGGACTGAAGTGTGCACCAAGCAACTTCTGACCTGACTCGAATCTCTCGGCGTTCTTCAGGGGAATCAACATCTTGGAATGAAGGGATATAACACGCTCGAAAGCTCCTCAGTAGTTCTTCGATGAGCTCTTTGATTTCGTCACTTGTCATGTAATCGACTTCGATAGCAAAAGGCTCGTTGTCGTGGGCGGGTCGGTACCTATACTCGGTAATGATGGGTGTAGAGAGACTAGCGCTCTGTAGGTCCTGTTAGTAACCATTTCTATAGGCTTGCGTAAACGAAAACATACCGAGGAAGCCAGGTAAGGCTGATCGAGAAGAGAATTGATAACGCTACTCTTTCCTAACAGTATGTCAGCGAGAATAGCAAAATTGAGCGATCTGAAACTAACCAACTCCAGAGTCTCCAATAAGCCCAATTGTCTTTGATCTCGAAGGTTCAAACTCGCTGAGCTGCTTTGCCCATTCCTTCAACGCATGAAGATCCGATCCAAGCTGATGAGATGCAGGACAGCCCCAAATGGCAAGCGAAATGTCCTTCATTTCCTGCTTAGTCGCATTAAGGCCAGCTTGGAAGGAGGGGTGAAAGAAGCATGCATCTGGTCGGGCTTCAGAATCAACGTCGTACAACAGTTCGTCGCCAGGCAGCTTAACCGGCGCCGAAGGTGAGATGAGCATATTGAGTTCGTCAGAGGTATCGTGGACATGACCCCCGAGAATATTGCTGGTCAAAAGCGCCAATCTTGGGGATTGAAATGCGTGATCCTCTCCATCTGAATAAAGACTGTGATGAGATGCAGTACTTGGAGAAATGACATTAATATGTTCCCAGCCAGGGGAATCTTGTGACCCAAAATCATTCACAAAGGGCATGCCACCGATGGGACTCGTTAAAACCGGGCTCCGTAGCGACTGATACGACATTCGCTTGGTCAAGATAGGGAAGGTCGATGATGGCCTTGGAGTTGGTGTTCTTGGGAACGGTTCTCGAGCCGTCATTGTGGTACATGTTGCCATTTCGAAGGAGTGTCTAAGAAACGAGAGGTGGAAATGTATATTATTTACAAGAAGGTATATTAATGAGGAGATATGCAGAACAGACTGAAAAAAAATTGTATTTGAGAGGGGGGAACTGAAGGAGAATCGACGAAAGTCGAGGAAGACGTGCTACCGCCATTAATATTGTACCTAATACCCTAGCCTTCTGTCGATGGCACGATCTCGAGGCCTTAAAATCAAAAGGCTAGCACTTTTTGCATAACCGACCTACCAGAGGGAGCCGTTAACGCCATCCCGCAGGTCGCATGGCAAAGGGAGTCTGAAGACGGCTTGCGTCCAAAAGGACACTGAGCTCGTGCAGACGTAGTATCCCTGGCGCTAAACTGTGTTCCATAAGATTCGTGGAAAACGACAGAAGGCAGAAGGAGATGATCGCAAGAGTAGATAGGCTCAGCTGCTTATGATTGGGCAATGCATCAAACGCGCTGTGCTAGAGGATGTGAAAGCTTGTGCTTGCGGCGGGGAAAGTTTGTAATGGCTCACGCCAAGGGCGCGTAAATTTAGCTCAAAATCGGGAAGAACGTTCCTCCGGATGGCACGTTCTAGTTATTTCTCCATGAGGTCGGGAGACGAGCACGAGAGGTGGACGCAATCTCCTTAATTGAAAACATCATATTTCTCATCGTGAAGGATGTGAGGCAGTCTAGTATGTGTTGGATGTTACTCAGTGTCCTCAATTCACGTCAAGGCGAGGACGGCCAAGTCGGGTTAGACTAACCGCCGAAGGGCCGCACCGACCTCACAGGCCTGGACGTTGGAAGTAAGACAGTGACCACTTCGCTTTAAGAAACCTCACAGCTGCTCAAGTATCAGTCAGATGATCAAGCCTCTACAATCCTCGCCAATGGAAGCTTTATAAATATCGCGGAGTGGGACGCCGTAATGGTGACCAACCGCAGCGGCTCGCCATCTCTTCTTCATTAGCTAGCTTCTTTGAAAAGTCTGCACCGTGCACGCACGCGTATTGTTGTTAGCCCGCAGGCCTGCGTTAGTCAGGGGCAGCGTTTAACTACCGCCAGGCACAAGGCGAATCAGACACATTGAGATTGGTGAAGAAGAGACTTTTAGTATTTGTACAGATTCAATGAAAGAATTAGGGAGAAACCGTACTCCGAGCCGAAGATCAAACAACATCCCTTGACCTATGATAAAGCAATTATTGAACACCGAAGACTTTTCCGACCCTACCATTACCACCCGACACCAGCAGATCAAAAGTAAGAATGTAAGAGAACGCTAAAGACCGTCTACTATCCACCGTCTACCCCTCTGTTGGGGAAGTGAGATCTAATTTTTTGTCCCTTGGCAAACGAGGCTCCGACTTCTCGTACGGCAAGCCTGCCTCCTCTCTCGCCATGTCGTTGATCCAGGCACTATTTGGCTCAATATTCCTGCCTTGGGACAGAACATCTGCCAGGTACAGCCAGCAAAGCGCATTGCCGACGGTGCCAACCTCGTCACTAACGTGCGTCGCCGCGTACTCGCTCATCGTATCGTATGCTTCCTGGTCGGTGAAGAGGTAGTGGAGATACTTCGCGACCGCACTGCTGTCTCCTGGTTCGACCAGATACCCGCTCTTACCATGCTCGACTTGAAGAGGAATACCGCCAGCCTTCGTAGCAATGATAGGTATACCCTTATGCAACGCCTCTGAGACTTTAACCTCAAAGCCTTCCCGTGTTGAGAGCTGGAGTGCGATATGAGCATTCGATATGAGTACATTTAGTAACTGATCCGTTGGCCCAAGGCGCATAACAATGACATCCTCCTTGATATCGGTGTACTGGGTTTCGAGTAGATTGAGAGTTTGGTCATAGATTAATGTAGCATCTGGATCATCAATGGCTCCGTGTCCAGCGACAACAAGCTGAGGTGTTTGCTCCCGCTCCATATCCTTCATATACTCGCGGCGGAGTTTAGCGTACGAGGCTAGGACATCCGGGATACCTTTGGCAGGATCGAAGCGCGCAATTTGGACAATGTATTTGCGATGAGGGTGATCAAGACGAAACATCCGCATCTTGAAGCACTCTGTGTCGAACTCGTGCATGTAATAATCCGAGTCCCAGTCGCTCATCTCTTTGTTCAAGCCATCGAGCCAGTCAGTCGTGGCTGGCATGTACCCTACTTTCTTGAAATCAACAGAATTTGGCACAAATTCGCGCACAGGATGGCTGACAAAGACATCAGCGTCCTTGACATTGTTCCAGACCCAGTTCCAAACCTCGGAAGTTGGAGTCCCTTCCTGGTCAGCAAGGTCGGCCCGCACCTGGATGTGACTGCGATAAATGACGGGACGCTCTGGGTCAATCTGTTTGGCGATCTGCACAAGGCTTGGCATCTGAGGATCGTCAACAATGATAACGTCCGCACCACCCTTTGAGCGAGGCGCAAGCGGTCCAGCCTTCTTTCCATCACTAGAACTTGATATCCAGAATCGTTCAGCATTCTGCTTGCACCAGTCATCGAGGATGTGTATTTGATTGTCCGTAAGCCGGACCTTGGGATCCGCCACTCCCTGGAGAATATTGTGGTTGTTCTTTGTGATTCGGAAGACTTCAGGTTTTGGTTTAGGGACGTACCTAATCCACGTTAGTCGTGATGTCTTAAGGGTAGGATTTGAAACGCTCACCATGCCGCATTCACGTTGATCAAATCTAAGAACCTGATAAGCGCATGCCGCATCAAGGCAACGCCACCCCCCTGTGGTGTGCTGTTGAAGAAAGCGATCTTGACATTATTCTGTTTCAGCGAATTTGCGTACTGCATGGTTGCATCCCACGTCCGTTTCCCAACTGTTTCGGGATATTGCTTGGCGACAGTGATCCGAATTTGGCCATTGGCATCGACGGCAACCCGATTCCGAAAGAAGACTTGAACACGTGGTTGCTGGTTGGGGCCGAAGTACCTGAAAGAAATGAAATCAGCGCATGGGAACTTGGTATGCAGATCTGGCACGTACATTAGACATTTCCTCGCCATGGAATCCGCCTCTTCATCAACCATGATGGAGCTGTGTTCCAGTTTCGGGGGACGTTCTTCATCTGGCTCACGAACAAAAACCAATGGGACAATGTCTAGTTCTTCCCAAAGCCGAGCTGGCAGGTCCGGGCTCATTTCTATCACCTCCTTCGTAAGTCCAGCACCTACGAACTTGTACAAATGGGACCGTTGATATTCGGTGATTTTCTCCACCAAATAGTCGGCTAAAACCATAGGGCGCTCTTCCGGCGGCAGGGGAGTGCGTAAACCCGATGGCGTCATAACACCAGAAGGAGTCTGTGCGCCAGAAAGGCCCGGGGTGTCTCGTCCGCTATCTGTACCGCTGAGTCCATTTTTGCCCCCGAGCGTTGTGACCGCAAAGTCGATTGAGTAGGTCCCATCGTGGGAAGCGAAGCCGACATCGATTGTCCCGCCAATGCCTTCGGCAACAGCTATACCAATGTAGAGATTCTAATGAGAGAGCAGGTCAGCTATTGAAGGTTTCGGTGGAACGCAAGGTTTAACTACGTACCTGAAGGCCAATGCCATGCTCTACTTCCTGGGCCTTCCTCAGCTGATTTAAAGAAGTTGCGGCCCGGAATGCATGGCGAGTCTTCGTTCGACGCGCTCCATGCCGCCTCGAAGCCTGCATCTGCCGCAGGGGCAGAGCATCATCCGGGCCCAGAAATGGCCCCGATGGTGACATGGTTGGGGGTGTTGTCCGAGAGGTAGGCTCTTGTGAGACAAAGGAAAGCTAGTTATGAGTGCTCAATGGTAGATTGTGTCAACAAACAAAGTCGCGAAAAGACACGGAAGGTAGAATCTTCTGTCGTCGCCGGGGAATTTATAGCTGAGGCGGGTGAATTGGGCGAGGGCGTCGTGGGTGATCTCCCACCCTCGTACGATAGTCACTACACAACGAGGCTAAGGGGCGCGTGATGTGCTGCGAGAAGGGTATTTGTATTGGTCAATGAATGGGGAAGGCTGCGATCAGTTCGTTTGGACCGATGGCCACTGGTGGCTCAGCAACGAGCTCACGTGTTAGATAGAAGGTGAATCAAAGGATCAGGTTCTATGGGTTGCAGAGCACAAGCGGTGAGCGGAGGCAACTTGACGGGCTGGACTTGTGCAGATGGAGGCAAAAGTATCTGGTGATGCTTTGAGGTCGAAAGTCGGGGAGTGACGATCGGAGGTCTGCCCAGTAAGCTTAGACCCCCCGCTCGCTAGTGTCCGCAACCGAAGCCACGCGATGAATTAAAACCGGCCGGCCCGCTGGGAGACAGAGCAACGACATCAAACTAGCTTCACAGGGAGGACGGCATCAAACACAACGAACACCAGTATCACTGCTGGGTCGCGGCCTCTTTCCTGCTGCACTAACAGGCGTGGACGCCATTTCCTTACTCAATATCCCTTCCTTCCGACGTGGCTTCAGCATTCCCGTTCGAGAGTGCACGACCTGCTCCCGGAGCGTCGCCGACTAGCTGGATGCTGGGGTTTGTGGCAAAGACAGCGGAAGATTCCTACTACAGGTGCAGCGACGGGGTAGTTTCCCATTAAGCAGGGCTCAGGGCCAGTGCAGGCCAGCGCAGGCCAGCACGACACAGCAATCCCACCCTTCCAGCCCTGTGCAACCGTTGGCTTACTCCTCCTCCACCGTATTTGTGGTGAGTTCTCGGATGTTGGGCAACAGGCCAGAGGAACATCTGGGATAAGTCTGTGCTCAACGCCCGGCGCGAGATGAGATGCTGCTCAACGTGTGTCAACATGGAACCAAGGAGAGGACAAATATTTCGGATTGCATGCTGCGGGTTGATGTACACACATCTGAGAGCTGGGAGAGAGTGCTGACTGACAGGGATCGCGCGCACAGAACGGCTCACCCCAGCCAGCTGGAGGGGAAAATAAAGTTTGAGGCGAGAGAGCAGCCGAATTTAGACTTGCTCCAGGGTCCCACTGTGTCGGAGCATGATTGCAGACCGCAGCCCGCAACAGTAGCAGCAGCAGCAAACGCTGGCGGTGACGCTCCCTCTGCCGTTGTTTGTCGAGCTCAATTCCCGACGTGAATAATAGAGCGTTCTGTGTATGTGCGCGGATATGTGGTGCAGCCGTGGGCGAAACCGATGTTTCTCACGGCGTGCATGTGGGAGAGGAAGGTGCGCCTACCGTTTCAAGTTTAGTCTCCCTGCCTGCGCCGGGATCCACATCTTCATCCCAGCCCGCCCATCTTTTCCAGTCGCCGTGTACCCGTCCTCTCAGAACCTTCAACACCGTCCTCCTCGCTGCTGCATCACCATTGCCGCGGCCACTCATCTCCATCTCGTCGCGCCCATCTCAGGGCGGGCTCCCGCGTTGTGCCTCCGACTGCCTCGACTACTTCACCGGCCTGTGCGACCCCTTCAGCCTCGTGCCCGTCCTGCCTCGTCGTTTGGTGCTCGCCAGCTCTCGACCGGCCGCCCCAGCCAAAGACACGCTCGTCACATCCACCACCCCGCTCCCTTCGCTCTCCCCATCTCCCGCGCAATTGCCCGCTGTCTGCGCTCGTTCGTCGTCGCCCGAGAACCTCTCACAACCCGCCACCAGCATGTACAACGCTCACCGCGGCATGGTCCCCCAAGGAGGGCCGTCCCAGCGCCTCAACGAGCTGTTGGACTCCATAAGGGCCGAGTTCGAGACTGAGTCTCAGCGTAGCGTCGACTATGAAGGCCAAAGTAAGTCCAAGTTGATATGTTTCCTCGCAGGCGCTCTTGTTTCAGCCCGCTTGAGGTGGCGATAACCGTTTGTGGAATCTTCATTCGGGTGGCTTCTGGCGCGTTCAAGTTCTGATGAATTTGACAAACCCGAAACTACAAGCAATGCCGTGAACGCGTTGCGCGTGCCTTTTGCACCAGCTTGTGAGAACCATGGCTAAGCACCCTACACACAGTTACTCGACACATCCAAGAAATCGAGATGATTCGTGGAAAGGTCTACGCTCTTGAGCAGCAGCATATCTCAGTCAAGACAAAGTGAGTGGGCATTCCTCTCGTGTGTATCCGGCGAAGGCCCTGTTTACGCATGCACTATGTCAATGTGGCACAGCTCCGGGCTCGCACGCATTGTGATGGCAGGAGTGAGGTTAAGGTTTATATGTTTGGTCCTCGCCAAATAGTTTGATGACTTGCATCCGCAATTGCTATTGGCGCAGAAGGCTTGGTTGAGCTATCTGGCAGGTACCAAGCATACAAAACTTACCCCTGCCACCAGTGTAGATCCTTGCAACGGACCATTGCTGACAACTAAATAAAGGTATGAGGATGAGATCGCGCGTCTTCAGCGTGAGTTGGAGGCCCGTGGTGGACCCAGCCAGTCCTCACAACATCACGGCCCGTCTCAACCGCCTCCCCCCTCAATCGGCCATGGCCCCAGCAACCTGTTTGGCGGGATTATGGCTGGTAGTGCGGCTCAAGGTGGCCCTGGACTTGCCCCCCCTCCACAGGAACCTCCGCAACCCCAAGGCCTTCCGCCTCATATGCCTCAGGGTCCTCCTGGATTGAACACTGCCCCAGGACCTCCTCAGCACTTTGGTGGGTATCAGCCCGGCCCCTCGGTCAATGGTGAGCTTCCTACTTGCCTCTCTTGCTACCGAAGGAATGGTGATCGAGGCACTGACTGAAACTACACTGCGTCGGCCGTTCGGGAGTGTCATGAGAACAGTATTTTAAGCTAACACATGTTCAGGATATCCGCAGCCCACTGCTTCGCCCGGCGGGAAGCCGCGTGGAGGTCCGCCTCGAGGTCCACCAGGGCCGGCAACGCCCCAGCAGAACTCAGCTGCCCCCTATCCTGGCTCTCCCCAGGTCCCACGCCCCACACCTCCCCCTAATCAACATCAGAACTCCATTCTAGCAGCGAGTCAGGTTCCGTTGGCCCAGAGCAACACTCTCGCTGATCTCGATATTGAGCAGCTGCCAGACAACCTCAAGAAAGAGGGCCAAGACTGGTTTGCGGTTTTCAATCCTCGTGCAAGGCGAGTCTTGGATGTTGACCTGATTCATAACCTACCCCACCAGAGTGTGGTGTGCTGTGTCCGCTTCAGCATTGATGGGCGGTATGTTGCTACGGGGTGCAACCGTTCAGCTCAAATCTTCGATGTGGAAACGGGGAATCTGGTTGCGCATCTCCAAGATGGCACTCTCCCTGAAGACGGTGACTTGTACATCCGTAGCGTGTGCTTCAGCCCCAACGGCATGTACTTGGCTACAGGTGCCGAGGACAAAGTTATTAGGGTAAGCTGACTGCTGGTCCTAGGAAGCACATACCTCGTAGATGCTTCATCCCACGAGCTACTTTAACTAACGGTACTAGGTCTGGGACATTCAGTCTCGCCAAATTAAACACCAGTTCACTGGCCATGAGCAAGATATCTATTCCCTAGACTTCGCTCGCAACGGACGGATAATTGCCTCTGGTAGCGGGGATCGTAGCGTTCGGCTGTGGGATCTGGAGAGCAACAAACAAGTCCTCCACCTATCAATTGAGGATGGTGTCACAACCGTGGCCATCTCTCCAGACAATCGCTTTGTCGCTGCCGGTTCTCTCGATAAGAGTGTCCGCGTTTGGGACGTGGCTACTGGACAACTCGTCGTCCGCCTCGAAGGAGAATTCGGACACAAGGATAGTGTCTACTCTGTTGCGTTCGCTCCCTCTGGCGATAAATTGGTTAGCGGCAGCTTGGATAAGACAATCAAGATGTGGGACTTGTCACCACCACCTCGCATGATGCCCGGCGGAGTCCCGGGTGGCCAGTGCATCCGCACCTTTGAGGGTCACAAAGTAAGCATTCCCCCAAATATCCTTTCGAGTGATGTCGAAGCGGTGGCATTAGGAAGAATTAGAGCCTGACAACAAAACTTGAATAGGACTTTGTTTTGAGTGTCGCCCTCACGCCACATGGCGACTGGGTATTGAGTGGCTCCAAAGATCGTGGCGTCCAATTTTGGGATCCTCTTTCGGGTGTCGCCCAACTCATGCTTCAGGGTCACAAGAACTCAGGTAAGCCGTCCAGCAATTTTACGCAATTCCCTAATTCCACCTGTTATTTGATGGCTGCAAAGCAGCACTCTGCATTGTCCAACGATGACATGCAACCTTGAAGGGGACTTCGCTAATATGAATTTACCTTCAGTTATCTCGGTTGCTCCAAGCCCAACAGGAGGCATCTTCGCCACGGGCAGTGGCGACATGCGCGCCAGAATCTGGAGGTGAGTGATATATCGATTTCTTTTACCCCTGGACCGGAAGCCGCGCATTTTCACAGAGGCAGGCCTTTCTCCGCCGCATGATCGTCATAGTCTTGCGGTCGTTTCAAAGGTCTCTTACGTGTCTGTGGGATTCCCCTTCAAAGTTCTGCAAACGGGGAATGTTCCGTGCGGGGCTTGGCGCTGGTTTCTGTCTCGTACCCAGCACCCCACCCCGCCTCAACACGCAATTGACCCCCACGTGGACGGCGCCACAAGGTGACTGAAAGCGAGAACGGGGAAAGGTGGCGTGGGCCCGGTCTTCGGCGCTGTGGCGCCGGCCAATCCCCCAGCTTACATGCAAGATTGATCTCGCGTCAAGCTTCGTATGCAAGCCAGAGCCCTGCACGCTGCAGCTGCAGTGGTAAAAACATGTCAGACCCCGGCGCACGATATGCGCCACATCCCACAGAGACCGCCATTTCACAGTCCTATTCTCCCAACCCCCACCTCGGCGCGCTTCTGAACGTCCTGTCATTCACCGGCTTACCGTTTGCAACAGGTTCGACAGGTATACTGGACCGTAAACGCTCTTCGTGCATCCTACCCCGGCCCCAGTATCTAGACAAACTCAGTCGGGGACAATGCTACAGCGAGGAGCCTTTGATCTAGTATTTCCTTGCCGTCCAATCAGGAATGCGCGATGCCGGTCTACCCCCTTGCTCTCGGATACAGACTTTGCTCAGCCTCCCTACCACGATGTGCGGTGATGAATTTTCCCATACCTCACTTACCCCTTCCCATCTCTCCCTGTCTCTCTATGTGTGTGTGTGTGTGTGTGTGTAGGTAGGTGGGTGTTCTCCTGTTTCTTTCGATGTATGATGGTGGCTACATGGTCAGTAATGGATCTATCTTTTCGTCTGGACTGGACTGGGCTTAACTTGACTTAACTTGCAACTGAAAGGTAAAATATCTTCCATTCCAGCTGCAGGTCATGGTATTCTAGCTGTGGCGATGGTGATGGCGATGGCGATGATTTATGGACTGGTTGGTTGGTTGGTTGGCTGGTTGGCGGTTGGTCTTTTGGAATGGACGACAGGGAAGGAGAGCAGATCAGTGGTTCGAATGGTTTCCTTCTTCCTTTTTCCTTTTTCCTTCCCCGACTCGAATTGGGTCTATCCCTCACCCAACCCCCTTTTCCCCTCAGAGATGAATGAATGGATGGATGGGCAGATGGATGGGCAGGTGGTTGGAGGGATAGGTTAGGGTATCGATGAGCCAGCTAGTCAGTCAGTCATGTAGACAGTGCGAGTGCGAATGCAATGATAGGTGTCCTCTTTCACACCCCCTATCATCTCATCTCATATCTTTTCCAGTTTGATCCGATCACGGAAGCTTCTCCACCGCATTCAAGGGGGAAATTCTCGAACAAATGAAAGGGCCAGTTTCACAACACCATGTTATTCGTATTCTCACTCTGCTTTATTTTTCTCCCTCCCCCTAGAACGTTCTTCGAAGCTGTCGGCCTGTCCTGCCTCAGTTTTCAGGTCATTTGCTTTGCTTTTCCACAGTGCGGAGATGAGGCGATCGGCGTTGTTGGCTTGGAGGACTTCGGAACCGGTCCCCATCCGATTCCACTGTGATACAAACAGGTGATTTGCAGAAAGCACTGACGCACGCACGTTCATAACGACATTGATGCGAGAGAGGGTTGCTTTTGGGATGAAGTGGATGTCTCGCGTATCGATGCGATGGGCTGTTTCATGGCGAGAGTTTGCTTTGTGAGGGTAGATGAATGGGTGGATGGGAAGAAAGACTCTTGTCCGGCAATTGCATGCATCTCATTTCCTCGAAGCGGTGTTGTGCATCCATTCCTGACGGAACGTGGCCTACAGGATGTGCTTGTCTGTGTGGTAAGGTCTTTGCTTTTACCCAGATATGAGGTAAGACAGTGCGATGCTCGCATATCTGTGCGTTCGAGTCTGTACGGAGTTTCCCATGGGGCTGGAAAGGAGGGAGGGTGGGGTTCCGTTGGCGGTTGTGGTTGGCCAGAAGGTGTGTGCAGAAAACGCTGCTGCGTCTTGTACTTGTTGTGGTCTTAGTTGCAGGCGATAGTTTAGTTGATGAAGAGATGGCATTATACTCCGTCGCTGCGTGGATTGGAAGTGGATGGGCTAGGGGAGGATTACGGGCGAATTCATCATTGATCTACATGATGGTGATACTGAGATGAACATGATTGGTAGAATTCGCATATTAGCTACAGCATCCACAATCACGTTCCTTTAAGTTCTGTTTTAAGGCGCGACAAATTGGCTCCTCAATGCTGAATGCATATGAAGCATGCAGCATGTAGCATATACCAAGATTACACACTCATCGTCTGTCACTTGCGAGGTCGCAACGTGGGGATACGAAGGTCGTAACCGGTTTGGGGTGCCGGCTTTTCAATCCAGCCGCCCAAGCCAGGTCGACGACGTCTTTGTCATGGGTCTGGACGTTTGTTGACCTTGACGAAATTCGCGTGGCAAGACTTGGGTGTGTCTCATAAAGTTTCTTTAGAGTGCCTATTCCCGTCGAACCTAAATGGTAATCTCCCGAGTATGGCCATTGCATCTGCATTTCAATTGTATGTTCAGAGAGATCTAAGCTGCCCGTGCGAGAGGCATGTCTGATGAGAAGGAGTTTAGACCGAGTTCTATATCTCGCATGCTCTAAATCTCTCATTAGTGGTTAACGACGCGAGGCTCCAGAAGCTGCAGGTATGATAGCCGATCGCGGCGTTGCAGGACAGTGGAAACTGTAAGCCGTCGCAGGATCTTGCTTGTTGATGGACGGGGTTTGAGCTCTGCAACATCAGCATGTGGAATTATAGTTTTAGCGACGCGCAGTCTTCTTGATCGGTGTGTCGGGACAAGCCGATCGTGTAGGCCGTCCTCGGGACACAGTGCATGTGTAAGTATTATTAGGAATAATATAGTTGGATAGGTGTACAGTCGAGTCAACTTCCTAGACGATTCCAAGACAGGGTATTGAAGCGCAATACCTCGCTTTCGGTGATCGACGGCTTTGGGTTAGATGTCAGGAATAGGAGGAGGAATGCAAACTCAGGTAGGGGCACATGTGTGGGGGTGGGGAAATCTACATGTAGCACGTGAAGAAAAAAGAGAGGTTGGGGGTTCGGCCCGGGACGATGAATATGCGATGGAAGCAGATACGCGGGAATGCCAGAGGATTTCGGTCAAGGTATTCCAGGATTCCTTCGTGGGGCTGAAACGTGCAGCACCTGCCGTTGTTGAGTTTGGTTCTGTTTCGGGTGAGCTGCATTGGTGTGAACTTAGCATCTTCAACAGCTTCACCGCTGGATGCGATGACGAAAATCGTTGAACAAAAGAAAGCAAATGATGCTCCACGGTTGGGGGTGGGAAAATGCAGGCAAGATGAAGCGGTGAGAGCAACAGTATCTGCTTCATCACAAATGAGTTCGAGGTGTGGTCAGAGAAACAACGCCGTCACATCTCTGATATGCACGTCGCCCAATTGGGAGGTCTTGGCATCATCTCCCATGTTCAGGTGATTCCAAGATTCCGGTCGATGCAGGTCCAGGTCCATCCACGATTCCCCGAATAGACTAACGGTAATCAGCAGATATCTTTTGCTGTGCCAGATTCTCACAGCTGAGCTTTCCCCCAAGCTGTGTATCTCGCATTAGCCGGGCGAGCCAGATGCGATGGCCCTGAGAGAGCCGATCGGAGCCAAAGATGTGGAGCTTTGCCGTTTCAAGGAGGGTCTGCAGGACGCTATGAGGAGTGTCTCACGATTCATCTCGACATCATGCTCGGTCGACTTCTTCAGGGCGAATAACATCGCTATTTTGAATGATCGCGTCAAGCCTGGGGTTGGTGCTAGCGTGGGCACGCGCGGCTGGCCTGTTGGTTGGGTACCGATTGCACGCAGCTAGATCCTGCAACGCCTTGCTAGCGCGCAGATTTGGCGCTGACAGGGCGGAACAGTGGGGCTTTGGGATATGAGGAAGTCACTGTGTCGTACATCGTGAGGAGAAGGAACAGGGGTGCTGGATCTCGGTAGCCAAGGTCCGGAGCTGATGGCAGGCAGATGCTGAAGATACGGTGCAGGGGCTGGAGATCGTGAAATTGTGCGCTTAGCTGATCGAATGTGATGAAGTGAAGCTGCTCGGAAATAAAGATGTGACGACTTTGCCATGCTACCCTGAGACTGTACACAAGCATGTCACTGGCGATAACAGGGTATACGGATCCGTAGTCGCAAGGCATTTCGCTCTGTCACAGCGCAGTAGGCGAGTTACTAAAGCCCCTGAGGTCGGCGATCCTACCTTGGGCATCAAGTCACATTAATAATATCATTAGTCTTAGGGAGGGAAATCGCATTCGGGTTTAGTCGTTGAAAGACTGGCACGACTACAGGTGAGAGGGGGGAGAGAGTTCTTAGGAAGAATGACTTGTGATGAGGGGTTAGAGGTCATGGGGCTTCGATGATGGATGCCAGGGAATGAGGACGCGCGAATAAGGAAGGAGCTCGTCCCAAGGTCGGGCAAGAAACTGGCACGGCAATGAAATGGATTCACTAAGACCTTTGCTCGTTCTTGGTCTCCCTGATGATCATAGAGAAACGAAATCAGTTGCCTGAGGCGAATTTACGGGCTAGCTTTCTTTCCGTCATTTTCTGATTCCTCATGGGTGAAATTTATGCAGAATGAAAGGCTCGTCTCTGGAGACTCGAAGTAGCTTGCCGAGACATCAACCCTCTTCTCGTTTCCATGATATTTCTACTCTATACTTGAACGGAGCCCGTTGGTGACCTAGTCGGTGAATTGTAAGGCTATGTGGCCTGCGATACAGAAAGGATTAGCTACAAGATCTAGATCGTCGCAAATAGGGGTATCCCATACCTCGAAGTTCTATATTCACTAAAGTCTCTGGGAGTGAACAGCGATCCAAACAATCTTCCATCCTCTTCTTTGCGATAATCCCAGATTGTTGAAGCTCCCCAAGCTCGTAGTAGGACGCCATGTTGTCTAACGAATTAGCATAAGGAGCTAGCAAGGCAATAGCAGAGGAACTCACAGTTTCGACTACGAGATATCTTTTCGGAGCTCGAGGTATGCTGCGGAATTTCTAGATGATAGCGAAAAAACTGACCCCATGATGCAATCAAGGCGTCACTTAGTTTCGTGATGTCTTAAGGGAGCCTCTTCCAGCTGCTCCTCGATGCTAGTACACGGTTTCATGACAACTCAATCAGGTGTCGTGGCCGTGTCAAGCTGGATTTGGAAAAGTTCAACGTTGCAAGTCATGGCAGGGGGACTTGGTAACAAGATGTTAGAAAGTTTCTCGGAGCCAGGAGAAGACCAGAATCCGTGGTAGAATTCATATTTCCCCTGCGCCTTTCCTTTGCGTTTAAAGCCTGACATAGCCATATTCCCACATGACGAGCTATGAAATTGTGGTATCAGCAGCCCGAGGGCAAGGGCTGCTAACCGGACCGAAAGTTATGCTTCTTTGAATGTCTGTGTCTCAACTCTGTTACTCGAGAATGGGTGGAGGGGGGCGATGATGCCACGACGGGGAAAGGGAGATGTATTTGCAAGCATGAGGCTGGTGAGCGAAACAGAATATCGATGGCTGGCAGAAAGCTGGCTGAGCTGAGGAATAGTGATCATGTAGACTCTGCAGAAGGTGGAGATAGCATGGAGGTGCACAGACCCTTGGTGAAGGCGAGATCTAAAAGCATCTCAGATCTGCATCCGCAGCAGGAGCAAGATTCGTCTGGACACACCAATGCAGAAAATGATCGGAAATTGCGTGGCTCGGGACCAAGGCTTCTGCGGACCGCAGTCCTGATGCCCGAGCGCAGTGAAATTCTTGCTTTATTGAATCGGAAGACGAGGGCATAGTTCGAAATGCATCTACCTGACGCAGGAGGTGTAGGGCACCCTTGTTGATCTTGTGTAGGGAGACCGGGAGAAGCACTGCATACTGGGGAAGTGTAGTCGTAGGCTGCCGGGGATATCTAACCCGCTTGCTTTTATTCTCAATTAAGGAAGCAGGTAAGAGGCGAATTTGCATGATGAATGCTTTCAAATTCGCACAGAGGTCATTCGAGATCTCAGGAGTACCGGCTAGCTGTGCGGCTTGTCTCTCCCTGAAGAATCGCCTTGTCGTGCTCATGCGGTCACTGTCAACCGAGCGTACCCGGCAGCCCACGAGCTACGTTAAAGCAGCAGCTGGGCTTGCAATGAAAGTATCAGGTTGGCAAACAATCAACTTGATCGCCGAATCTCAAAGTTTATTCAACATATCTCCCGGATATGTAATGGGCTGCATATACGGCGCAGAGCCGATAGGTGAACCGACAAAGAAGCAGTATGGTTGTTCCGTGCCGCTTTGGTCTTGGAGCTCTCATCAGTCAGTATGAGAGTGAATTACGGTTCTAGACGCGCCTTGTGTATTAATTCCCTATTCCCCATTCGAAATACCTTGCATTTGAAGCCGCTTCGCGATCATGGATCATTACACGGTAGTACGATGCGGTCTAGATAGGGTTTCCCGAGGGACTGGGAGTGGCGAAGGGGGAAGCTCGTCGGGGTCGTACGAGAATGCAGGAAGCAATTGAGCCTCAATGGAACCGTGGAGATTGATTCTCTCGATTGAAACGGATACCCCTTGTGATGTGATCTGACATGATCTGATCCTAGGTACGGAGGATCGAGGTTCAGCGAGCCGGGTGGAGGTGCTTTTTGGTCGGCTGATAGGCGTGGGAGATGGATTGGTTCTGGGTGAAGTATCCCCACTGTCCGGCCTGGCGAGATGCCCTTCCTCTCCTCAAGTTCGTGGGATGCAGTAGTATTGGCTGCGATGGAGTAATCCCGAGTAGGTATGGCGAGTTGCACGTTCTACGATCGGGTCTCGGTGACGCAAACTCTATCGAGATGAGGCTTTGCGGCTGCATTTCCTCCCCATCAGCTGCGGCTTGTAATGCAAGATATGGGGTGATCGTAAAAGCCACGAGGCGACGCATACCCCAAAGACTTGCACCAAACTGATCTTCTCCTGCTGCTCGATAGCATCAATATAATCCCCTAAATGCAGAGAGTGAATGTGGAATGAAACCGGCGAGCTGAAACATGGCGCCTGTCATGAGAGCAACACTTGTAGATCAACAGCCTAGCAGTCGTGTGGAAGCACCGTTGGCGAAAGTTGACAGGCCGTCATCTCTCTCTGAAGGTGTGGCGTTGGAGGTGGTTGAATAGACTGGAGGCCTAGATTACCGCAGTGACCGCTAGTTTCGGTGTTGATACTGGATACCAAAACCCTTTGGCAGTCTGGAGGCGAACTCTTGGCGAAGTTGACGCCACGTCTCGATAATCATGTTGGCGGATGAGGAATAAGTGGCCACGAGCTCGTGGCGATAATGAAATCGATATCATCTCTACCTGTGAATCTCGCACGCAGGAGCTGAGCGGGCGGCAAAAAGGAGGAATAGCTCCGTCGGATGCAGATATCATTGCACGGAGGGATCAAGTTTGGGAGAATTGCAGTCACGAAAAGAAGTAAGTATGATCTACTGTTCTCGAAAGTTAACCAGTGGAGCTTGGAAGCGGTCAACGAACGGATCTACTTCTTTTTCCGGGAAGATTGACGTGCGTGTAAGGCTGGCAGGGGGACCGTAGGTTGCAGACACAGTGGACTTGAAACGACGCGCCATTCGGACGTTGGTGCGTAACCTGGCCAGAATGTGGAGGAGTGAGGCTTGCTGGATGCGCTCAGTCCTTCCGTATATGCAGGTGAAATGGAGAATGGAAATGAATAGCGATGGGCAGGCCTACGTGACGACAATCAGTCCTCATAGCTCGTAGCCCGAGGATCGAGAGTGCAAGGTCAACGCCGGTGACAGACGGCCAGCCTCGTCCAATTGGAGCAGCAGAACGAGGTCTGGGCGATGCAGTCATTGGCGAGAGACATTCTAGCTCACACCGCCGAAATGTGCCCGATGAGGCCGCAAGTGTGGGAGAATTAGACTCGGAAGAACTCGAATATGGTGGGTGGTGGTGTTGTCTGTCACTCCTGGAATGGATGATGGCGTCGGCCGTTGCGTAGGGAGCACGTGTCGTGATACTGATGGCGTTCTGGGATGAGGCTGAGTATGACGCTCAAGCCAGCGTCATCGCCGTTTGATAAGCCAGGCTGCCGACAGGTGATTGATTTGCTTCTCCGCGGCTGTTGGTGGAGACATCCAGATGCAGCAAGCCAAAGCCAAGGTCAACATGATGTCTCTTGGCAGCAGGGGCCATCAGAAAGAGAGATTTCCAGGATACCCCAAGTAAGGGGGAAATGGGGCACGGTGATCGGCTGCGTCCGCATTGACTTCAAACTGGGCGGTTTACCTATCCTGATTAAGCTTGACAGGAGGAGGCTTAAGCTGTTCAGACTTGCTGTCAGCCAGTGAGCGGCGAGAGTGGGGTTTTGCAGTGGCGTGGGGGTGCTCGCTTCACGGAGACGCATGCTGAGGCGCGCCTTCACCGTTGAAGAGTCTGGAGGGGTTGGATGGCGGAGGGGCGTCTTGCGCCGTATCTGAGCACTGCTTGAGGAGCTCGAGTAAGAGGCGGCGAGTGCATGGGTCGCTCAGCTATTCTTTCTGTCGTTGGGTTTGAGGTTAAGCTGTGTTCTGAGCGCCGGGTGTGATAGGGATTTCGCTTGCCATGAGCCGAAAGGCCCGCTGTTTGATGGTCGTGCCCGGCGGATCATTTTCGACCCTACCGGAACGGAAACGGACATTTGTCACGACTCACAAGCCAAACAATAACACACACACACGTTCTACCCCATTAATAGAGCATGCGAAAGAGTCTTGCTTGAGGCGGATGTCGCCTGTCGCAGGCAAGGATGCTCACTCTGCCTCCAGACTGCTTTCGGCCTGCTTGTGTCTCCAGTGACGACAAGGGGCCGCCCAACTATTCTCCTATTGGCTGTCTTCTCATGCTCTAATTGGCTGTTAGCAGATGAGATCCTGCACAGGGACGGAAGGCCGAGCAGCATCTTGCAAATCCTGGCCTCACCAACAAATGCGAGCTCACCTTCACGGTTGTCAGGGGACGCTTTGCCCCAATCTCTCCAATACGCGTAGGGCTGCCACACCATTCCAAGGCAGTCTCTCTTGGCTGGTGAATATTCGCTCCAACCTCGTGATGCTCCCCTGTAGCACGTCTGGGCCTACTGCAGGTCCCCCGATTTGGATATCGATTCTCGCACCCCGGCTTTTGACCTGCGTGATCGAGTGCCCGGGAAGAGATCTTGCTGCGGTTGCTTGGCTATGCGGCAGGCCTATGAGTTCATCACAGACAACTCTTACACATGTTTGATCGTGAGGCAAGATCAGCGGAACGAGTGCGCTCACCCTGAAGCGGTATACGATACCTTGGCAGGATTTGGATTTGGATTGGCTTCCGAGCCGTCATGTAGCTTGCCTTAAAGATCTAGGTAAAATACGAGACCCAGCAGCATCCCAGGATGCCAAATTGTTCCGCTGAGCGGTTTCTACTACCTGCCTCCAACCCCTCCAAGACCTAAGCGTGGTCAGGTGCGCAGGACTGAGAAAAATAACTATGGCATCCAGCTTCATCTAGCCTCTCGATCGCCAAACACGCTTCTGAAAATGCATCCGGAACCCGATGCCAACATGAGGTCTAGACTGAATGTAGAAAACGGCCGTGGACATGCGAGGCGTTGTTGCGCGCCATGCCGGACTCGAAACGATTGCAGATAGTTTGAATTTGATTTTTCCTCGAGGAAACCCAGAGTCGAGCGGTTCTCGGGCGGTCGCTGATGGCTTCACGATGTTGAGGTTGAGAAATTGCTCCGGCTGGTCGCTTGTTGTTTCCAAGTTCACTGCGCAATGCAACGCCAATTAATGAGCCCCTGCGCCGAGGACTTGCAGCCAGGCCCATCAGGCTTACAGGACGGTTTGAGGCGGCTACATTGGGGGCATTGCATGGGAGGGGGCAGCCCTGAAGTTAGGATCAGCGTTAGTCAGTGACCAGCCTTGCAGGAGCAGTTGGGAGACAACGGCAGGAGGGGGCAAAGAGACAAATTAGGAATGAGACAGGAGTAGTAGAGTTCTGGAACCATGGCGCGTTGAGTTCCGATCGAGGCTGCACGCAGCCGTGGTAATGGGTCAACGTTAGAAGTACCATGGCTGCGAGGCGCGCGAAAAGGAATTATACGGGCTGCGTTAAGGCCATGGGAGAGTCCGGGCAATCTTCCAGCGATGACAGCCGCGATGAGGTCGGCGATTGAAGTGGCAGTATTGTGCGTGATGGGATCATGGTACAGCAGGTGGCCGCTACACTGGCGTCTGATAGACAGCAGCGGGTTTGGAGGAGGGGGGAGGGGGAGGGGAAGAGATGAAGCCGCTGCGCAAGATGAGCTGCAGGTGGCCCGAACAGGAAATACAGATGAAGCGAATGGCGCTGGAAGGAGCCGGGAGGAGCAGAGATGTGAGGGGAGAGGCGGTGTTTGAGGAGCGACAAATTGGATCAGGGAGATGACAGATCCAAGGAGTTGGGTTTGCCCGGCTTCCCCCGCGCGGTGGCTTGAGCTTGACTGCGGAGAGGGAGCGCGCGGCGGGAGGGTCGATGTCCGCGTTGATTGGACCGGGAGCCCCCTGTCGTTGTGAACAAGTAATGTTATTAGCAAGCTCTTCGTTACGCGCACAGATATGCCCGCAGCCAGAGCGCCCTTGGCGGCCAACCTTACCCGTTCGGGCGGGATGATGCTGGCAGGCCACTTCGACTTCGACCAAAGACATCGCCAGACGCCGCAGCGCGTTCTCAACAGCACTGCAGCAGCACTGCAACTACCGCAGTGCAGCGCCCGCCGAGAACAGGTCGCCCTCACTGGAACTGCTATTGGCTGGTCGCGGACCCCGCCGTTCGCCAGACGGACAGCACTCCAGCTGCCAGAGCGCGGCTTGCGACGGGTCAATGGCGACTGCGCAAGTGAGGCTGGTGAGGTTACAGGAGCCGTGATGCTCCGGCCGCGATAATTCCTCTTCCTGTTCGCTGCTGCAGGTACAGGTACGCATCGCAGCGGCTGTCTGGGAGTCTGTGTGTCTGCCGTCGTCGACCTCGGGAGCATGAGTCGTGCCCCCGATTTTGTTTTCCTACCGCTGTCCCGGAACCCAGAGCGACCCAGCTGGAGGGCGCCCATCAACGCCTGCAAGACCGCCCAAGGCTCTCCTGAGGGTGGCACTCCCGCACGCTTTCCCGTCTGACAACCCAGGGTCCGCTGGCTGTTCCACTGGCTGTCCCTCTAGCTGTCCCTCCAGCCAGGGCGCCCGAAACGTGCTTTCAGGAGCACTCACAAAGCCTTCATTACCTAAGGCGAGGCCCCCGGAGTGGCCTATTATTGCCGTCTGCGACAGTCCAAGGCGCAGAGGCGTATTGGCCTTCCGCATTCAACGATGACGGGCGCGAGATTCCGCGGTGCCATGAGGCTCCCGGCTCATGGCTCCCGGCTGATAGGCACGGTACGTATATCTGCGAGTGAGGAGAGCGAAGCAAGTCGTTTCGGGCGCGGCCGAGGCCACCGTGAGCTGGATGAGCTTCGCCGCCGCCATCTTCTGCATCCACGTGGAGCCGTCCTGGGGAGACTGTGCCTCGAGAGGCAGCGAGGCCGGTTTAGAGATTTGGCACGACGACGGGGACGCGGCCAAGAGAGCGCAGCGATCCCCGCCGGGATTGAGCACCCCGTCTCCACGCTGTTGGCGCGCCTGGATGGATCTTCGTGCCTCCAATTCGTGGGCGTTACGGCCTGCCAGTAGTGCTGACGAGCCTGCGAGATCGAGTGACACCTTCACAGCTCTCTCTCCTGCAACATCTGCCCTCTCTCCATCACGGCTCTACAAAGCACTTCACAGAGCTTCCCAGTACAGCTGGAGCCCAGGAACACCGCTGCTTGAGAATAATTGCGTCGACAAACCGGCTCGATAATGCTGCTGCTGCGTATTGTGTCCTCCATGGCGCTCTGCTCGCTGTCCAATGGGACTCGCCTTGGGCTTCTGTCTGAGCGGAAAACCCCCACACTCACAGTGCACCTGAGACCTGCCCTTGTGCAGCCACTGTCCGCCCGTTCACACCACTGGAGCGAGGCCCTGGTCCTGTCCCGATCAAAGCTGCCTCTCGAATGCAGCACTGGGCACTTTCATGGTTGGGGATCTGAATCCCCCCGGTGGCCCCCCCATCCACGCCGCAGCCTGCTTCTCTGCCACAAGCAGGCCCTCCCTCATGGCCATCCCAGCCCTCACTAAAACAGCTGCCTCATGCCGAGCGCCGCTGTGGCCCTCTCCCCATCACTCCTTGGCTGCATGGTAGAGCGAGTTGCTTGTTCGCCGTCCTGCAGCAAAAGTGGTCTCGATCTCCGGCTGTCCTCCCTGTCCCTAGCTCTTTCGGACTGCTCCACAACATCGTCATCCTTGCCGTTCGCGGGATGCGAAGGAGAGGCTTCTCATCGGTCATCTATATCTAAACCCCCAAACTCTCCCCCAACCACACACGGCACTCAAACAAGCTCTGCATATCTTCACCTCATGACCACATAGCTCCCACGCCGTCCGATCTCGTCCCTTCTTCGCCGACACATCGCTTCTCCACACTGTTTTGATACAATTGTACCCGCTAGCCTTCGGCTTCGTCTACCAGTGCTATCCGTAACCGCTCGCTTCTCAGCCATCCACCTTTGGTAAGGCATAAAGCCTCTCCACCCCACCGCTGCCTGCCCTCCGGTCCGCTCTTTATCAACAATGGCTGCTGTCGTTGCATCTCATCACGCTGGTCTTTGGCAACGCCGAACTGACCAACCCATCCACATCCCAGCCATGAATATGTCGGGCATGATGTCCTCATACGACAACTCGTCTAGGACTGTCACCAATCCACCAACATCGAGAACCTTCCAGGCAACCGCCGCTCATATGGACATCAGCATGCCTTTATTTTCCGCTCACACTCTGACCACTTCCGTGCCCTATCAGTCCGGCGCGTTTGCATTCGACTCACTTTCGGTAAACCCATATAACATGCAGACCACCTTCAACTATCCACCGACACTTTCCCACGCTGTTACATACCAAGGAACTACGGATTTGCAGCCCCTCCCCACGGTACGCGAGGCCCGGAACGGTTTCCCAATGGAGAGGACCCCGCCCGTAAAGTCAGAGACGAACTCCCCTATTCAGCCTAACCAACTGTACCACGATTCTTCTTACAGTGAGCAGAGCTCCGAGCCTACTGAAAACAGCAGTGGTATCAATTTCGCTACGGATGTGGACACCCTGATGAGAGCGATTCAGGCCAAGTCAAAGCAGCCTGCTCCTCCACCACGACCTCAGCCAAAGGTATGCAACTTAAGCCAAGTTGTGAATGCCAGGATCGAAAGCTCACTTTCCTCACAGGAGGATGAGGCTAAAAACGGAAAGCCAAAGAAGAGGTATCAATGCAGCATGCCAAACTGCAACAAGAGCTTCTACCAGAAGACTCACCTCGAGATCCACACTCGAGCTCACACTGGCGTGAAGCCTTTCGTAAGTACCTGTATCATTGACGCAAAGGAAAGATACTTATTGCTACTCTAGTTATGCAAAGAGCCGTCGTGCGGTCAACGATTCTCTCAACTTGGAAATCTCAAGGTTAGTCATGTCTGCAAAAAGCCGTGACATCCACTGATTATCATAGACTCATGAGAGGCGGCACACCGGTGAGAGGCCATACAACTGCGACATATGTGGAAAGACGTTCGCACAGCGAGGCAACGTTCGTGCCCACAAGATTGTTCATCAGCAAATCAAGCCGTTCACTTGTAAGCTCGATGACTGCGGCAAACAGTTCACCCAGCTTGGTAACTTGAAGGTACACTTTCCTGAAACTCCCGCCATCGTCACTGATTGCTCATGATCTGTAGTCACACCAAAACAAGTTCCATGCTACGACTCTCCGCTACCTGACCACAAAGTTCGCGTCTATCCGCGAAGGTGACCAAGTAACTGCCCAGGACAAGGAGCTCTGGGAATACTTCGCCGGATTATACAAGAATTCCAACAAGGGTATCAAAGGCCGAGGTAAGGATAGGAGGATATCTGCTGCTCCATCCTCGGCAGTTTCAAGTTCTTCCTCGTACACATCGACTGCTACCGTAACCTCGGGACACCAAAATTACTCTGGATCATTCCAGCACCCTGTTAGCGACCGCAGCAGCCGCTGCTCCTCCCTTTCGTCAGATACTACCCATAGAGCCAGCGAAGGCTACGACTTCAACGCTCCGATGCAGGCTCGTTTCCAAGGCCAGCCACATGACTACGACAACATGGTCTTCCCTGACCGAAAGTTATACTGAGGATGGTTACAAAACCCGAAAATTGTACAAAACATACGACAGCGCTGGTTTACGAAACGTATATGAGACGATAATTACTGGAGTTTATGGAACCGCTGGATGGAGTTTGATAGGGCGTACGAGCGTCACAGCCTGGAAGGGTGTTTGTTGCATTGGGAGGGACTACTACTCTGGACCACATGCGAGATGCCACAATTCTAGTGCAGAGATGGGCATCGTTTATTTCTTTAGTTGGAATTTTTGCCGCGACTTAATGCTTTCGGATTACAAATGTTTTAATTGGCTTTTGGTGCCTCTCTTTAAGCACACTTTTGGTGGTTACCATTTGATTGGGGAAGGCGGTAGGACACCTGTGCGGATACCCATGGATACCCATGTTCTCTATCAACTATACTGTACTGTTGACGCAAGGCAAGGGCTCAAAAAAAAAATCTCGTTATAACCTGCTATGTGTACTATTTCCGTACTCTCTGTCTATACCATACCCAATTTCTCGCATCTAATCTATCCCCCAAAATGGGAGGCTATCTACTCATCCCTCGTCGTCTATTGAAGCAAAACCCTGGGTACCACCAACACAACATGTCGACTCGCTCGTCTATGCACTCACACCCTGTCAGAGTGCAGTACTCATCATTCACCGCCCCCTCTCCCCGCAGCGCAGCCCTTACCATCAGAAAGCGAGAAGGCGAAAGTACGGCGAAAGAGCGGCAACTCTGCAAGCCCTCTAGCCTACGTGTGCAACAAATGCAAGCTCTGACACCGCTCATCTGCTCTCGCTCTTCTCAACACTCGCTTGTGCTGGTATCTATGTACATACCGCATACCGAACTGACATGCTGCACGATGTGACAAGATATACCCTGTGGGAATGTACAAACAACAGCAATGTACTGGATGTCCGGACATCGGTGCAAGCTGCACCGGCCGGATGCGATCTGGTCTGCAGTCTGTCGGTGAGTGAGATCTCTATCGCTCGTCTGATAGGAGAGTGGTATCTTGGCCTTCGCAACGCGTTATCGAGTAACAGCCTTATGAAAGATTTCTTCCGCTGGCTGCAGGGCAAAACTGTAATCAGAGTTGTGGACTGTGTAAGCTGTAAACGGGAGCTAATGGTGTTCGTGGATGTGGAGCGGGCACCAGCACGGGTCAGAAGTTCGCTGGGGATAAGATTGTGCAAGTAGGGCCGAATAGAAATCGCTAGATCTCTGCGCAGTATAACGGGCTTGCAGCGTCCCTGTTGTCAGTCAATGACATACATTCGCATTGTCGCAATGGAACCACACACAAAGACAACACAGCGAGCTGTCAGTCAATAAGCCAAAAAAGAAAGTCGCTGAAAGGGAAAGCGAAATCTAATTCGAACCACCTCACGCGTCTGTCGTCGACAAGCCAAACCCGGCTGACCAACTTGCACACACACTCTCAGTTTATCGTCTCCGACCGGCGGGCGCCACAAACGAAGAGACTTCTGCTGGACTGCTTGCGTGCTCGTCTACGCGGCGCAGGACTGCGTTGTGCTTCTCCTCACCTCACACACCTTGGCGCAACCGGGGACTCCTTCTCCCAGACAGAAACTCGCTTCACTTTGTCCAGGCCATTCTCCGCGGATGACCCCAACTCTCAGATTGCAGATTGCCAGTCTACCCGCCATCGCGCAGCAATATCCCGCGCCGAGCTCTCACAGTCCACACCCACATACTTGCACTTGCAGACGCATCTCCTCACATCCAATCTGCACCGCTCTGCACCGCTCTGCACAACTGCCTGCACGCACACGCTCCCTGAGCAACAACTGGGCATGCACCCCAATACGCAACCTCGTCCGTCCCCGCCACTCGCTTAGCAATCCAATGACACATTCCCGCTCTGCTATTCGTGGTGGTTCCCGAGACTCGGGAACCGATTTTGGGGGCGCTTCAGATCCTCCAGACACTCCACTGATTGCATCGAGAATCTCAGCTGCGATGCATAGGGTCTATGTCATGAATTGATCGCTCAGCTCATTTCTCGTCAGGATGAACAGGGTGCTTGCCGGGGGTTTCGAATTAATTTGGAAGGTATGACGTATACGGCTAACAGACCGAAGAGTATACGAAGTAGATGTAACGTGAGAATTTCAGAAGCCTCATTTTTTGTGAGGGTTTAATGCTACTAGGGAACATTGGCGTGTGGCAATTTGCAAAGACGAAGCGGCGATAAGTCCTGGCCCGAAATCTGTTACTGATCGACACTCTTGCAGTCGAGTGCAGATCAGAAGAGGAATTTCAGGGCGGGAAAAATAGTCAAGATCTGCCTCCCCCCCCCTCAATGACGTCTTTCCTCTCCACTTTAGAACATGATTAGTTGGAGATGTGACTACTGATGACATGACAGACTTCCCGAACAGAAAGTGAGGCTTTTTTGAGAGTCGAAACTGGGGTTTGGTCTGTGGATGGAAAAGTTGGCGGGGAGAGCAAGATGCTGCAAGCCCAGATGAGGGCTGCAGTCGGGACCACGGGACCACGGGACCACGGGTTGTGTACTCAGAACTTGGCACGGTCGCCGGACGGCTTGCCCAGCGCAGGAAGGACAGTGTGGGCGGAAGAGTGGGAGCGGGGAGGGATTGGGAGATGCAAGACAGGGATGAGGGGCCATGCTTATCGCGACGACAAGCAGCCCTGAAATACGACGCGCGGTTTTGGCTGTACAGAGCGCCTAACAATACTGGCAGGCAAATTTTTTCACCGCTGCCAGAGAGAGATGCCACAGCTGGAATTTTGTGGCTTCGCAGGCAGCTGAGTGGACTGGGATGTTTAATACGTCGACATGGTGTGGCAAGTTGTGAGGGCGACCAGGTCGAGAGACAGGACGGGTCAGGGTCAAGCACGTGTCACGGGCAGTGGTGGCTTTAGATTCAATTCACTCAACTGCGACAGGATGAGTAAAACCTCGCATGCGGCTTTCCAACTTCTCTGATCTCAACCACCCCCAGGTCGCGACATCGGAAACTCGTGATTCGCTCCTCAGTCTGCCTCCCCGCAGCCACAATTGGGGGTTTCCGCAAACCGTTTCCCACGTCTTGTAAATCCCGCTCTCACCACTTAGTCGACTGAACAGACAGTCAGTCACGACATGCTGGTGACTTGTGCCCTGCCCTGCCTTGCAAGGGTTGTTGTATATGACACTTGACTCAGCTAGACCGATCGGGACGCCGTTTCCAACTTCCCCGAATATCGGCGACCCCCGCCTCTCATCCTCATCTTGGTCAAGGACGCCCAGGCCAGCCCCGGGAAGCCGGCATGATTTTCCCCGAATAGAATCCTTGTTCATCTTGCGCCCCAGCCCTCCCAAGGCCTCGGGACTGGACATGGGAAATTGGGGTAAGACCAAGTCACGAGTCACGCAAATACGAGAACGGCAACCCGCGCGTGTATATCGTCTCCAACCCCCAGCTCAAAGCCTTGCTCCTTCGTAATGATGCACACGATGACTGGAATTCACAAAAGGGGTTTCAGAGTGAGCTAAATTGGGGATAAGGGCATTTCGGATGGATGCAGACGAGTGGAATAGGAAAGCTACCGACAAGCGTGAGAAATACAGAGGAAAGGTGAAGAGAAGAGGGGAAGGGAGGGGAAGACAGCGCCCTGTTGGACTGCCCTGCGGCGACGTTAAACAGTGTGATTGATGGGTTTGGCAATGATTCATGAAAAACATGGGAGCTTTGTATCAGGCTTTCCGATCCCAGTCCTCCACCTCCTCCCATCAAATCATTTCCACGCCCACACTTCCCCGTACATCTGAAGTGCATGCCATGCCATGCCATGCACTTCATCTCAATCTTAATCCTTCAAGTTACAAGCGTGAACCTCTCGGGACCCAGCACTAGGTTCAAAGGGCGCTCGTGTGCCAGAACGTGCGGGCCTGAAACCTCTGTACCACAGTGACATTTCTCAAAAACCTCGAATCGAAACGTGATGCCTACCTACAAAATCTGGCTTCAGTGGTACCATCTGCGAACTGCGCTTCCCCCATCACATAGTCACCGTCGCACAAGTTTTACGCAAACCCTTTGACTCGGGTGCCGTCTGTGTCACCTTCCCAGAGTCAAACAACATCACAAGTGACGGCTGCGATGCTCCGTGGCGCATTCGAGGCACCCAGATTGGTCGTTCCCGAAGCTACTTTGTGACCGGCTTCCAAGGTCTTGGTCGAGACAAAACGTGAAGAGATGCATGTTGCATCACAGTGGCGGCTTAGGACACACTTCCAGAACCCCCCGGACTCGGTTTCGCCCAAATTTCTCGATTCGATATATTCAGCAGTGAGACCTCTCGGTCAGGTCTATTAGCGCGACACGGATTGGTGGTACTTCGAATGTGGCTAGATAGGACGTATGGGATTCCGTTAAACGTCGATGAAACCGAAGGCAGCCGAGAAGACGCGAACACGGGATGACGAGGAGCCTTGAGGAAAGAAGCGGGTAAACGAACTCCAACAACCTTGAAACCGTTCACGGATTTGACAAGCACCCAGAGAGGGCTAAAGGACCGGCCCGAGGATCAAAGCATTGACGGACTTAACGTTAACTAGTAGTCTAGTATTAGTTAGTTGACCGGCCCGCAATTCGCAAACGAAACTACCACTGCCAGCGCGTGTTGCGGACACGGCCCATCAGTTTAGCGTTTCGGACGGAGTAAATCAAACTCTCTTGAATCTTATCTTAACGCGATTCCGTTCGCTACAAACCATGCAGCCAACATTATCGCATCATTCGAGCCCTGATGGGGGGAGAGGGTCTTCGCGCCTGTCATCAACCCCCGCACAAATCTGGCGAAATCTGGTTGATCGTACGATGTAGCGCAGCAGATCGTAGATTGCGAAGCATCGCGATAAGATCGCGCGGCTATGCTAGGCGGAACAGTTTGACAGGTTGTCTCGTGCTTGCTAGTATCGGTGGTGAATTCCTTATCGCTTCTACTCCGCGGAGCGGAAACGCTTGGAACCTATGAGATAGATGGCCATAAGTCCTGAAAATCATCGACGACCGAGAAGACACCGACGATATAGCACAACTGAATGCAGACATGCAAGAGAAAACTCCGTAGTCACGTGCAAGATCTTAGGAAGCTGCGGCCCAGTGTGTGGCAGCCCTGCAAAGCTCCATTTACATAGTGAGACGATGAAGCTCAGCGATGATATGATTAGATGAAAGCCACAGCAGATAACCCAAAAAATAGAGGAGGGTAGAACGCCGAACAATTTGCATGAGGTAAAATAGAGGCGAATTGGTGCAAAGGAAATCAAGTCTCTCCATGTTACCGATGAGCATCTTTAGACCGGTGTGAGATTGACCCGATTCAGATTAACTCGATTCCTTGAAAGGCAACGTTCCAAGTCAGCTGGTTCCAGGTATATGCCAGTCAGCTTGGCAGCCAGCTGAAAATTGTCTGAAGAGAGTGACGAGTGAAGGGGTTGAGTTCTATTGCATGTGTAACACATCCCGTTCAGCCGACGTGATGATGCATCGTTTCGGGCTATTGTTTCTATTGCCTGAGGACATCGAAAGGTCCCTAGCAACGAGACAAGCTAACCAGGGCACACATTTTCCCCATAGGCACGGGCTCAGGTCGGGAGGCGTGAGCCAGAGAGGCAACGGTCGGGTATCAGGCGTCATGCCAGCATGCTGCACTTGCGCAGAAGGACGTAGACGGAGGCCTGATGAATCACTCATGTAGATCCTTTGCTACGCCAGAAAAAATGTCCACATGGAGTCAAATGTCCCTCCGAGAGATATCTTCTTGCTTGGGAGGACGGAGGATGGTCTGCTCGTCCACCGGCAACTGCAAGTCGTTCCTCGTGACTTGGCGTGAGATTCGTGTGCTAGTTCAACGAGGAACTTCACACTCCAGTCCTTGGAGCAACGCATCAATAGTCCAAGGCCAGCATGAGCCTGCCGCTCCACACTGTTCGTAGGGTGCTCTGGAACATGTCGACGTCGAATGAGTGACAATATTCGGCATATGCCTTTTCCAGACAAAGGTTGCTGTTAGTCCACTCGTCAATTGTCCTGTATATACCAGTAGAGTAGCATTGTACGACAATTAGAGGGCTCGGGCGTGAAATTTTGTTTTCCTTGTCTGGCAGTATCGTCAATACTTCGTAGATGTTGTCCCTTCAAAAGTATCCTATAATTTGTCAAGTAATTAAGCAATGCCATTGGAGAGAGGGCCTGGAGCATGTACAGGACAACAGTGTTCCTGTTTTCGATGCCAAGGGTCATAGGGAGCAGACGACGATGTATATTCGAGAGGGCCATGGTCCGAATGTTCAGGAAAAACATGGAAGGTTGAGAGTTTCTGGACGCAGACCCTGGTGTGCATTTCAGCCAGCACGACCCAGTAATCACCCTCTGAATACGCTCATTTTTCACGCTTCATTCCGATTCCGATGGATCTCGAGACCAAGAGATGGAAGCGTTGAGCGAGGCCAAAACGGGGTCGAACAGCAAAAGGCGGTGTACGGAAGATGTGAAATGCCTCAGAAATGGAATGAGCAGGCCGAAGCTCGCAGTCTAAATATGAGTGCTTGGGGACAATGTTCAGGTGTCGGCCTTTCGAGCATGAGGTGACTTGACGGCCTCTCGGATTTGGAGATTCCGCATTTTAATTAGTCAGACAGATGGGCGCAATTACGCAGTGTGATTGGCTGCCAGCGTTGATGATCTGCATTGGCGACAACTGTTTTTTCGTCGGTGTTAAGGATAGCGCGCCGAGCTCGTCGTGTTTCCTGGCTGTCTGCCACACTTTAATTGCAGAGAAGACTCTCCTTGTCTGCTTGCTTCTCCACCTCCATTCCTTTTGCTCGTTGTGCATCTGCAATTGTAATTGATATTGCAAGCGCGACTTTGCCCGTCGACGCGTAGGGTGAAGCCGCACTTTCTGGGTCAAGCAACTACCCCTACTCCTCCCTCCTGAGACCAAACACCACCTTACACCGGCGGGCATCCTCGCCTCCACAGCAAGGCAAACCATGGATATCGTCCTCGAGCTGTTCGACACCTTTCTATTTGATTCCATCTATGCGACTCTCTTGCCGGCCCAATTCTCCCCCGTCGACGCCAATGCTACTCTCTCCAGCATCAGGGGGCAGCCTACCAATTACCAACCCACTGCGTGGCAATATGCTCCAGCGAGTGACTATATATCCTTCGAGCCGGGAAAATACGCGTACCTCAGTCAATGGGCCCGTAATGACTGGCGCCGGCAGCTTTTGAGCCTGTATATCATCACCTGGTACGACTCCCATCTCACCTCTGCCCGAGGCGCAAACACAACTGACGTCTCATCTTCTAGGATATTTGGTCTAATTGTCTACTTTGTCTTCGCGACATTCTCCTACGTCTTCATCTTCGATAAAGCCACCTTCCATCACCCGAAATACCTCAAGAATCAGATCCGCCTTGAGATAAGCCAAACCAATGTCTCCCTGCCGTTGATGGCCATTTTAACAGCTCCTATTTTCTTCTTGGAGGTTCGCGGCTACTCGAAGCTGTATGACAAGACTGCTGATGGCCCGGGAGTGTGGTATAATTATTTGCAGTTCCCCTTCTTCATCTGCTTCACCGACTTTTTCATCTACTGGATCCATCGTGGTCTGCACCACCCATTGATTTACAAGAATCTTCACAAGCCGCATCACAAATGGATCATGCCTACACCATTTGCGTCGCATGCTTTCCATCCTCTGGACGGCTTTGCGCAGGGCATCCCTTATCACGTCTTTGTCTTCCTGTTCCCGCTCCAGAAGTTTGCCTACGTGTTCCTTTTCGTCCTGGTCAACGTCTGGACTGTTCTTATCCACGACGGAGAATATGTCGCCGACAATCCGATTATTAACGGTGCCGCTTGCCACACCGTAAGTCTCTCTAATCCACCACTTGAAACTTGTTAAGGGAATAACTAATTGACCTGCAAAGATGCACCATTTGTACTTCAACTTCAACTACGGTCAGTTCACAACCATTTGGGACCGCATGGGAGGCAGCTACAGAAAGCCAAACGACGAACTCTTCCGGAAAGAGCTCAAGTTCTGCCAAGCGGAGTGGAAGAGGCAGACTGCCGAGATGGAGAAGATTGTCAAAGCCGTCGAGGGTGAAGACGACCGACAGTATCTTCCCGATGAGACGAAGAAAGTGCGATAGACTCTCTGCGCCGCATGGTGTTGTCTTGGCCCTGGTCTAATAGAAGTACATGCGGTGGATAGTTAGATGGATCCGTCAGGGTAGAGTCGTGGATGATGAATGCGGTTAATAAGACATAAGAGAAGCTCGCGGTAGGTAAAATCTTAGTTGTACATACCTTTCGACGCACTCGCTGCACGGAATCTTTGTGGACATGGGCCCTAGAGGCCTGTTTTAATACGGTGTCAATAGTGGGAATGGTGGTAATTGGTAATGAGGGTGGTATTTGTGGCGACCGCGCCCTTCACTGTGAATATACACGTGTGTCCTTACCTCTGTCTCTAGTTTCGATTGGAAATGGTCGTCTTGCTGACTGAGTGACGAATTGTGACATGCGCCCTATAAAGCAATTGATAACAGTGCTGTGGCATCACGCTGATTCTCTCGGTGCTGAACTAAATACATTTGTTACCGTGAGTGTGTCTGTCCTCCATATAATGGAATGAACCTACCAACTGGCCTAGGATTCTAGCCAGTGTCTTCAAAGACTTTCTGAATACTCGCAGCCGCAGGGGAACGGGTAAAGGCTAAACAGTGTAGTTATGTAACTCTAGGTATCTCTGTTTTCTTGCTTTATGTAATGAACCCGTTGGCTTCGTCACAATCTTAGCAAGTGTCAAGAAGCCATTTCCTTGTATATTTACAGCATCATGAGCATAGTGAAGGCACTCAAGTATATTCCTATACTACCTGTATTCAATTTTCAGTCTACTATCAAGAGGGCCAGTGCCCCGCTCCTCCTCCTCAACATCATCATCATTATTACCATCATCACCCGTGATCCAGCTCGTTGAGCTGGTACTGGATCGCAACAGAGGCACCGAATCTGATGCGTAATCAACTACAGCAGATTTTCCTCCTGCTCGTGCAGGATGTAGCCCGGTAGTTGCAGCTCGTTTGGCTGTGGAGCCAGGGGTTCCATGGCTCGGCTATTGACGATGAGACGCAAGGGCGTCATTGTGGCTAAGTGGAATTTTGGTGGATAATGGCGAGGGTTTCTGTGTAGATGGCATTGCTGACAGCTAGGATGGCGGTTGGGGCATGATACGAGATTAGGGATATGTGCGAGCCGGTTGGCGTGTCGGTGAAGGTTTGGTGGGAGCGGCTGTTGGAAAGGTAAGAGAGGATTTGGGCGCGAATGGAGGGTGGCCCTTTTTTGTTGTAGGTAGGTTTTGATTGGTAGTGACGAGATAGTGCGCGGTGTGTAGTGTGTAGTAAAGTACTGTCAAGTAGTGAGGTGGTGGGAAACAGTAAGGAGTTAGAGCTGAAGGCTCGAAGACTAGTGATTTCAATCTGCGCGTGATGAGGGAAGCAGAGTGGAGAGGAGAGAATTAAAATACGTAGGGAGCAGATGAAGAATTCAAACTATGGCAAGAACGGAATGACTCCATGCAGTGACCCTAATAAATAAGCAAATCCGTCCCATGGTACGACCAGGGCTTCCAACGGGCCGTACTACGGTCTGTACAAAGTGAACCGTAACGGTCACGTGTTCAGTACAAACGTACTAAGTTTGTAAGCCGCACTGTACAGTTAATAATGCCCTAGGTACAGTACGTAGTACAGATTATATTACCTTTTTAGGAAATTTTTATAGCAATTCTAAAAAAGTAGGAGGACTCTAGTAAGTAGAAGGTCTATAAAGAAAGCTTCTAAAGCTTTTATTAGCTAAAAGTTTTATAAAGGCGCTTGAATTTCTTTCTAAAGAGTTTAGTTTATCTATTTATAGTATTATTTTAAAAATGCCTATTATAGACTATTTTCTATTATAGAGTTATCTATCTACGCGTCTTACTGCCTTATTAGCCTTATTTAGTTAATTAGATCTCTCTATTGTCTATTCTACATAGTCTTATAGGCTGCAGAAGTTAAAAGCCCTCTACACTACGTCTTCTGCTTTATCTTGCAATAGTACACCATCTGTAGCTAAAAATTAATTATAGTGCACTGTCTTTAGCTAAAGATTAATTATAGTAGTTTTTAAAAAACTATAATTATAATACTAGTATTAAGTTTATAATTAACTAGAATAATATATAGCTATTAAACTTAAAACAGGCAGTCTCTTTAGTATAATTAGGTTACTAAGTAAAAAATAAGACTACTTTATAAAGTAATTATATACTATTAAAAGTGTAAGCTTATAGCATAAATATAATACTTTTAAAGAAGGAAAGTAAGGTAATCTGCCTTTAGCTTTACTATTAGTGTTATAAGTAAAGCTCTTAAAGTGCTATAAAAGTAGTAGATAGCTATAACTATATTATTTAGCACCTACTAAAAGAGTATTAAGTTAATATTAATAAAGAGCTCTTACCTAATAGTGTACAGCTACTGCAGCACCTATAGAAGGCAGCTAGAGAAGTAGTAGGCTTATTACAAAGGTTATCTTATACACTATAGTAGGAGGGTTTTCTGCGTAGTGCCCTAGTTAACTAGGTTATAGTGTAAGATTAGTTATTTAAAAAAGCTATTTTATTAAAAACTTATAGTTTTATTAGCTAAAATTATACAAATCTTTTTACTACTTTACTATATTCTACTACTATGCTTTTTAAAGATATCTACGCTGCACTTATATAGTAAAAGAAAGAGATTTAAATAATACTAATTACTACACTATTAAAAATTATGCTAAGTGTAGATATATGTTACAATCCTTGCTTCAGGGAAGCACTCGGGTCTTCTGATATTCCTAGGGGAAGAGTAGGACGGATAGTAGGGGCCAATCCGGTAGGGTGTACAGTCCTACGTACAGGCTAATAGGCTATTAGAGAGTGGTAGAGTAACTAGATTATAGTTTGCCCTATGTGCAGCAGTAAAAAGGCTAGAGTTAAACAGTCTTTTTAGACAAAGTTAGAGGTATATATAGTGTAAGATATATAAATAGTATTATAGCTTTTTAGAAAGCTAAATGCTACTTAGTCTATGTAATAAATAAACTAAATATTAAACACGCCTTTTAAAAAGTAGTTTATAGTACAACTATATATATGTTTTAGAGACGCTAAAAGGAGCTATTAGAAGTTTATAAAAGCTTACTAAAAAGGCTTTTATAGGCTTCCTTAAGCTCCCTTAAGCTCTTTAAATTTGCAGCCTGTCTCCTTATTAGACAAGACACTCTTTGCCTATTATAGGCAGCTGCGCTGCCTCTGCGTCCTCTAACTAGTCTGTAAGCAAGCCCTGTCCTAATCTAGCTAGATTGTGGAGCACTGCTAGTAGAGTTATGCTAGTCTAACTATAGACTGTAACACGCTGCTCTTTCTCCCTAGCAGTGTCCTTGCTGCTCTACTTACATAACTATGTTAGTAAAAGTTTATTTATAAAGTGTGCGTCTACCTACTAAAAGGTGTTTTTAATATTTATTTTTTTTATACTAAATAGCTTATTAGTTTTGTTTATCTTATTATCTTTATATTACTTTTTATTTTAATTTTTTTTACTAGATAAAGATAAGGCCTTATAGCACTTACTAGTTTTTAAAGTTGTTATATGTGTTAACACTATTCTTAAATAACTATATTAAGTGTGTAAAAAAGCATAGTAAGTGTAATGCTTTTATCTCTAATGCTGCCTAAGACTACCTAGAGAAAGAGAAGAAAGCGCTTTTTTAAAAGGCCTTTATTATAAAGGCTTAGAAGTGTGCCCTACTAAAGAAGCAGCTAGCCTGCAAGCGCTTTTTACTAGAAAAGCAGTAGGCTTAGGACTAGAAGCAGCTTTACTTACAAAAAAAAATGCTAGAGGTAATAAATAAAAAGTGTTTTAGATAGAATTATATTTAAAAGTTATTAAATTTATTAAAAGCTTATTATATAAAGTACTTAAAAAGGGAATTTTTTTTTAGATAAAATAGAAGCTTTTAAAGCTAAAGTAGAGGGCTATTTTTTTTCTTAACTTTTATTAGCTAGAACTTGTCTCTAAAGGCTGCTACTATTTAGTAATAACATAGCTATTTTTTTTAATATAGGTGCTTTATTGCTTAGCTAGTTTTTTTTAGATAAGCTTAAAAGTACTTTTATACTAATAGCTACGTGTTTCTTAAATTTTTAGCTAGTTTTTATGTGTTTTTACTAGTAAGCTACTTTTTTTATTTTACTAAAATTTTTTTTTAGTTTTTTTAATTACTTATAATATGTTTAACTTTATATTCTGTTTTTATGTTTTTTTATTTTTATGTAGATAAAAGAATTTTTTTAAGTGCTTTTTCTAGCCTAGAAATATAAAACTACAGGTAGATTTTTATATATAAAAGAAGCTTAAGCTTATAGTTGTCTTACTAAGTTTATAAGACTTTATATAGTTCTATTCTTTTTTCTGCTAGCTTTTTAGAAGGTCTAGGTATCTTAAGATTTTTTATATTAAAGTATATATAGTCTTTTAAGCAGATTTCTAGTTCTAGCTATTATAATTTATTTACATATTTCTTTATTACTTTTTTACTAGACCTAGCTTCTATAGCTAACTTTTTATATATCTAGTGTAAGTCCTTTAGCTAATTTATTAACTTCTGTAGGTCTATAAGCTAATTTTTATGTAATGTAAAGTAAGAGTTATAGCTAAAATTAGCTTTATATAGTGTCTCTTTTATTATAGCTAATTCTATGTTGTTAATAGCTAGCTATGCTATTAAAAGCTATACTACCTAATTATTTTAAGTATAAAAAATGTACTTTCTTAGGTATTTTTTTACTTCTGCATTTGCTTTTTTAGTCTAGCTGTCTATCTGCAGGTAGTAGGCAGTTAATAGCTTATATGTTATACTAAAGTGCCTTATTACTACTTTTTAAAAGCTGCTAGTAAATAATTTATTTTAGTTAAAAATAATAATTTTAAAGCATTTATATACTAATATTGTCTGTACGCAGCAGCAGCGTCGCGGCCTGGATACGAGCGATCGCGCACGAGCAGGATCACGTATCTATGTCACATGATGCTTGTGCGCGAACCTCTGTGCGCGAACATCTAGATATCCCCCTTTTCCTCTGTACAGAGGAAAGACAAGAGTAATAGAACTAGAAACATGTTGCCCTTACCTTACCTACCTTGTACACTGTGCACACTGTACACTACTCTTACTCTTACTACTTAAGTGCTTATACTATAAGCAGCTAGCTATTAGAGCTTATTTAACACTAATTAGTAGTTAATTTAATTAACTATAAATTAGCAAAAGTAATAATAAAGTACTTACACTTTATAAGGTACTTTATTTTGTTACTTATCTCTTAGAAAGAGTAACAGCAGAGTACTTACACTTTATAAGGTACTTTAT